ACTCTCTGCAACCCAATCTATCGGAGAACGTCAAGCATTCCTTTGCACAAGCAAAAGGGAGATTGATTGAGTTCATAAATTGATTCAACTCCCTTCAAAAGCTGCAGTGCATACTGACTATTACAAATCCGAAAGATGTTTCTTGGTAATGTCAACGTCCGTATGACTATCAAAAAGTTCTGTAATCGCATTCTATTGATAACAGCTAATGACTTTGATGCTGCAACAGCAAGAATAACGCTAACAGTATGAAATTCAATTGCTTGAATAAATCTTTTGTTGCAGTCAATACTTTCAAGCGGATAAAATCTTTGTGCAACTAGTCTGGCTTTGACAAACACTCACCAGCTCCTGACTTTGTTGTAAATACCTATCGACGGCCATATAATAATTTTCCAGTGAAAGGATCCACGAAGTAGTAAGTATTGATCATAAACATTGCCTGACCCGTTCATTGACAAGCCACTTTGCTGATTGAGTCCGCTACATTTGGCTTAAAAGTAGTTGCGGTGACAATGGCAGCGGCAACTATGTCAGGGACGACCGGTCCTTCACAGAAATTCATCAATCCTTTCCAATCCTTTCTGCTATATTTCAAATTTCTTTGAAATTTGCTGCTCCAACTATTTTCGTTTGACAACTTGATGATTAACAGCAGCCACCAGTGTCAGCGTCAGCAACAGGAACATTATTATCAGTGGATAGACCATATTTTATTAAATCCAATTGAGTGTGATCGACACCAACCTTTTCTAATCATCAGAGCTGATGTAAAGACATGCATCAGAATCATTGGTTCGCTATTTGATGTATTGTCCAAATCAATTGCAGTTGTGTTATTCTTGTCATTGATTGCAGCAGACAATTTTTCCCCAAGACATCAGCTGCGATAAGTGTAGCTCAAACGAAAAATGAAATTGTTGGTTTAATAGCAGCAAATCAAAGTTCTGAAAAAAAAAAATCTGTTTCATCAAAGAGAGAAGTGAAACTGATAACATCACTGCTGCCTTGAAGATTGCATTTCTCGTTAGAATTTCTACACAAGTCTTAGCCAGGAAATGCGCAGAAAACAGTTCAATCACCTTGGCTGCATTGCCTGATTAATCTGAACATCATCGCTCAGGAAGTCATCCAGCAACTGTATGATAGCGGCAATTGGTTTTCCAATAAAATTCCTCAGATGATGTGGTCACCCAAGCGCCTTCTTGGGTACGAATGAAATTGATCAAAAGCACCCCACACATCACAGCTTCATTCCACTATAACTCAGGATCACTAGCTGCAACTATCATTACCCTGGCCTTTAATTTTGCCATCGCTCAACGACCCCATTTTGAAATGACTCGCAAGATGCAGATATGCTATATGAGATTCCATCACTTTCACTTGAGTCTTTCAACTGCGTGAATACGAACCACATATCAAACTTCACAGAATCAACCGTTTAATCCAATGATCGTTGGATAGATTTTATATGATAATCCAACCTAACAACAGATTATGATGGAAAAGCAATGGGAGCCACAACGACACATCTGAAGTAATCATCAACAGTGGTAGGAAAACATCGACTTTCATCAACAGCAACAACTGCCATTCACAAATAAAACATCAACATCAAGAAGACCAAGGACAGTGGTGTCTATCTTTGAAAGGAGCGTATGATTGTTCTAGTCGGTTCACCTTTGTGACAAGCCTAAGAGTATAAAGCACCAGCAGTAGTAATCCAATTGATCTTTCCTATATATTTTGCAGCAGCTTCACATTTATGAGCCCAATGTTCTTGCCAATCTGTGTTGATTAACGGAACAGGAGGTGCAGCGATGAGACAATTAAAAATTGAAAAGCTGCTCTCTTACCAGCAGACGCACCATTCCGATGAGCACAATCATCTTTGAATTTCAACCTCCCCCTTCATTTGTAGCAGCTGACACTCAAAATAAATCCGCACCACGGGGATAATAAAAACCAATTCAATATTATCCACTATTGAGAAGCAGCACAGTAGCAGTATCTTTGAACCAACAATAGTGCCACCAATACCAGCAATGTCACTTGAATGAGTAACTAAACCGCCCAATTATTCAGCCTTACCACAATAGTCATGGGATGCACCAAATGAAATCCGCCAGAATTGTTTAGAACTCAACATAAGCTTGCTAGTATCTTTCACTCACAAAGCGAACATCGATTGCTCGGCCTTGAATAGGTCGTGACCATCAACGAAAGGATGAACATCAGCTGCACCCGATGATGCAGCTTCATGAAGCACTGATCGTTACACTCAATAGCCAAAAGACTATGTTTGTGACAAAAGTCGCATGTAATTTATTAAATTGCTTTTTCGTCTTGAATTCATCCGTTCCTTTTAGACTAACAGTGTTCAACGTTAGTTACCACCAATGGCATCAGCACAAAAATGATTCGCCATAACCTTTGCATCAGTATATGTAAATTTTGAAAGGTCCGTTAATTGAGTGTGAGCCGATTCACCCAAAGTGCAGTTCAAAAGCCCCCACTATCAAACATAACAGCAATCTGATGAGCTTTGAAACTACCAAAAATATGGCAATATAACTCATTAAAGATTTTATTGTATTCTCTTTTATTGCATAGTGTAATTTGCCACTTATGACAAGCAGCTGACCTAGTAATAATTGTTGCAATCTCGATTCCAGTTGATTCATAGAGCTGCCCAAGTTAGTTAATAGTTGACGGCGATACCTCCTCTTGTATTGCTCCTCTCTCAATTCAGCAGGAACTAATCTACAAGCAGCCAACGTAGTCCAAATGGAATCCAAAGCAACCTTACGGTTGTCTGAAACGGCATGATCAGCAACAATAACGTCGTTTTTCGAAGACGATTGAAGCAACGGATCAAACCGAACTGATTGTGAATCAAGAGGAAACCCTAAGAACAAATGGTGGCAGCATCTAACTGTTTTTGCGACTCTTGCCAGCGAGCATTCGAAATCTCGCCCATTACCAGTTGTAGCAAATTCACGATAACATTTCAAGATAAAACCATCCACAACAAAAGAGATTGGCAATCACTTCCTCCGGGTATTTCGTATATATAGATCTACCTTAATATAATCTCATAGATTCGCTACAACAGGTTACGAGCCAAATTGCCAATGATCACCGATATCAATCAGAAAACCGAAAGGATGCTGCTGACATTACAATCTGCGCTTCCCTCATATATCTCAAAGGTTCACAGCATCGTCCGTTGTCTTAAGCCTGTATCAAAAACGATGTTATTTATGCTGATAAAGTTCATTGAGAATAGTTGAGGTGGCAACGAATTTCATTTGACGTACGTTAGTTACCGGCTAATTAGTCTTTTTTCGTTTGCAAGAAGTGCTATACAATAGAGTCTACGGCCTTCAAGTATGTGATAACTGGATTACGCTCTATGGTACTATTGGTGTTGAGGTTCCTATTATTAGGAACCGGTCACCTACCTGTTGTACGTGCCGAACCACGTTATTTAATATAAGGCTTTACAGTAAACTCTATACCAGATTCTATTGAAATATTCTTATGATCTACAATGCTGATCGGGGTGCCGCTGATTTTATGCTGCTCCTGTTGCGGACACCATCCACTCTAAAAACCTTCTTACTCAATTTACAGACCCTCAAAATAATTAATTTACTGATGCAATTATTTTGGCGAAATCTCAATGTAATCACACAGTCGCTGGTAGCACAGTCTCGACGACTTTAGTCGCTGTTGGTACCGATGCATTCTCAAAGCAAAATCCCAAATGAATCACTTCCTATCGCCGTCACAAAGAAGGACATATGGATAATGAGTGTTGCCCACCACGGCCAGCTCCTGCTGGTTGAATCGTTCCAGCCGATGCTTCAGCTGCTGTGGCAGCACTGGATGACCTCAGCTGAAATCAGTGGCTCTTTGCTTGGTCCTTGAATGTGACTAGCATGCTCATGTTAAATTCCAAGCGGATCTTCTTTGACTCCAAAGACTGCCAAGATATATGTTCTATCGGTGATTGGATCAGCGACTAAGGTTCCCTTTCAAATTCGATTGGTGGTATTGTAGACTCTATCGTTGATGTCAATGAAATTACTATTGGCATGCTTCTGAATTGTGCTTTATTAACGAATGATCTAAAAGCTCCCCATGGGGAATAATTATGTTTATCTCTAGTGCGACAAATAACAGAACCTCGTTATAAATCAAAAATGATTGTAGTTATTTGAATGGTGCTTTAGTTTTTAAGAGAGGAGCTTCAGCATTATGAAAAAGTCTATTCGCCCAATCTGTTGTTGCGTTAATTACGACAAATTACCATGATCGTTTAGGTTGTCGAGCTGGGACTGCTGTAAAAACCATCGCCAAAGTCTATGACTTTTTTGCTTCTGGTGGGTCAAAATATGAGCCTTGTCAAAATCGAAAGCGAGGAAAATTTTTGATAAGTAGTCTACAACACACGCCACCCCTGCTGATGATAATTTTTTTGTTGATGTTGAGCCTGTGGCAGTTGTTGCTTTTGATAAAAATCCTTATTTTCTTATCATGTTTGACAACTGTCTAAGTACGTCGTTGCGGCTCTCATTGGTCAACAACCTTTAGCTGCTGCCAGATTAGTATCTTATATTTAGTTCACTCAATGACTATTGGATATAATTGTTTACGCTGTCAAATCGTAAAACTATTTTTCATCCCAGCTGTTCAACGAATTTGGTCGATTTGACGGAATCAGAAATCAGAAGTCAGATCCTTACGAGTCTCAATAAATTATGGTCGCTCAACGTTAGGAAAGAACAATCGTGACCAAAGCCAGGACAATGTCCATTGAAGTCAATCGTCCTGCTTACTAGTAGAGTGATGAAGTGATGCGTGCGGCAATATTTCATGAAGTTGATACGCATCTATGAATGTGCTCGGATGACTACACGTTTAAATTATTTTATGGGCCAAAATCTGCTGCTGCTATGTTAAAGAGGTTCTGATGTCCTGTTAATTCTATGATGCCCAAACTAGTCAATCAAACAATGATTGGGGATGCAAGTGATCTCTGTCTTAAGATTGGCTACATAATAAGTGCCAACGGATACCAAGTGGATACCTTCAATATCGGCAGTCTTGTTGCTACCTCTCAATGTCGTCATGAAGAAACCAATTTTTTTTGCATTGGTCCATCATTTGCTGCAGTTAAACGGAGAATTTTATTTATTGATGTCGATGCACATGATGCTGCTGGTGCAATCGGCGAAAGTTGTCCACTGCTCTCAATGAGAACATTAAACCAACAGCGATTGATTCAGACGATATATCAGAAGATCAGTCCAAAAATGGATGACGAATATAGTAACGTGAGATCAAATGAAGAATAGGAAAATGATGTCAATGACAATCAGATAGATTCAAATCTATGTGGTTCACCAACAGATGCCAATGATTAAGCTGCTGAGGCAAACACCGCTCCTGAATTTGACTAGCACATACTGGCAGCAACCAAAATAGTTTGTCAGGTGGGTCTTGATAACATTGAAAGTGAGGTTAAATGGTTTGCAAGCAATTCGAGATATACCATTAATGACGGATTCAGCCTGACAAGTTTAGCCACCGCTTTCATTGCCGCGACAACTGATAAACATAAACCACCAGACCACATCCGCAAAGTTGTATGTCATTCAGAGGTTCAAGGAACGCTTCTCAATAACAATAATCTGTTGACTCTTCTTCCATCTGAGAAAAAGCGTTCGGCCGTCGTTGGATGTCCACAAACAAGTCAGTTGCAACTGGCGACTTTGCTAAAGCAAGCCAGTTGCACACAGTTTTCTTAGCTTGAAGGAATTGAATCCACTGAATCAATTAATATAATAAATAGGTATGAAACTATTAAGGACACCCTTGCCGGTTCAGGATCAAAGTGGTTCAAGGATTACCAAATAATTGTCACAAATGCATTCCATAAAAATAATATAGACGCTGAAAATTTGGTGAGACAACATCTTGGATTTTATATTCCAGAGAATGTTTTCTACATTCAAAAATTCCCAAAATCAATCTATGTACTCAAAACATCACCTCCTGTTTTTACAGGAAGATGCGAGACGCTCTGCAATTTTAATCTTTCGATAACGATTAAGCCAAACATAGAGTCATTTATTTTCCAAACAATATTCACCACCGCATGAACCGATCTTAAGTGGATGATTTCACTACTGGCCTATGATCATTTGCAATGGTCCTGGCTGTTAAAAGTAACTCAGCTCATTGATACTAATGGAATATCTTGCAGTAATTCTGCATTGTTTTGTTCAACTGGATGCTCTACAAGTAAGCAGCGGTACATTGAGATTTACAGACAATATCATCAGAAACGTCGTTAACCACTTTAATTGGATATGCCGTTTTTACACCCTACATCATTGATGATTAACCAATACTAGGTGCTACCTGAATCAGATGGCACTGGGTTAAATGCTGATCAGTCAACAATTTATAGATTAATTGTCGAATTGCTGAGTTTTGCCCCAAATTGATTAAAGTGTAATATTGCATATCCTGTTGGATTAGAAAGTCTATGTGAAGGTGCACCATTCATGATCGATAAAAGTTGTGCTAAGAAAATGCTAAAACGATAACACCCACAATGATTGACATCTCATTGCAAAGCAGCTTCATCAGTTTGTCTTCTGGAACCATTGGCAGTGATTTGGCTTGAGTCATTAGTACTCAGAAATCAGTTGTTGGGTATAAGTAGTTTCCTAATGAGAAGCCAGTTACTTGGAGCCGGATGATCCAATGGTTATTGGCTTTGCTGAATCTTGTAGCTCAAAGCACCTCGCTGACGTCAGCGGCAAACGAATTTGGGCTAATAATCCAGAATTTCAATAGTACTGCTGCAAATGTTGATAACCCAATTGTCTATTGTGACAGCGAATCAGTTATTAACATCCATAACCATGCGACCAATCAGGCACACTGCAAGCATATTTCAGTCTGCTATCTCGTTAAAAAAAGAATGTGAAACGAGCTTCTCATTTTTGAAAAATTTGCAATTAAAGTAATGTTTCTGATAAGTTGACAAGAAATCGAAACCTTGAAGTGCTTAAATAACACCAAAAATTTCTAACAATGATTCAATTGTTATTAGATTAGATCTCGTTGCTTACGTCGGTTTGGTGTTATATGCTTGTAATTCGGTATTTGATTGCTTTTTTGTTATGTTGCAATGTTGTTATACGTTTGCTTATCAGACTGTGTTTATGATATCTCTTCACCTGATACAATTTGATCGCACGACTGATATTTCACTTTGGCTTACAGAATACTGATGTAAGAATTCTAAGGTGCATGCATTTAGTTTGCCAAGTTCATTCCTTCTATGTACTATTCGGTTATTTTGGTTAGGCGTTAAGCTGTCGCTCAAACTCTAAGATCGTAGTCTGATCAGTGGTACAATCATTTGGGTGTTGGCAAACATGCAACATAACCAACTGGCCGAAAAAAGATTTTCAAGCCCACAGCAAAAGCCATTCGATTGTTAATTGCTTGATGGGATCTGGCAGCCATCCAACTGCTACAAAGAAGCTAGTATTTCTAAAGCACCGTCTTGAATAAGCCAATGATGAATTTCATTAACAATTCGTGGCTGGAGTTGTAGCGAAACAACCAGAGTATATTAAATTAAAAAATGATATATAGAAGATGAATGTAAAAAAGATTGCCACCCCTTCTATCAGAATCAGGATTAGTTCACAGAGAATCACGAGAGCAGACCAGTGGCAGAGAGTTGAAAACTGGATTTGGATATGCCCGAAGATTGCAATAGAGCCCTTTAACTCAGTAAGGGGAGCTTAGACGATCGCGCAAATGTATTGCAAGATTCTAGAAAACGTGGAACCACCGTTTGAGTTGGCCGAGCAGTTATTCAGTGGCAGTGCGAAACAGGGATTTGACGGATTTGCTCATGGCCAGAGTGGGGTGGACTTAAACTCCAATCAGGGCCCTCCAAAGGAGAACCACTTGAGGCGGAAATGTTGGTGCTTTTTAGGTAGCGGAGTGCGCGATGCAATAGGAAGGCTCATCTATCCTGCCAGGCAAACGGGCATGTGCTCGATCTTCGCATTATACTTCAACAACGTTACCCGGCCACTTTGCTAACTCCTCTGTTGGCCACCGCCCATTTGTCGGAACAACGGAACAACTGTTCAGGGTACAACCATCGACTCCTATATGGAATTGAACGCTAAACAGCAAGAAACGACTAAATAATTATAAATTCAAAGCACTCAAACGGAACAGCAGGCAACTTTAAAAATTTTGAAGAATCTTTTCCAAAAGCAAAAACGAACTACTGATACAATCAAATTGCATCCATTGTACTCATGATATAGTTACAACGAGCAGAGGAATAGCATAACAGCACCTTTACGTAATCAGCAAAAAATAAACAACCACTAATAATGACATAACCAAAATGACGAACAAATCAAAACCACAACGATCAGGAATTGAATCTTCGGAGCAAGTTATTGAGATATCTGAGCAGTGAAACGCGTAGCATCATAATCAACATATCAGCAGCATTTCATTTAATATCAATTTCACCTACAATGAAAGCAACATATGCCCAACTCTCCTATAAATAAAATCTTTATTGAATACCTTTTAATTTATCACAAATTGTTGGATTGGGCATGCATGATGATAGGCTAACTGTTATCACCATTGATTATTTGTTTATCAACAGATGTACCAACATATTTGAAAGCCTGAACTGGAACACGGGCAATATGACTGCTTCAGGCAGTGAAATGTATTCAGCTTTACAACGCGGCAAGGCCACCGAACACTGCTTTTTGGAGCTCCAACAGACTCCCTTTTCATTAATACGGAACATTATTGCTGCAACTGACTCTCGATGACGACTACCTTCGGCCCAATCATTTCCAGACAGTACATTGAGCTCAACCGATAAACCACCATTGAAATTAACAATTATTGGAAATGGGCTTAAATGACTTACCAGTCTTTTGCGCTACGTCATTACAACTGGCAATGTTCACCAAAGCATTGACTAAGCACCCCGACTGCAAAAGTGTAATCATGCCATGAACAATTTGCATCAAGGACAACGATCCAACAAATGAGCTGTGTGGTGATGATTGAGCAGCTTACAACTGGCAGCCATCTAGTTCAAGTAGCACCTTCATTGGATTAATCATAATTCGAGTATCTAGAAAATAAAACGCATTTCTTCTAGATTGTTGAACAGGCATTCCGAAAGGGCGCTTCAGAGATAACTTAATTTTATCGTTCCGTTGACCGACATCTTCTTCAGAAGAACCTGCAAGAAATACAGCGTGATCTGATATTCTGATCAATGAACTGATATTCGATTTGCAAGGATGACAAGTGCATCCGATGATTGAGCTGCGATCAGATCAAACACATACAATTCAAGCAAGCAGTGACGTTACATTTTTCAAAAGTAGAGCACACCACGTCAAGGGGCTGGTCTTTGGTGCTGAAACAGCTGGCGAGATATAAGAATTGCCTTGCATCACCATACAGCAGCATGCTTATCTCTATAGAATCATTTCAGAAACATCTAAATTTTCAGAAAATTCTCATCACTCACAACCGCTGGTAGTTGCTTCATGCTCAATTCAGTGTTGATATCACCATGAAAGGAGGCAGATATCAATTGCATTTTAGCGTGGATGAATGACCTTGATCCCGCAGCCGGAAAATGGACTTTCACACATCTATCCGTTATTACTGAACTCAATGCTTCACTATATTCAATACTTGCAAAGTGAAAAAACCATTCAATAGCTCGTCTGGCTATCCACAGATAGCTGGTGGAGCTGAGCTCTTCCAAACACTTAAAAAGAGCCGATAGAGGCATCTGCTGATCAATAAACAAAGAACCGAGTGATCATTCATTTACCAATTTTTTGCAAGTCTCTATGACAAACCACTTTGCCAATTGTTTGTGCTGGATCTGCTTCATCAATAGTGGTGGCAATAACTGCAGCGGCCACCTAAATGAGCGGAGTCCGGCCACTAATACTATCTATCAAACATTTGTTAACTAATTGGACACGTATTCGATGCCATTCACATACAGACGACAAATTCTTTGTTCCAGCAAGTTCATCAGCTATAGGTGTACCACCGGTGATCGCATCTGCAATGAGATTATTACCTTCATGAAATGCAGCAAAGTTAGATGAATTTAATTTAATGTGACCGACACCATTTGCCTCTTTATCATCCAAGCTGCTGTCAGTATACAGATTATCTTTCCCAGCGTGCTTTATTGATGTACTGTCTGAAAAAAGGGCAGATGTGTTATCTTTGTCATTGACTGCAAAGGGCAAACTAACCCCCATACCGCCAGCGGCAATACATGTATCCCCACAGCAGATGCTTTAGTTGGTTGGATGGCTGTAAATGATGGATCGCTAGGAAAAAATTGGGTTTCATCAAATGGACATGGCAAACTAACATAACAAAGCGGCTATGACGAGTGAAAGCTCTATAAGCGTTTGTTCTCGTGTCGATGCCAACAACCGTACTAAAGACACCCGTTTCATCTACGGAGGCTTGCCAAATCTGTTTGGGGCTCAGCGCATAAGCTGCGGATCAAAGCACCTTCGGCATACCAGCACTTGATCATAGTTCCTAAAAATATTTAAAATGGAGTAATCAACTGACAGGTTGTTTGGTGGCAATGAAAGCCTTCATTGTCACTCTACACATCAGAGCTTCATACTACTAATAGTCCGGAGCATAACATAAAGATATCGTTGATCATGTTATGGTCGTGATTGCTCTTTCACAACATCAAGCCACTCCAGATTGATTAAACTATAAAAATGGTGACAATCTGTTTTTGATCTCATCCAATTGATACAGCTAATTGATGAGTTTGGATGCAAGCTCGCTATCAGATCGCACTGAATGAATAGTTCTATCCATTTGTCGATGAGTCGTTTTAATACACTATACCAACTTTCAGAAAACAATTCTTCGTGTTGCATTTTGGGCCACAACGACCTACATTGAGTATCATTTAACAATGGTGAAAAGATAGCGACTCCAGTCAACAGCGACAGCAAGAAAAACCGTAGCTGAATCAGCATCGCACAATTCAAGGGCAGCAGTAGCCTAAGCTGCCAAGAATTGAATAATAGGTTTGGTCGCTGCCCAACTTGTATAACCTGACCAAACAACAAACGGAGGTACGGCACATTGATATCATCTTGAGCCGCTCATCCTCCAGCTAATCGACCAGCCCATCAATCCAATCAACAGTGAGCAGAAGCCAGGTCACATAAGTTGCGCAGTTAAGGTCGCAAAAAATCATGGCCCATTCGGAGCACGAGAAGCAGATTCTGATAATTTATCACTCTGAACCACCGAAAAAAAATTACTTTCGACGCTGGGGGCGCTGTCGTTTCAAGCAGCAATTTAACCGGCATTAGCATCTCAGTCGGTAAGCCATTCGGTATCTGCCATAGTCTGTTGAAAGGCAGATGAGTCGAAACCCGTCCATTTGAATTTCAAGTTGAATCATAACGAGCTATCAGCGACTAAGCAAGCAGCGAACGACAATCATCGAAAGACATCCAGAGCTGCCAGAAAAGCAGCAGGATCGCCTGGAGCGGATGAACTACAACGAACGGCGGGAGGTGTTGAGCACTGACTAGGGAAATTCCCTCCTTCCCTCAGCTGAAGAATGTGATTCATTTCTATTTTGGCAACTGCAAATGCTGCGCAAACTGATAAACCGAAGCTGTTCCATTAGAGCTGCCAGCAAGTGCGTCATCACCTAATTAATTGGCCAATCCATTACATCTCCAATTGTGAGCTGTTACCATCGGCAAGTTGAGTAGGCAATCCTGCGGCGAGACCTGTGTGCAAAACAGAACGAATATAAATGATAGTGGCAGCTTGGCAAACGTTGCGTACGTTTAAGGTCATCATATAGACCGTCTAAACGGATTTATGTATTTTCCCATACTGGGTAATGATCTCCGCAATTTTGAAAGAATGCATTATTAGGACAAGATGGTAGCCGCGTCTACATCAATTGCTCCTGCGTTCATATCCAAATTGGTCATCACATGACTGCGCCACTGTCCGAACTACCGCCTTCCGGTCAGTGCTGGATGATCCATGGGGTCAATAATTTTTTGCATGCACATCCAATATTAAGCAAATATGACGGTGTGTGAATCACCTCTATTATCAATCACAGCAGTCTTTGCGATGATGATCTTACTCAACAGGCAACATCATTAGCTGTGGTACTTAAGACCAAGCCTAAATAGCAGATATCGCAGCATCTATTATTTTTTTTAATGCACTCTAGAGTTCATTGTCAAGTTGATTCAAGTTGCTTGGTGGAGCATCCATGATGTTATATGGAAATCTGAAAATATAGGAATAGACATCAGTCCAAGGACGTTTTATTTTTTTTGCTAGGACGCGGCGGTTCACCAAAATTACTCAGAAATACTGACCAGTGAGAAGCTCCAAAAGAATTAATGATGAGATTGCTATATCGAAACCACTGGATTGACAATAATTGTCGATGGCAGGTTTTGAAAATTGCTTGACATTTTTGAGAGGAATATATTAGATCCCGTTAGTAGGTCAAGAGGTGTTGTTGTGAGCTTGGCTGTCTCTATATTCAGTCTTTTTGTGTCTGTGACCGGTCTGCCCCGTGACCTTCTGTTATCAATTGCACTTTCCTGTAAAAGAAGCTGCCAATTTTTTTTACGTTCTTCTTTTTCAAATTGCTCTTCACCAGAGTAGATTATCATGGATTGGCTAGATCACTGATTTATCTCAGCTCTCTATATACGGGGCTGGCGATTTTTTTTAGATTTCTTTTTTTTATATTTATTTTTACTTCTGTATATTACCATGGATTCGCTACAACAATAAAGAAAAAAGAGGAGATCGCCTGCCCTTTTTATAGTGAACTGGGTTACATCGCAGAGCGTCACGGGAGCAGACAGGTAACTGAAACCGAGGAACCGAATGTAAATTTCCGGGAGGCGCACAGGACGAATGGGGTCCACCAAGCGGCTGACAACATAATTTATGTACGAAGGTGAATCAATGTTGCAATTGATGGAGTGTTTTCTCTTCTTCAACACCAAATACATATATACTATTGATTGTGATGGATTACTTTCAACACAAGTTAAATCAGTTAGAGGGGTCAATCGATTTTCATGGACAAGTTTTTGTTCTGAAAATTATTATCTGGGGCTTCTATTTAATTTTTGTATCATCTTTTATTGTTGGTTATTTTGCTGAATCTATCACATCAGTGATCTATTTGTTTGGATCTGGCACAGTCGGCTTAATGTTTTTGGTGGTTCCTCCGTGGGCAATATATAATCGTCATCCAATTCACTATTTGCCAGAAACATCTTACTTGTAGAAGTGATTATTAACTTTTACAGAACGAGGAGTTAGACGATCGGTAGATACTGGAACTTTTTTCTAAGTAATCAGCGTTTATTTAATTTAATTTTATTATTTCATTTAGCAAAACGTACTATGAGTAGTTCTTTTTTTATGGGCTTCGATTTATCCACTCAGGAGTTAAAGGTTGTAGTGACCGATCTGAATTTAAGTCATAATCAAACATACTCTGTGAGCTTTGACAAGGAATTTGCCGAAGTGTATAAGATAAAAAATGGAGTGTTGAAAAGTGATGATGGAAATGAGATTTTCACCCCAATTGAAATTTGGATAAAATCATTAGATTTAATATTGGGTAAGATGTGGGAAGATGGATTTCCATTTAATAAAGTAAGAGGAATTAGTGGATCATGTCAACAACATGGGACTGTTTTTTGGAGTAAAGAATCGAAGACAATTTTGAAAACATTGGATTGGAGAAGCAGTTTGTTTGAGCAGATAATTCCCAGGTGTTTTATATTTGAGAATTGTTCTAATTGGCAGGATCATAGCACAAAAAAGGAGCTAATGTATTTTGAGGAAAAAGCTGGATCAAAAGAAAAATTGGCTGAGGTTAGTGGATCAAGAGCTCATTATAGATTTAGTGGTCCCCAAATACTTAAGAAAATAAGAAAATCATACAATGAATATGACAAAACATATCGTATTACATTGATCTCCAATTTTTTATCCAGTTTATTAATAGGGGGGCTAAGTAGAATTGACGAAAGTGATGCGTGTGGAATGAATTTATATGATATTAAGAGTAAAAAATGGTCAAGAGAATTGCTTAAGATAGCATGTAACTCAGGGAACGAAAAAGAGATAGATAAATTGAAGACTAAACTAGATGATGTGGAACATATTTCATCTAAAAGTATTGGAAACATTAGCGATTATTATGTCAAAAGATATGGGTTTAACAATCAGTGTAAAATTTATTCATTTACAGGAGATAATTTAGCCACTATTATGAGCTTGCCTTTAAAGAAGAATGATTTGTTGATAAGTTTGGGGACATCTACTACAGTATTGATTGTCACCAAGAAATATGTTCCCAGTAGTTTATACCATTTATTCTTACATCCAACTAATAGGAATTTGTATATGGGGATGATTTGCTATTGCAATGGGGCGTTACCTCGAAATGATATTAAAGATGAAATTAATTTAAAATATAGGGTTCGAGGCGATAAGGAAAAAGATGAATGGTCTATATTTAACAGGATTTTAGATGGTAATAAGTATCAAGCATTTAAGGAACAGAAAATGGGCGTTTACTTTAAGTATGGAGAGATTATACCTAACGCATTGGCACAAATTAAACGAGTGGAGTTTCAAATAGGAAAAAAAGAAAAGACAAAAAGAGAAAAGACAAAAAGAAAAATTCTATTGAAGAACATAGAAAAGTGGGATGTGGAATACGATGTTAAAGGTGTTGTTGAATCACAGGCAGTAAGCTGCCGAATGAGATCCAGGCCAATGATTGCAAATGAAAATGACAACAAGAGCGAAGAAACCAGCGATTCTGCAAAAGAGATGAAACCAAACAGAATCTTTTATGTTGGTGGTGGAAGCAACAATCAATCAATTATAAATTGTTTTAGCAAGATCTTGGCAAATCAAAGTCCAGATAACAAAGGATTCTATAAGAATAGCGAAGCCAATGGCTGTGCCCTTGGAGGAGCATACAAAGCCAGCTGGTCTTACTTCAATGAAGAACAAATGCAGGAAGGAGGATCAGAGGCAAAGAGTGGTAATTACATAGAGTTTGAGGACTATTTGAACAGCAAGTTCAATTGGAACACGTTGTTGGAGTTCGAAGTAGAAGACGAATGGGAACAGTACCAACCTGGCGTTGAGGTATTGGAGGAGTTGGAGAAAACTCTTTTAACATGAATCAGTGAGTTGTAGACCATTCAATTGATAAATCAATCTATTACCATCCATCCAAACCAATCTCGGTAGTATAGCGGCCCAAGATGCCATCAACATGGAACAGTAGCGTATGACGCCTGCTCTGCAGATCTCTCAAGCGATGCTGCACGATAGCAGCAGCCAATCACAGCCCGTTATATGTGCAGCCAATCGGCAGCGATGTTATACAGCATAAGCATAACTACACGTGCGAGTCACGAGCTGATGACGGCACTGCAGCAGTTTTCTCCGCGGCGTCTTGGCCAATGGGAGACGTACGCATTGTCATCAAGGGCTTTTTGAGCAGATGTATGGAGGACGCACGGACGCAAAGCAGCGCGCGGGCAGCGTCTGGAGGAGGAAGCGCTTTAGTGACAGAGCTGGAGAAGAGTATATAAGTAGCTCCACCGCTGTGAAGCTCTTCTCTTTCTTACCACCTTTCTTAGCAAACAACAGCCTTTATATCGTCAACATGTGTGTCTCTCTCAGAGTGCCTTCCAAATCAGCGCTCAGCAGCAACTTTCTTGCATCCAAATCCCTTCCTATTGTCAGCAGCAGCTGCAATGCGTCCTCCATAGTCTTCACAAGAACCCTAAAGGACTCTTCTCACTCAAAGAGCAATAATTCTAAAAGATTTCTTCAAACTGTTCCAACTATGAATCACAAAAAGCCTGCTACTTACTTTTCCAGCGACTTTAAGTCTCAAATAACCTCTGACTTGGCCAGAGATGACAATTCCAATATCGCCAATGAGTTCAATTCGCTTGCCGGCAGCAAATGGGCAAAGCATTCTCTACCTTTTTCAAGGTCCTTTGCTGATCTCTTCAACAAGAAAAATAACTCAATCTTGAACAGAAATTCTAATATACTGCAGAGCAAATCCAGTTTGCTTACTAATATTAATTTGAATGGCAAAAGTCTTAATAAACCCACTAATCTCAACAACCCCATTAAAATCAAAACAGATTTAAATTCCACTCTTCCAAATAAATCTCCAGCACCCATATCTTTTTCTTCTTCCAACTCAACGACAAGTCCTACAGCTCCTTTACCTTCTAGAAGACGAAGAGTCTTGAAACCTCGTAAAGCTTTAATAACTTTGACACCTAATGCCGTAAACCATTTGAAAAATCTACTCAATCAACCAACTCCCAAATTGATCAGAATTGGTGTTCAAAATAGAGGCTGCTCAGGCTTAACTTATAACTTGACTTATGTCGACAAACCTCAGAAATTTGACGAGATAATTCAACAAGACGACGTCCAAGTTATAATAGATTCAAAAGCTCTATTCAGCATAGTTGGTTCCGAAATGGACTGGATAGATAATAAATTATCGAGCAAATTTGTTTTCAAAAATCCAAACTCCAAGGGCACTTGTGGCTGTGGTGAGTCTTTCATGGTATAATCTCTACAACTTTTGGTTCTTCTAATATATTATATTATCTATTCTACTATCTTTTGTCTTTTAGCATATATTCATTAAACAATTCTTGTCTCCTACTTTATTTCTATTTTCTCGGTGTTTCTTTATACGTTTTATCTTTTAGTATTTTTAAATTATTGTTTATTCTTTTCATCCCCATTTTCTACGTTTCACTATCTACTTTTCTTATAAATTAATTCCTACTTCTCGAATCAATACACAATTTACAACTTAATATCTCATCCATCTCTTCCTTTCTCCATTTCCTTTTCAAATTCTCTTCGCTCTGTTTTACCTTTTACCCTCCATTTCTGCTTTCTTACATGTGATCTCAACCTCATCATTCTCAAAAGGTGAACTGCAAAATTAAAGAAGAAAAAAAAATTTTAATCTTCATTCAACCACACCAACTTTTTCCAATTGATCACTCTGCTTGAACAATAATTACAGCTAGTCTTACCGAGATGTCCACATCTGATACTCCAACCACAGAACTCAACGATCCCACTAACAATCAGTCTCAGTTTTTATCTGAGCCCACTGAATCTTCTCCCCAATCTAACGTTCATTTATCTGCTAATCCTAATGATCCTGATAACCAGTTGGCCCAAATGAAATCAAGAGTAGCTGAAATGGAAGCTGAAGCTGCAAAACTAAGAGAAATTCAAAAGGACTTGGAACAAGAATCAACAATGGTCAAAGAACCAAAAGAAGACGTAGACGCAAGAAGTGTTTATGTTGGTAACGTCGACTATGGAACAACTCCTGAAGAACTACAAAAACACTTCAATTCTTGTGGAACTATAAATAGAGTCACCATTCTATTGGATAAATTCACTGGCCACCCCAAAGGATACGCCTATGTTGAATTCTCTGAACCTAGCTTGGTTCAATCTGCTGTGTTGCTAAATGATACTTTATTTAGAGGTCGTCAGTTGAAAGTCGTGCCAAAAAGAACTAACGTTCCTGGCTTGAATAGAGGTAGAGGTGGTTTTCGTGGCAGAAGAGCCAGAGGAAGAGGTTATAGAGGAGGTTTTAGAGGCAGAGGTGGTTATCGTCCCTACTAATTCATTGCAATGCTTTCTTTACATCTCTTAATCCTCAAACTCACTACGGAATTGTTATATTATATTTATTAATTATTCATTATTACTGGTTCTTTTTTTATCACCAAATATTTCTATTTCCGATATTTCATTTGGTTCTATTATCTCTGCTGTTTTTCTCTACTTGTGTTTACTCTTTCCCAAACCTCAAAAATAATATCCTCAATTGATTTATTATTTCTCTTTAAAACCTTTTTAATGCTTCTATCAATTAGTATTTAACTATAATACTTTCATTTCATTGGCAAGCAATTATTAAAAACGTCAATTAAGTAAATTATATATATGCAAAAGAAAATTAGAAAATTTAGAAAATTTGAGTAAAAAATAAATAGTAAAAAATAATAAAATAATAAAATAATAAAGTAACAAAATATTAAAATAATAAAATGACAAGATGACAAAAAATAATAGAATAATCAAATAAAAAACCAAAAAATAATATAACAACTAAATAATAAAATAAAATAGTGAAATAATGAATTGATAATATTATATAAAACCTATGTTTTATAGTATATTGTTTCAGCATACAATAATAGTTTTCAAAACTAAATCTATGACAAGTGAATTTTTGTTCAAAATTATGATCTAAACAAGTTTTATAACAAGATAAACATTTCAGAGAAACTCTCAAACCTAAGTATCATAAATTCGAAAATATTTACCAAACCCTCATCTGTTTTTAATTCATATTATCTCTTTAAACCTTTTAAAAATACTGAACCATTTTATTAATTGCAGATAATTACTGCTTATCGTCAGACTGATGGAGCTATTTTCATTTACTTGATTCCTAGTTTACAATGAAGGCCTGATTTGATTTAGTTTTAATTCATACCCAATAAAGAAACGGTTTAAAATTTCATTTGAAAACTTTTTCGAATATGATTCAAAGTTTAGGTCTCACAAACTCTATCTTTAATTTTTTGGCAAAACTGTGCGTTTGACCTCTACGATAAAACCCATCAATGATAGAACAAATTCCTAAATTACATTTTCCTTTCAATTTTCAGCATTCGCCTGACAAGTAATAACAGGATCATTAAAATCATCTCGATTTTCAATTTGGCTTTCCCTTTTACTCTGGCTTGAAGAGGTGTTTAACGTCTTTTAGATAGAAACAATAAATTTTAAATTGTCTTTATTGATAGCACAAGAATTCGAACAAAATTCGCATAGCTGCAAAATATCTGGTTCAAAAATCCTCTCCTCTAAATAAAATAAAATATTAAAATTCTACTTACCTATTGGTTTTTTCACCTTCAATATACACATCTAGAAATTCCTTTCCTGATCTTTTGTCTCTTATTAGGTTAAAACTGTTTGCCAATTTCAGTCCTGAATAACTTGGCTGTGACCAATTAATCTGGTTTTTCTCCAACTGAATACCATAAACAAGCTCTTTTAGTGACGCATATAACATAATTAATGCAATTTTCGATCTTCTGTATTTTTTTAATACAAATATTCTGGATAATCCATAGTATGCTTGAGGAATCATCTGTAATAGAGTGGAAAACCTTTTATCAGAACTATTTCGTGGAATGGAAATTACTTGTTTTGTTCTAACATCCATCAAATTGAGTTTTGATCTCTGGAGTTCATTCAACTTTTCAAATGAAGCCAATCCGATAATTTTGTGGTTATAAGAATATACATATATTTTACCTTTGGTAGAAACATGACCAGAATTTTTCGAAAGATCTTTGACTCCGAAAGAAAACCAATCATCAGGGGCATTGAGCTCATTATTGATCATTTTTAACAATTCTAAAATGACTTTTTGTCCTGATTTTTTTTTCTCATCCAAGAGATCAACCTCGAAAATTGAACCATCTCTTATTATCGGATTAAGGTAGTTGATTGATTCTCTGATATTTAATGGAATATTTGTTACATTTGAAGGTTCAATAATTTTTTTGCCATATGAATATTCCCATTTCATTCCATCAACATATTTTTTATGATAATCTCGATGTATATATTGGTCTGATTTAATATTTGGAAGATAAGACATGAAACAGTCTTTGCAAGTAATTTTCATTGATTTATCAGGAAAATTGAAAAACGTTTGAACTTTTGGTTTGGGAGTTTTTGATATTTGTGTTTCGCTAGAATTAATAGTTGGTTCCGGTTTATCGGTATGAGGAGTTGGTGTGTCAGAAAAAAATGATCTAGGGTCAGGTAATGGTAATGAGTACCGAAGAGTTTTCAAAGGGGAAGTTAATGGAGTTGTGAAAGTTTCGAAGTTATGAATTTTATTGTCCAATAATGAATGTGGCGATGAAGGAATCTGATAAGTTTCAAGTTTGGAACTGTTCAATAGCTTGGGTTGAGAACCTTTCGAGTAAGATCTTTTGTACAGAAACTTTATCCCATTTGATCCTAAGTCTTCTGGGATTGAAAAAGACGAGCTTGCTTGCTTTTGTTGATTCTGGAAGCGTTTTGTTTCTTCTGCAGCTTGCAGAGGTTGAGGCGCACTGTTTTGGGAAAGCTCCTGTTTTACCTTTGAAACATCTTTTAAATCCTTTTCCTTTTTAATAAATCTTTTCATTTTAGAAATCAATTCTTGAATCCTGGTTTCATCATCTGTATGATCCTCTTGTAATTTAGCATCGACAATTGGATTATGTTTAGAGCTATTAACTTTTGCTGGTGCAAGAGTGGAATTGTCAACCTGCACATCACCTTTTGAGTTATATGAATTATACGAATTACTCGAAAGTTTGGTGGGACTATGTTTTGTTTCTGAGTGGATTATCTCTTCCTTGTCTTCGGGGTCGTAAGTATGAATTATGTCCTTCCATTTTTTTCGTAGTACATCTATACCAATTGGCTCTAATGTTTCATGATCTTCAAAAAATTTCTTGAATGATTTGTCATACTGTTTTTTCATGTAGCCATTTTCATTGTCTTTAGAAAATGAATCAGGGGGAGATAGTTTCTTTGGACTTGTATTAAATAAATTGGCTAAATTATGGTGAACCTGATGTTTTAATGAGGGTTTGTCTTCTGTTGAGTCACGACTTTTCACAGCTTCGTTTGACAGGTCTGGCTGATCATCCAACGATTTTATAGTTTTTAATATGTTTTTTGCAGCATTATCTTTGGATATCCTACTTCTGAATCTAGATCTTGAACCAATAGATGTATCCATAGTTTCATCGTTTCCTGTTGTAGGGGGGGTTTGGACCACATCCAAAAGCTCAAAATCGGAAGAAACCACTGAGGATTCAGATCTATTGACATCGATTTCGTTATTATTTATATCTGAAAAGAAATTTTTAAAATTTACTTGAAATTTCAGGTAGACTTTTTCATTTTTATTGTGACTATAATTATTATTATTATTATCTTTATCTTTATCATTATCATTATCATTATTATCTATGTTAACCTGGTTTTTCGTTGAAAAATGACTGGGTGGAGATGACCATATATTAGATAATGGAGATGTATCTAAATTTTTTAGAAAGAAGGAAGTGTTTGGTAAATTACTTTCAGTTGAAGAGTTTTCAATAACGGATTGGTTTGCACTCTCGACTTTAACTTTAATATCGAGAGAATTTTTGTTTTGTGTCTGTTTATTGCCTTCAATTCTATTGTTCTGCTTTTCTTTCAGTTGTGAATTTTGAGATTTTGTTTGAACATTAGCAATTTGAGATTTGTTAGAATGTTGAGTTTGAAAGAGTATTTCGTTTTCTGAAAACTCCAGCTTTATTTTGGGAGTAGCATTAATCGCATTGATATTTTTGATTTTTGCTGGAAAAACTGATTGGGGTACAACAGTATGTGGAATCAATTGTGGAATTTGGTCATTGGCTAATGAATTCATAGCAATGGATTGTAGTTGTGATTGAACTTCTGTGATTTCTATGGGCTTATCTGTTGAAAAGATAGTGCGTTCTGGTGAGTTCCTTAGTGGAACAGTTTGAAAAACTTTATCAAGATTTTCATTCTCATGTTGGAACTGCTTTGGCAGCTCACCTTTATTTTTTAGTGGAGACGAATCATTTGAGGAATATTCATGCTGTGATTGGGATTCAATATCTATAACACTTTCAGCGAATCTTTTGCTCAGCCCATTTGCTTTTGAAATTGATTTTAATAATGCGTTTTTATTCTGTTTTCTACGGCTATTTCGAGTATAATTATTTTTCTTAATAGATTTTTGCTCCTTATTGGGTGAGTGACCTTTGTGCTTGGCCTTTTTATTACTTTCATTTTTCAATATTAGAGGTTTGAAGGGCGATTTAACGGAATGAGGAGTGAGTAAATTAAAAGGATCATCATCCAATGTAGTAATCGCTGTTGAATTCATGATGGTTTGTCTGTATTTACTTTTTGCTTTTGGGGTGAACAAAGATTTTTTAGGAGACTTATCATTTTCAGAGTTCTTTGAAGCAGCAGCAATATGAGAATTTGGAGAAGATGAATAGACTGAAAAATTGTTTAATTTCAGTTGCTTCAACTCTCTTTTTGAAGGTTTCAACAAGTTGAGAACATCAAGGGTTAAGGTAGGATCTAAGTTTTCTGATATTTGTGTAGAAGTTGGTGATTGCAATTGCGACCTCAATTGTGATTTGCAGTGTGATTTTGACTGTGGTTTTGACTGAGGTTTTGACTGCAATTTTAAATGTGATTTTGGGAGTTTCAATTGTTTGGTCTGCTTTAGAGATTTTGCTGATGTGGTTGGAATAGAGTGCCTGGCTCTTTTGTGTGGGGAGAGAAGAGAGACCTTGGAATGCTTTGGTGGAGTTGAAAAAATAGGAGAAGAGGAATCTTTGAGTAGCTTTCGTTTAGGCATTCTGGCGTAAAAACAAGAGCAAAAGCTGAAGCTGAAGCTGGAAGAGATAAGAGATAACCAACACAGTTGGGCTTGAGATCATCATTCAGCTACAAGTTTCGTTCGAAGGTTTGTTCCCAAAAATGCTGTGTTTACAAAAAGGGCAATCAGAGGTGGGCACGAAAAGAAAGATGTTTCGCGTTTTTTCTGACGCGTGGCAGTAATGTTCAAGAGGTGGTTGAGGAGGATGAGACCACTACAAGGTATGGTGTGGGTATTTATTAAAGAGTCGATTATAGTATAGATGAGTGAGTTTATTGGTCATTGTCCTTGAGGTTGTTCTGGCCTGAGGGGGCAGACGCGATGAGATTGCCAGTGAAAAACTGGCACATTCGCAAGTAGTTGGTTCTTGATCTGATAGGCATGATGGTGGAGACCTCTAAGGGCATGGGGATGCTATTTTTGACGCCTTTGAGAACCAATTCACATTCTTCATCGCTGTCCAAAGGTTGATCTCTCCCATGAACAAGGTTGTCCTTCTTTGCCTGTGCGTTTGCTAGATCTGCTGCCATTTTGACTTGGTTTTTTCTTTGATATGCTGCCAACAAAATGTCATAGGATGCTGACCTTCCAGGCACAGCTCTTTTAAGACCCATTGAGTGCATTTTACATGTCAATGATCTTCCACATAAAACACCATTGCTTGAGAGAACACCACATTGAATTTCGACATCAACCGGTAGTTTGATCTTAATTTTAGGCAAGGGTTTTTGTTTTTTCTCCTTTTGTTTTGCTTTCTCTTTGGGAGCCTTGACTTTTTTTTCTTTGGGAGCCTTGACTTTTTTTTCCTTGGGAAGTTTGATTTTTTTGGTTTTTCTTTGAGTAGTTGGTTTCTCTGAGTTCGAATCAGTTAAATTTGGAGTATTGATATTGGGAGAATTTGTCATAGATGCTGGGGTATTATCCTTTGAGTTGGAGCTGTTTTTACGTTTTCGTCCTGGAGTTTTCTTGATTTTGATCTGATTTGAAGATATGCTAATACAATTGAAGCCTAAATTTTTATTTAAATTCGGACCATTAGCAGAGTTGACATTATTTGTAGCGTAATTGATGTTGGATAAGTTATCATTATTAAGTTTATTTTTTTGTATTTCAGGTTTGTTTTTGATGCAATTGTTCAAGTGATCTATCAATACTGATTCCAATATTGGCCTTTGACAAATATTGCATATTCTGTATTTGAAGGGTTTTGAGAGTGGGTTATTTGTGATTAAATTTGGGTTCTTGAAAATGTTCCAGTGTGTGTCAATGTTTTTATTAATATTATAGTTTTCAGGATTGCTATTGTTATTGTTATTGTTATTGTTATTGCTGGTGTACTCTTGAAGATCAGTTAGTTGGATGTGATTGCATCTATTCAAGTAGTCTCCAAAATCTCGCCAAACATAAACTTGTTTGGGATTCAAGTTGATATTTATAGGCTTGATAATGTTGCTGATGATTTTGGTTGCGTTTGGTATTTCGCTTATTAAGCTTGATATATTAGAGTTGTCGGTGGGATTGGAGAGCTGAGTATTAGGATTGGTATTGGAGATGGAAATAGGGCTGGCATTATTGTTGCTGGAATTGTTGGTGACGTTATTGCTGGCGATATTGCTGTTGATGTTGTTAGTATTGACTAAGTTTCTGGAGTTGTAATTAGGTGGTTTTTTGCCAGTTGCAGAATTCATTTTTGAGGGAAGGTAGGTGCAAGAATTAGCTAATAAAGAGGTTGAGGTAGGAGCTGAAATAAATTTATAGGTGGAATTGATTGATTTAGAATTAGTGTGAGTTTTAAGGATTAAAAGCATTTTTCTGTAGACTATTCCGCCCTTTAAGTTTCACACATAAGTCTCCCTGTTCGAAGGGGATGAAGGCGGGTCGGGTATTGGGGAATAGGAGAAAGTAAGCAGCAAAGCGCAAGAAAAAGCCCTGTTTGGAACGGGAGAAACAGACTGGAGCTACAGAAAGGGATTGAGTACGAATGACAACAGGCTTACGGTGAGTGCGAAGTTAAATGTATAACTTTATAAATGGAAATGTATGTAATTGCACAGTGGAGCTTACAATTCTTTCAACAACTGTTTTCTGTTGATAGAAATCAACTTTACCTTTGAAAAGAAATCGTCCCTGTTGAGATACGCACCACACAACCTTCTTTCGCCATCGAATTTGGTTCTGGAGTGGAAGACTCGCCAGTTGTCAAAGAAGAGGACTTTGGTTGGTTGGAGTTGAAGGCGAATGTTGTTTGAGTCGTCTTGGATGATTTCGTTCCATTTGTAAATTGCTTTATAGAAGAGATCTATGATTTCCAAGTTTGAAGACAAGCCGAACTGAGACTTGATGTGGTTTAGATAATCTCCAGAGTAATTCAAGTTTAAGTTTAAAAGCGATCTGTCAGAGTTATTCCAGCGAACTTGGATGACTTCATTTCGGTGGTTGATATCTGGGGTAGTAGATCTGGGATTTGTGACTGAATTGTTGACAGAGTTAACTTCAAATATAGATTTGAAAGTATCAGGTTGAATGAAGTTATTCTCGTCGCCGACCGAATGAAAGGGTATTTTAAAAACCGATAGAAATTTGAAGTAGACTGGATGATTCTTTTTCAATACATCAGCGCAATGAAACCCATCCACTAAATTAGTTTCGCCTCCAGAACCATTGATGTGTTTTAGAAGATGGAAGACTTGCAAGCCAGGAGACTCAGAAAAGTAGGTTCCATCAGTGTGCAAGGGAATCTCTAGATTTGTGTAGGCAGTGTCGTTGATTTTCAAATTTGCAGTAAAGTCCCAGAATTTTCCATAGTGGGTTTCTCTGATGAACGAAAACTTGAGAATTAGCTTTTCGGTGTCGACGGGATTGACTGGAACGTTGTTGACAAAGCAAAACCCGTAAATGAAAGTTTTCATGATCCAGTCATCGATTGCAAGGTGAGATTTTGATTCAGAGGAGCTAAAGATGTCGTTATAGTCAACCTCAGGAAACTCATTTAGAATTTTGCTTTTATTCCAATAGATTCGTTTCTCAAGAACTCGATCTTCATTTGAGATTTTGGCAGAGGGATTTGAATCTGCTAGAGAAAAAGAATTGGATATCAAAAAATTTGAGGTGTAAAGAGAGACATGGTCATCGTCCCAGATAATCTTAAGATCAACATTGTCGATTATTGAGACCCGCTTGGGCTTAACTTCTATTGGAATTGCAAAGGTGTCGAGCAATCGTTGCTTGGTCAATGAATGGTAGCATAGTTCGCAATGGCAGCTGTCTCTAAGCCAGATATTCAAATAGTTGTCTTGGGATTCAGAGCTGCTGCTGACTTTCCAGTGAATAGTGATGTATTTTTCACTTAACTCAAACGAATCGATTTGTACAGAGCCAGTGAACGACATTTTTGAAAAAGCCATTCTTGAGCAAGCAAGCCCCAGCCTCAAAGAAATCAGAGAAATCTGGGGTTATATACCAACAACAACACTCCGATCGAGTTCAGCTCCTGCCGTTTTCGTCACCTCATCGAGTACAATGCTCGATTGGTCTTCAACAGCCGTCCCTTCATCCACCGCTCTGCAAGGCAGCCGCTGATTGGCTGCATGTGCCCAGCCGTCCCTGCGCGCTCAGATCGGTTACCCGCGTGCGGGAGTACCACAGGGACGCGAGCGCCGAAAACGCGTGGTGCGGACTCCAAAGGAGCGGAGCAGGCTGGCGCATATGTACCACAATGTGTACATATGCATCTAAGTCATGTGATGTAAGTTGCATGCTGCATCTTTACTGCAACAGCGCGTTGAGGACACTTTTAGTGTACGTGTGAGCGCTGATCCCAGCGTTGAGACGCTCCCAGCTCCCAGAACCAAAGCTGCCGGTGTTTTGAGACGCTGATCGGAGGGTGACAGAAAATTTTTCAAGACCAAACCTTTTTTCTTTCTGTTGAACAAGAGAAAAGATCATGAACACATTCAATACTAAATACCCATAGATAACATTCGTCACTCCAATGAAATTGTTATATTCTCACTGATTTTCTATTTTTGAGTCTTGTAAATAATAAAGTCATATCAAGTGAATGTAGAATTCGAAGGAAGAAAAAATTTTCAGATGTTCTTTTCTAACTTTTTATTTTATTATTTTATATTTGTTTTTTCGTTGCTTTTTGGCTTTTTCCACTGGCATATTTGACATTCAAAGTGCGAGAAATAGCATGGAAAATGCTATGGGAACTTTTTAAATTTCACCACTTTTATGCTGCTGCTGGTTATTTTGTTAATTTTATTTATCTAATAACATTTTTTTTTATAATGTTTGTTATCTCTCTTTTTCTAGCTAATGAAAAGTCATGATTACATTACCACTAATTACGGTTTTTCATATAATTTTTAATCCTCACACAGTTACCGCTATTATTTAAATATATTTAAATCTTCAACCATTACCTTTTTTTTATTTGTTTCTATTTTTCCTGCCACTACTCCCACCACCAATCACCACTAATAATAATAATAATAATAATAATAATAATAATAATAATTCCTCTGAAATTTTGGTTCCTTGTTCTCTTTTACTGCACTATTTATAATTTTCATCGAAAATTAATTACAAAATGAGTACTGACAATCTTAATCCAAATAACCATAACATTCATAACATTCATAATAATCCCAATAATCACAACTATGGCTCATTATCGAATTCAAACTTGAATTTAAATTCAAATCCAACCTCTCACTCAAATTCAAATCCAAATTTAATCTCTTTCCAAAATTTCAATCCAAACCCAATGAACTTTTATAGCGAAAACGATTCGTTGTTGCGTAAAAACTCGGTATTCACTAATAATTCCTCCAATTTGAATAACGATAACTATAACAATCTCTCCACAAACTCCCCATCAAACTATATCGTTGGTTCAATCGGCAGATTTGCTTCTTCTTATACAAGAGCACAGTCTTTCAAATTCATCGAAGGCAATATATCAACTGCAAGATCCTACTTTGTTAATGGCGAAGACGAGGTCTTCGACCCAAAGACTCTTGCTCCAAGTGTCAAAGGCCAAAGATTATCAAGTGTTCTCTACTCCACTCCAAACCAATCCCAACTCACTTCCCAACTAAACAACCAGGCCAATAATGACCTACACTTTATTAACAATCTCAGACAATCAAAGAGAAATCCCATGTTCTCTTTCGGCCAGTATGATAACGTCTCCTCGAATGACGAAGCCATCGACGACCAGTCCATTGTCATCACCATCGACAACAACAACTCAAACACTTTTAACAACCACAATCCCATGTCCTCCATCATGGGCAGAAACTTCCGAACAAACTCGGTTTACTCCAGATTCTCTATCCCAAACACAATCTCCACAATAAACGACCAAAACTCTCTACTAATCAATCCGGTTCACACAAACACTGGCAAAGTTGTCCCCATCATTCAAGGACAATCCACTTCTCCCCAAACCGTTTTCAACTCTATAAACGTCTTGATTGGCATCGGTTTGTTAGCCCTACCATTGGGTTTGCAAAAAGCTGGTTTGATCATCGGCTTGCCCTTACTATTCATTTCAGCTTTCTCGACATTTCAAACCGCTAAATTATTAAGCGCTTGTATGGACACTGACCCAACTCTAATGACCTATGCTGATCTAGGTTATGCTACTTTTGGTAAGAATGGAAGAGCTTTGATCTCGGTCCTATTCTCTCTCGATTTGATCTCCGCAGGGGTGGCTCTCATCGCTTTATTTGCTGACTCTTTAAATGCTCTATTTCCAAACTTCTCCAAACTTCAATTGAAGATATTAGCCTTTTGCATTTTGACTCCCCCAACGTTTTTGCCTTTGTCGGTTTTATCCATCATCTCCTTGCTAGGAATATCCTCCACCATTCTCATTGTCATCTTCATCTTCATCGCCGGCTTGATAAAGCCCACTTCTCCCGGCTCTTTAATTTCCATCATGCCCATCAATCTTTATCCCCAATCTCTTCCTCAGTTGTTACTAGCCTTGGGTATTCTAATGGCCCCTTGGTCTGGCCATGCTGTCTTTCCCAACTTGAAAAACGATATGAGATTTCCTTCGAATTTCAAAAACTGCCTAAGTGTCACCTATATTATCACTTTTCTAACCGACTTTTCCATGTCCATTATCGGTGTCTTGATGTTCGGTAATCAGGTCAAAGAGGAAATCACTAAAAGTATTCTCATCACAAAGGGCTACCCTAAATTCATTCACTTGACTATTTTATCTCTAATCGCGATGGTTCCCATCGCAAAGACTCCTTTAAATGCCAGACCAATCATTTCAATTTTGGACTATTTCATGAACTTGAACGAGGAGGAAATAATCGATGAAAACGATGCTGATTTTGTCTATTCAGAAAATGAAAATATCAATGATCATGAAGTTTCCAATAATCCCATCACCAACGCTAATAATAATGCCAATTCTAATGTCAATCCTAATATTTTTGAAAATAATGAACAACAACTCTTGAATGATAACGACTCAATTAAAAGTAAAAACAACAATGTTGATGATACAAACACAAGTTCTTCCAGTGATAATGAGTCTAAAAGTCTTTATAAAAAAATAATGAAGATATTTAATAGAGTATTTGTCAATTTTCTATTTGTTATCATTGCGATCATTTACCCTCAGTTTGATAAAATTTTAGCATTAATGGGATCAGCATTGTGTTTTTTGATCTGTCTAATATTGCCTTGTTTGTTTTATTTGACTATCTGCAAGGATTCAATAACTGCTAAGGAAAGAGTTATTTGTTATTTAACTATTTTCATTAGCTCAATTTTATCTATAATCGGCACTATTGCCGCACTCACTGTCAATTAAATAAGTTTATGTATTTCATGATATCGGGTTTTTAATCATCATAATGATTATTATAGTTACAATCATTTTAAATCATATTCGGTTACATTCATTTACAGTCAATTACATTTTCAACTAAATATCTATCCTCCAATTAATCATTTAATCATTTAATTATTTTTTTTATTTCTTACTTCTTGTCTCTAATCTCTCATTTTTTTTTCTTTAACATCTCATTTCTTATAATAGATTTTTTTAAATTTAAATGATAACTCCAATATGTTATTTTCAAATTTACTTGTAAAAAAATGACTGGACTTGTCCCATTCTCTTTTGACAATTTTAAAAGATATTTCATCGTAATTGGTGAACTTATCATAGTTTAACAACTGATAATCAATTTTAAATTTTTTGGGCTGGAAGAATTTCACTCTTTGATATTCGTTTTTTTTCTGATAATGATTGTTTGAATTCAGATTAATGTTCAATTGGGGATTTGATTTGGCATTTGGAAGTGAATCATAAGGAGAATCCAATGTGATGACATAGAATTTAATGATACAGGTTTGATCACCAACCCTAGAGTATTTCTTAAGAAACTCGTCGTCATTTTCCTCTTTGTCGCCACCTACCTTCTTGGCACTGGTTTTATCATTTACCTGGTCCTTTGGAGAGTCGCCTGCAATGGAAATCAACTTGAAAGAGGGGATTTGGTTTTTCTTCAAGTTGGGATAGAAAATTCTGAAAGAGTAGCCATTGATGTACTTGGGAGGAGGGTTATTGTTCATCAAGTTGTAGTGGGCCTTGTTGTAGGTGTTCCAGTCGTAGTCCAAGTAGATGAGGGACTGGTACTTAGGCTTGACGGCGTTGTGAGCGTGGTTTGGAGGCGACAAGTCCTTCAAGATGTTGCGGCGGTCGAGAGTGAGCTTCTTGTTGCTATTTTTGTAGTACTCGATGTTGTTCTCCCTCAGGTCCTTCGCGTGTTTGTGTTCTCGCTGTGCTTTTGCCTCCTTTTCCTTCTCTTTCTCTTGGGCCTGGGCTTTGTGGTCCTTCTCAGCGCCCATTTCGTCTTTTGCAGCAGAGTCTGGAGCGTTCTCGACTTCCTTTTCGCTCTCGGCGCTTAGCACATCAATGATTTGAAACAACTCCTTTTGGAAATTCAACAACTTGAAATCGTTTATTTTGAAGTTGACCAACTTCTTCAAGTTTCTCCAGAATTTGTATAAATCATCCTCGTTTTCTTCGTTTTCCTCTTTTTCCTCTTTTTTCTCTTTTTCTTCTTTTTCCTTTTCATCTTCAGTTGCTCTTAAAGTCTTATCAATTTCTTTGTTCAACTCAATTAACTCGGGTAAATTTTTATTCTTGATAATTCGCTTGAACTCCTCGTTGTCCTCGTTTTTACCAGTGTTTTCATACACCTTGTAAACTTTATAGTTTCCATTGTTATTACTATTATTACTATTATTACTATTATTGCTAGTGGCAGTGATATTATTGTTTGAGTAGTAATTATTATTATAATACAAATGGATATTGACCAATTGAAACAGGAAGATTTCAAAGAGTTTCAAAATTTCAATCAATCTATCAATAATTACCGGCTTGATAAAGCCCTTGTTCTTTGTACTGTTATTTGTTATCACATTGTTAATTAGGCTTAGTTTTATATTTAAATCGTTGACCAAATCCGTTAAATCAAATTTTGACAACCTTTTGAACCAATTGATGAGATTTAAATTTTTCTTTAGGGTGAAAAAATTTAGAATCAAAACGATATCGCTCATATTGTCATCGAATATTAAAAACTCGTGAAACCTCAACGACACCAAAAAATTCAAGTAATCATTTGAATTGTATCTTTTGTTTTTAATCTTCAATATCGAGTTCAAAAAAAACTGCCGAATCTCAAATAAATCCTCATCAATCAACCAGTCTAATAGTGTTAACTTCTCAGTGTCCTGTTGTTTGTCGCCATCGCCATCGCCATCGCCATCTTCGCATCTGACCCTGTATCTATTCACCGGCTTATGCTCACCTCTTCTACCCTGTCTATCATCCTGTTTCCTTCGCTTATACTGATTGGACTGATCGTATCTGCTCCTATATCCTCTTTCTCGGCTCTCACTCTTATGTTGAAAGTATCGGGGCATATTAAAATGGATGCAAGTGTCTGATTTTGTTTTCTGAGGAAAAATGCTCACAAGAATCCACTTATAAACCACTACATTATTTTTCCCGTGATTTTGAAGGGAACCATCTGCCAAGTTTTCTCATTTTGCCTGTTTTCACAGAAAAAGCAGCGTTTTCTCGGGGCTCGCCAAAGGATTTTGGTGTTTTTGCATCTTCGCACCCAAAAACAACGTTCCTTTAGTGAATCAACTCCATCAGATACTGCTGAACAAAACAACAGAGCTCTCAGGTGTTTGTTCTCAATCTACTCAACAACCTCTTCACCAAACACCATTTCATCCACCAAGCACTGCTCAACCCTCTTTTCTACTATGCTCTATCGGCTACAAATCACTACCGCTAATTCTGACAATACTTGTGTTGTTGTGCCCACTTTGTTCTTTTCTCTTGCGAGGCTGTAGAGTGCTACTACTGTTTTACTATCTGCCTATGCTTTACTTCTTCCTTCATCGCCAATAGCACCTTCTCGTTGAATAAAATGCTCCAAGTCGCTCCAAGTCCTATTGTTCCTCTGTTGTCTTGATTTGCAATGACCACCTAACTTCGAGTTTAACTATCTGAAAAATGTAGGAAGAAAACCTAATTTAAAAATTTTTTCAACCTTCTCCGAATTTGTAAAATATCATCTAAATTTTAATTTATCACCACTCCAGAATTCAAAAATCGTTTTGATATAAGAAACCTTGAATTTCCAATGAGAAACTTAAATAAATTGATATTGAAAACTTCTCTAAATCCATTTCCGAAGCTCTCATCACTGCATTTAATTCACTGTCCTATTTTCTTTCCACCTCGTCCATCTCTTCGACTGTATTCAACTAGAGATAGCATCAACAACATTCAAAAAAATAATCCAAACTATATTCATTCACGAATGAACACCAGTGCTGATAAAATATTTGTCAACAATTTGAGTTTCAATGCAAATATCGAGAACGATTCATGGAATAAAAAAGCGAATTTACCTTTCAAACTATCTTTGCAAATTTCTACAAACATCAACGAAAGTGGTAAAAATGACGACTTATCCAAATCAATTGATTATGCTATTATCTCAAATAACATTTTGAACTACTTTAATCAGAATTCAGAATCTTCTTTTATTGATGAATTCGACCTATTAAGTAAACTTTCTTCTAATGTAATTCATCAGAAAAATTCAAATCTAAACTCAAATTCTTGCTCGTCCATCGAGTTCAAATTGACTTCTTTTCATTCATTAATAAGACCACATAATTTGCAAATAGTCTTGAATAAACCGATGGTTCCAACTACTTCTCTGCTCAATAACAATACTGTAATTATTAATGGTCTAAAACTATTAACTTTAATTGGTTATTATGACTTTGAAAGAATTCAAAAACAATACGTATCTTTAGATTTTTCACTTGACTTGAACCAGTTCTTATTTCAAAGAAACTTATCTCAAAAATCATCAAAAGAATACTCTTTGTCAATAATATTAAACAAAATTATCAACTATGTTGAAAATGATTCATTTTTCATCACAATTGAAGCTCTAATTTACTCAATCTCTCTGATTTTACTAAACACTTTTAATTTAGATTGTAAAATTAACCTATCAAAATTAAACGCTATATGTCACTCAGACTCAGTTGGCATTGAAATCAAAAGATCCTTGCCCTCAAATAGTATAAAAAATTTCAATACGATCCAAAATGCTCAACATACTACACCTTCTAATATCATTGCTACAAATATCAATAACCTGAAAATTAATGATACCAATAAAACCAACAATTTCCTCGATCATACTGTCTACATATCATTTGGCTCAAATCAAGGCAACCAAGTGCAAAATATATTAATTGCATTACAACACTTGCAATCACAAGCTCAAATCATCAGTTTGTCAAGTTTATACAAAACAAATCCCATGTATTACCTTGATCAACCATCTTTCATCAATGGTGCTGTGAAGATAAAAACAAAATTATCACCATTACATTTGCTACATTTTCTCAAGAAAATTGAGTACGATATCTTACAAAGGGTCAAATATTTTGACAACGGTCCAAGATCAATCGATTTGGATATCTTATTGTATGATGAATTAGTTTTTGATAATCACAATGAGATTACTCATGAAAATAAAAGCCTTGATCATTTAATTCTTCCTCATCCAAGAATGCTTGAAAGATTATTTGTTCTAAAACCATTACTGGAAATTGCTGATCCTACTTTTCTTCATCCCGTTACCAAAAAATCTATTCATTCTCACTTAAATACTTTACGTTCTTCAACCTTAAATAAACAGTTTTCTGAAAATGAGGATTTAATTAATATCATACCCTTTCCAAGATATGACCATAAAAAATTCTTATCTTTCAACTTCAACACAAATGAAAACAAAACGTTGATAATGGGCATCATCAATACCACTCCTGATTCATTCTCCGATGCTGGCTTGAATTTACAGTTAGAAAAATCATTCAAAAACGTTGAAAATATGGTCTATAGTGGAGTAGACATTATTGATATTGGCGGCTGCTCAACTAGACCAGGCTCAAAATTTGTTGCTCCTGATGAAGAGTTAAACAGAGTGTTACCTCTAATTGAAGCAATTAGATTATCTAAAGATGAAAAAGTCAGAAATGTTTTGATAAGCATTGACACCTTTCGCGCTGAAGTTGCCTTGAAATCAGTTCAAGCTGGTGCTGATATAATTAATGATATCTCTATGGGTCAATTTGATGATCAGATGTTTAATGTTGTCAAAGAAACCGGTGTACCTTATATAATAGGACACACGAAAGGCAAGCCAGATGAGATGAGCAAGTTGGATACATACACAAAAAATAGTGATCCCATGATTATTGAACATCCATCCTCAGAACACCAGTCCAATCTCATCGAAGAAGAAAAAATTTTAAGTGATGCAATTTGTAAAGAATTATCTTTGGCACTTCTTAAGGCATATAAAGTTGGTGTTAAAAAATGGCAAATTATTTTAGACCCCGGAATTGGTTTTGCTAAAAATCTTAAACAGAACTTGTCCATCATGAGAGCAATTCCATCAATCAAAAATTATTCCTTGACACTAAAAAACAAGGAAAACTTGGATGGAAACGAATTCATTTCTTTCAAGAATTTGCCAATACTATTAGGAACAAGCCGAAAAAGATTCATTGGAACTATAACCAACGAGGATATATCAAATGGACGACTTTTAGGAACTGCTGCCACTGTTATGGCATGCATTGGGTTTCAAAGTGATATCATCAGAGTTCATGATGTGGAATCAATAAAGACAATTTGTTTAATGGGTGATGCGATTTACAAAAATATCCTTTAACAGATCACTGCTCTTATATTATCTCTGAAAAATCCACTCAGATATTCTTAACAAATCAACTACATTCAGAAAACTAGATAGCAATTACTGATAATGTAGGAATAATATTTATATATAAAGTTACACTACAACGCTTGTTTAAAAAAAAATATGAATCATAATAAAGATCAAAAATAAAAAAATAAAAATATATAAAGAAAACCAACATGAAACTGAATATACTGCTAAATAAAATTAAAAATAAAACAACAAATTCAAATTCAAAACTTAAAATAAAATAATAAATAAAAAAAGACAATTAATAATTAGCAACTACATAATACGAAATACATTTATAATTTGAATTTCAATTCCCCAGAAATCAAAACAATAAAAGGTTGATTGTGATTAAATTTCAAACCTTAGTTTTGACCTCATTATGAAATTAGATAATAAAATAAAAAAAAATAATTTACTGTAATCCTTGAACCATCAAATAAGAAAAATATAATCCAGTTCTATTTTTTTGACTTTTTTGTTCTTTTGTTTTTGGATTTTTTTCTTTTTCTATTCCTAGATTTGCTGTTATTTTGACTAACATTTGGCGCATCTTTGGAATTTGTTTGGTCTTCATTTATAGTGTTATTTCCTGAATTATTAGATGGTAATAACAGCTGACTTTCAAGATCAAAAACAAGATCATTATCACTTGGTTCATTGTTCAATGACGTAGAATCAATATTTGCACGAAAAGATTCAAGTAAACTAGGGCCCTCAACAGTATCCAGAGTTTGTTCAGTTTCTTCATCAATACTAGTTTGTGACAAATCGTGGGATCCAATGTTGGTGTTGGTTTTTCTACTATCCTTACTACTGCCAGTATTAGTATTAGGGCTGTGATTTATAGTAGAATCACTGTTAATGTTATCAATTTTATAAGTGCTATCACTAGAGGTGTTTTTATTTATGCTTTGTGAATTATTATTGGATTTAATCAAAAACTCATGATTAAGAGGTTTTGGCTGGACCGAAATTATCTCTTTAAAAGAATTAGATAAATTTCCGTTAGACTTTACAGAAAAGTTCTCAAACTGATCATCGCCAAAAGTTTTTTTGCTTGTTCCGACATTGTCAATAATATTTTTATTGTTCTTATTCAAAAATAAATTCAAATCTAGAATATCGTTATCATTACTACCAAATTTGCTTGATCTTCTTTCGTATAATCGTTCTCTTAATTCCAAATGGCTATCAGGAGTTTCAGAATTCTGGATAAAATCTGTTTTATTTAAACTAGCAAGATTCCTTTTTGATTCTTGAGCATCAATATTCAAAAGAAAGTTTGAATTGGACTTTGGGATTGAATTTGTGTCCACTACAGCACTCGTATTCATTAATGTTGAGGATCTCGAGGATCGTGGAGATTGGGAGGGTTCTTTATAAGATGGAGGTCTTGAGGCTGGTAGTTGGCCAAATTGGTAATTTGTTCTGGTAAAATTGGTATAGGTATTATCATTTATATTGAAATCACTACTTGATGAGTAGTTTACAATTTTTGAATTCATTGGGTTTAATAATTTTTGCTTTTCTTTGTTTTTTGGAATTTTGTGATGATACTTTCGATTTTGCAGCAATAGTGCTTTTGGACCAAAAAAGGTTTCTTCATCATAGGGATATTCAGGTGGTAGTATTTCGCCTCTTTCGACTACAACGTATTTCAAGTTATCATCACCATATGCCGGAGGAGCACCGATTACACCATTTGGAGGAGCAAACCACCATCTTTTAACATTTGCCTCAATAAATACAAAGCCGTATTTTCCCAAGTTAACGTTTACTTGGTTACCAGTTCCATTATAGGAACCAATGGCAGGATAGAGAGTGATCCTCATGTTGTGGATAATTTCAAATAGTTTTTTACCATTTCTTGTAAAAAATACTGTGCCCAATCTTGGTTTGAATCCTATTCCAACCACATCACCTTCTTCTAAGGGAGGTAAAATGTTTGGAGCGTTATTGAAAGGCTGATTGATTCTTGCAATTCCAGAAGATTCATAGGCCACCGAAAACTTGTTGTAGCCAGGGAGTCTGAAGTTTGGGTATGGTTTTGTTATTAAGCCAATTGAAATTACTGAATTTTTTTTCAATTTGAATATTTTTGTTTCAAAATACAAGACACCATGCTCGCCTCTTTCTTTGACTGGTAGTGGTAAATTCAATTGGACACAGCTTGGGGTATCATTCAAAAATGTTATTTCTGTTTTATCATGGACTATAAAATTTATATCATTGTTGCTTGGTGAGTTAGAGTTGGTGTTATTTAGGTTGCTGTTTGAGATCTGGTTTTGGTTCGAGCTGGTATTATTGAATAGATCATCTAAATCATTTGTGGTTGAATTTTCAAAATAAAAGGCCTCTAAACCTCTATCGATTATTGATCTATATTCATTATCGGTGAGACTTGAATTATAAGATACAATCGTTGGGGGGTTAAATTTTTGGAAGATTTTGGAACTATTGTAATAGTTCAAATCGACATCACTAAGCTCACTTAGGTATAAATTTTCTTGTTGAGAGATGTTCTCTTCATCATCGTATTCATTTGGTATGACAAAACTGGTTGTAGAATAATCGTTGGAGCTAGAGCTGCCATCGGAATTGTTGAAATTAAAGGAGGAGTTGATATATAGCCAGATGAAGTATATGATTAGAATAATGAATGCTATTAATATTGCCCCAAAACTCGATGATAAAGCTATGATTAGAGGTAGGTTCAAATTGTCATTATTTCCATTGTTTCCATTGTTTGGTGGCTGAATTGGTATAGTTGAAAAATCAGTGTAATCAGCATTTAGGTTGTTATTAAGATTGTGGTGGTTGTAGGAGCTATCATGGTAGATATTTTGATCAATTTTGTTGGCAATGTTACTGCTAGTCAGATCAGCATGGAGATCATTAGGATTGATATTTTGTTTGTTCTCCATCACTTGAAAGTACGATAAGGTACCCTCATTTTTATTTCGGCTTTGACCATCATTTTTGCTGAAGATCGCAGTTAGTTTGGATGTTATGTTGACCATTCTGGGCTAGAAAGATCCAGACTGTGAATCAGAGACAGTATTTATCCTAATCTTGTGTCACAAGTTGGATGAGTTGGGGTAAAAGGCTAGTTTGTAGAATATATAGTAGATCGAAGGGAGAGACTGGGAAGCAGACAGCTCTACTATTTCATAGCAGGGTCTCAGAAGAAAGCAGACACAGGACTCGAGCAAGACACAGCACTGATCAATCACCAATGGTTCTGGTGCACTTCAAAACATCTTCAACTAGACTGCTTTCTCCATCTGATTTCGTCCAGCGATGTTCTCACCAAAAAAGCAAACAGCGCCCATCCGCTGTCTTCCGCATCCGTCAACACGTCCGCAGCGCCTCCTGAGCGTTCCGTGCCGCATCCGCGCACCAGATGTGTGCCCCCGTTCTCGGATTGTACTCCGTCCGCGGTTGAAGGAAAACGAAAAATTTTCAGATAAATAAGGAAAAGACAGACTGGTTTTTCATCCACCTCGCTTTCTTTCCATTTGAGTGCGTTGTAATTTCAATCCAGTTTCCCTTCTTCTATCCACACATTTGCTTTTAACAATGTCTGACGACCACTTACATGAGGACAACATTGCCTACTCAAGCACTCGTTTGTATATCAGAAACGTCGTTCCTGGAAGTATGTAACCACTGTTTTGCCGTTTGTTCTAATCAACACCATACTAACTGAATTTTTTTATGCTTTTTTTTTTTAATTGACAGCTACTGTGCAAGAATTGGAGGAAAACTTTCAAACCATTGGTGAGTTGACTGACGTTAAAGTCATGGAAGGTTATGCCTTTGTTGAATACAAAAACCCGGAACATGCTGCTCAAGCTCACGACGAGATTGCCGGCGTTGAGATCAATGGTTCAGTTATTGGTATAGATTTTGCTAAGGAAAGACCAGCACCACCAATTGGTGGAGGCAATCCTGATTCGAATGAAAATCCAATTCCATATGCCGACAGACCTCCAAGAGGAACTTACAGAATGGTTATAAGAAACATTCCTGAATCCTTCCAATGGCAACAAGTCAAAGACTTGGTCCGGGATGTTGCAGGCGTTGTTGCCAACTTTGTCAATGTCGACCACGATGATCCTGTTGCCAGCATGGAGTTCAATTCCAAAGACGATTTAGAAAAAGCCATTCAATCTTGCAATGGTCATGAGTATGAGGACACAACCTTAGAAGCTGAAGAAGATACCTCAGAGTTTGTCCCTCCTCCTCCAAGAAGATTCAGAGGCAGAGGTGGATTTCATCCCAGAGGTTTTGGTGGCCGTGGTGGTGGCTTCAGAGGTGGTTTCAGAGGTCGTGGAGGCTTCAGAGGAAGAGATGATTTCAGAGGTCGTGGTGGCTTCAGAGGAGGTCGTGGTGATTTCAGAGGTGGCCGTGGTGGTTTCAGAGAAAGAGGCGGTGGCTTCAGAGGTGGTCGTGGAGGCTACAGAAATGACGAATCTGGATACAGATCAAGAAATTATGATGATGGTAGATCTGGTGGTTATCATGATGGCCCATCCAGACGTGATACCTCTCCAAGACGTGATCATTACTAAATCCCACATTAATGTCAATCAAATTATTGGTTTTTGAAGACAATCAACTGAAGAATGAGTTTTGAATTTTATTTCCAATCATATTTTATCCTAATATATCCTAATATATCATAACCTTATCCATATTTGTACTAGTAACATTGTTTATCCCTATCCCGAATTTGATTATTATTGTTTGAGTTTCTTCAAACTCTATATCCATATCTTTGATTCTATTTTATTTTAATTATCTATTATCCATCAACATCACCTCTTCCCTTTCCCTTAAGGTTCATTAAAACATCGGTTCAATACGGTTTTATTAATTTTGAATGCACACAAGAAAAAAAAAAATAAAAATGAAGAAATATAATAATAAGATTAGCAAAAAAGTGAAAAGAGGATTGGAATAAGAATTGGAAAGTCTTATTGTGTGTGTGTGTGTGCGTGTTTGTATTTTTAAATGGTCTAAGAAAGAGAAAGAATTGGTATTGAGTGAATAAACGGCATATGTTAGAAGAATAATAGAACAAGAGTGAATGATTAAAGAATATTATCCTCAATTATTATTTATTTCTACTGATGTGTATTGTTTTTTTGTTTTATTTCTTGTGTTTTGTTGCTATTAGTATTATTTTGTATCAATCCCTTTGATTTATTTAAGTGTATATTTTTGTTTCCTTTTTTCCCTATAACATGAAAAAATAAAAAAAAAGAGTCCTGTTGAAAAAAAAAATTAATTTTATCCTTGGTGATATTAATTTTTTCCTCTCTTATACATTTATTGTTTAAGATTATCTAGAACCATATCCACTTTGAAATCATACTATTTGACTCAAAACACACAGAACTTGAATTTAAATTCGATAGAATATCATATATATATGAGTTGAGTTGTTGAGTTTAAAACTATTATTTTTATACTTCAGCATAAGATTTATGTATCCTTGGGTTACTCAATGAAGCTCCAGCATAAAAATATTTTCAACTGCATGGATCAGAAGTACTCCATTTCAATCAGAAGTGCTCCAATCAGCATATAAACAGGGTTTTTTATTGTTTTTTCAATAAAATTGATATTAAAACAACGTGGATATATTCAGACGAATTCCCTTCTTTTGCACAATTTATTGGATAGCTTTATAAGCTATTAATTGGGTAAGTTGACTTTTTGTCTGCCAGTATGACTAGAGATTTAATTGGGTTTTTTATATCCACATCAATCAATGGAAAAAAAGAATGCGCAGGAACAAACATCTCCCCGAACTGTTTTTGGTTTTTTCAAATTTTCCAGGTTGAATTGAGTTAAACGTGGTAAGTATAGCTCACCTCCTTGTTTACATATGAAGAAAAGTCCTCATTCAATTCTCTTGCGCAATTGAAGTCGTTTTTACTTGTAGTTATATAGAGACTCCATAGAAGTTTTGTAGCTTTGTAGCATATAGATCTAATACACAATCCTCAAAAGAAACAGACAGCTCGATTTTATTATATCTGTTTCCAGAAATTGCTCTTTTGGGAAATGTGTCATGTGACCAGTTTTTTGGTGCGAAATTCCATTTTGGGGATTTGCGTTCTTTTTGTTGGTGTTTTGTCCTCTGAGTCGCTTCTTCTGATGCTATTTGTGTTGATGGTGTGTGTTTCTGGTGCTATAAACTACATTACAACTTCTGAGCAATGAACAATCCTACATTTGATGCTGAATCTACGATCAAGCCCACCTCTCCAGCCTTGTCTATTAAAAGTTCCCTTGAATGTCAACGTATTCAAAATCTAAATATAAACTCCCACATCCAAAATACTCCGAACAACCCAACTTTTGTCAATAACACCAACCATAACAAAAACAACCTCAATAGTGAGATTAATGAAGAAATGACTAACAACAATCGCAATGCAAATTATTATAAAGAAATCCGGCAGGCTTTGGGCAACTTATCCACCTCATCAAACACCTTGAACAACAGCTCTAACAATAGCCACAACATCAACAATAATGATAACGAGAGTCCAAATGACCCATTGATGGGTCACAGTGATATTGAAAACTCAAGCAAGTCCACACCCAATTTTTTTTCCAGCAGCAAATTCATTGTCTTTGTTTCCAATATTTTGAAAGTTGTCAAGAAATATATAAAATTCATTGGCCCAGGAATCATGGTGTCTGTTGCATACATGGATCCAGGCAATTATTCAACAGCTGTGGCTGCTGGTGCTCATTTCAAATATAAACTCTTGTTTTCCGTACTATTATCAAATATAATGGCTATTTTTTTACAAAGTTTGTCATGTAAACTAGGAGCTATAACTGGTCTAAATTTAGCTCAATTGTGTAAATTGAATCTACCATTTTATTTAAATATATTTGTTTATGTTTTAACAGAGTTGGCAATAATCGCAACTGATCTAGCTGAAGTGGTTGGTACTGCGATTGCCTTGAATATTCTTTTCAATATACCTTTGATCATCGGAGTTCTATTAACAATTATTGATGTGTTGATTGTTTTATTGGCGTATAAACCCAATGGCCCTTTGTTCATCATAAGAATTTTCGAATTTTTTGTAACATTCCTAGTCATATCAACTGTAGTGTGCTTTACAGTGGAATTGTTTGATGTCTCTAGTTCAATCACTTCAGTCAAGGAATTATTCGAGGGATTTTTGCCTTCAAAAATCATACTTCATGGTGATGGTCTTTACTTGAGTTTGGCGATCTTGGGTGCAACTGTCATGCCTCACTCCTTATATCTAGGCTCTGGTCTAGTTCAAGCACGTCTAAAGGATTATGACATTAAAAACAATAATTATGCCCCTCCCTCTCAATTCTCTTATGATAATGATGAATTAGATGAAAATTATAGACCCTCAATGAACGCCATAAATGATACAATTATCTATAGCATAACTGAATTAATTATTTCGTTATTGACTGTTGCATTGTTTGTCAATTCTTCAATCTTAATAGTTGCTGGTGCAACTTTAGCTGATACTCATAATAGCAATGATCCCTCAATTGCAGATAGTGCCGATTTGTTTTCCATCTATGAGTTGTTATGTACAAATTTATCAAAGACCGCTGGCTTTGTATTTGCTCTTGCTTTATTGTTTTCTGGTCAATCTGCTGGAATTGTTTGTACTCTAGCTGGGCAAATGGTTTCGGAAGGCTTTTTAAATTGGTCTTTTCCTCCAGCTTTGAGAAGATTGATAACAAGATCAATTGCCATTATTCCCTGTTTTTTGCTAGTTTTAATAACTGGCAGGTCAGGTTTATCAAATGCTTTAAATTTTTCTCAAGTTTTGTTGAGTTTATTATTACCCATTGTGTCTGCCCCATTAATTTATTTTACAGCAAATAAAAAAACTATGAGAGTGCCAATAACAAGAAATGATAATGATTCTAATGAGTCAATAAGGTTATCTGTCATCAACAACAGTGAATCTCACAACGAATCTGATAATGAATCCGATGTTTCTGACTCAAATCGCTTACTAAACAATATTGAAAATGATAATCAAATAATTGGTTATAAAGATATGAGCAATAGTTTGTTGACTAACATAATATCTGTCATAATTTGGTTGTTTATAACCTCATTGAATATCTACCTTCTATTCAGTTTTATTTTGGGTAAAGATGTTCGAATCTGAAAATTTTAATTCTATATTATTTTTATTTTTATTTTTATTTTATTTTATTTTATTTTATTTTATTTTATCTTTGTTTTAGCTGTTTTGAAATTTTTTAGTTTTTGCTTCTAAACACATCTGCATCTATTCTTCTTTGTGATTTTTTCTCTTTTTTTCTTCTATCTCCATCTTGAGTAGTTGTATTTTTTTTAGATTTGTTTTTATCTCTTTTGTTTGTTAATTATATCTATACGACTATTATTAAACCAATTCAATTATTCTTTCAGTTCTTTATTCTATCCTTCCTATTACATTCCTATTCTGACCATAGCCTTTTTTTTTACAGATAATACATTAGAAAACAATTTTTTTTGGGTTAATCTTAATAAATCATTATTTTTTCTTATTTTTGTCAATTTGTTTTTGTAGCTTGCCAAAAATTTTGTCTCTGTGCATTGCCCTTGGATCATCTCTATCGCCCGGAGCAAAGTAATTTCTTTTGAATATCTCTGAATCGTTGTCGTCATTTGATTCATTCGAATGATAATAATCATCATCATCCCCACGACTAACTGAATCATCTGCAATTCTATCTTCATTCAGACTCAAATGGGATAAAGTGGTAACCAAATTCTTATGGTTTTTATTGAAAGTTTTATAAATAGACTCTATATCTTTGAATTTTAAATCGCCTTGCTGATTATTATCTTCAATATCATCAACATATTCTTTGTTGTCTTCTGAGGTTGAATAACTAGTTTCGAGCCGATGGTTTCCGTATTCATTAAATCTATTATCATCGTATTCATACCCATAGTCGTAGTCGTATTCATTGTAGTCGTAATCATTTGAATTGAAAATTATTGAGTTATCATCGTCTTCATTGTCTGGATAATCGTTCTTGTAAAAGTCTTCAGCATTTGAATCCTCATCATCAGTCATGTTATTCAAGTTTTCAGAATCATTTTCATCTTCCTGATCCAATAGACTTATTAGTTCTTCATCTTCAAATCTGATATAACCAATTCGAGATAAGTCTATTTTAGAGGTGGTCTGCATATCTTGAGATACAGAGGAATAATTCAACAACTGGTCTGTGGAGTTAGTGAATTCATACACATCATAAACATAAGTACTGCTTTGTTCATTGTTATTCTCATTGGTTTTCAAGTTATGGTTACTAGAGAATAGTGGGCTGCTGCTATTGTTGCCATTTTGAATATCTTTGTGAGTAGTTCCACTTGATGGGTTCTTTTGGTTCTCAAGAGCCAAACATTCATCAACCATTTGCAACAATATATCGTCTACTTCAAATTTTTCCTCCTCTATCTGAGAGACATCTTTTTGAGCTGTAGTTTCACTGCTCTTGGTGACAAAACTTGACTGGAATCGCTTGTGGTTCTGATTTACTGGCGTAAAAACCAGTTCTTTGCGTTTTCGAGGTAGTAAGAATACTTTCTTTTCTTCCTTTTGACCTTCCAGATTTAATGACCCATTTCCATCATATTTTATATCAGGTTGTAGTATATTTTCATCTTCGTTGTCCACATCGATTTGGCTAACTTCGTCAGTCCTTTTCAATTTGAATAGACAGCTTCTGGTTTTCTTAAGGAGTCTTGAGTTTTCTATGACCAATGCCTGCAAAGGGTCCTCAGTCCTTTTCCTTTTGATCTTGATGATACTTAGAGAACTGGTGTCCTCAGGTTTGATCATTTCTTCGGTTGCAGTTAGTGTTTGATGAGTATCGCTTGCTGAAACTTGACACATCTGTTAGTGAAGGCAAAGCTAAAAAGTCTCCGATTTTTTCTGGTGCAAATCTCCTGTCCACACAAGAGTAGTTGAAGAAGTGGTTTGCACTTAATTGCCAGCATCAGAACCTACAATGGCACACCAACAGCACGAATTAACGCTTTTCAAGGAGAAACATATCCAGTATATTGTGAATCTCAACACCAAGGACAAAAGCTACGAGTACTGGTTGACTGAACATCTACGAATGAATGGGCTCTACTGGGGCTTGACAGCTTTGTATCTATTGGGCTCTCAGAACTCGCTTGACAAAGAAGATGTGATCAGCTTTGTATTAAGTTGTAAAGATCCAGTCAATGGTGGATTTGGAGCTTTTCCCAAGCATGATGGACACTTGCTATCCACATTATCTGCTATTCAGATATTGGCGACTTTGGATTCGTTGGACGTTTTGAACGAAGAGGATATCAACGACCTTGTTGATTTTATAATAGGATTGCAATTGCCGAATGGCTCTTTCCAGGGCGATAAGTATGGAGAGATTGATACAAGATTTATCTACACTGCTATATCTAGTTTGTCAATTTTAGGCAAGTTGACCAAGAAAGTCGTCGAGCCAAGTTTGAGCTTTATTAAAGATTGCCAAAATTTTGATGGTGGGTTTGGAATGGTTCCTGGAGCTGAGTCTCATGCTGCTCAGGTATTTACGTGTCTTGGAACACTAGCAATATTGGACAGATTGGATGTGATCAATGACCAGAATTTGCTTGGATGGTGGTTAAGTGAAAGACAAGTTGCGAATGGTGGATTGAATGGGAGACCTGAAAAATTGCCAGATGTTTGTTACAGTTGGTGGGTTTTATCGTCGTTGTCAATCTTAAACAAATTGAGCTGGATTGATCACAGGAAGTTGAGGCAATTCATTCTACACTCTCAAGATTCAGAAAATGGTGGAATCAGTGACAGGCCTGATAACCAAGTTGATGTTTACCATACATTGTTTGGTATTGCAGGTTTGAGTTTAATGAAGTTTGAGAATTTGGTTGCAATTGACCCAGTTTATTGCATGCCAATTGAAATAACCAAAAAATTTAGAAGATGGCCATATACAGAGTAAACTTGATAGTCTAATGATAATAATGATAATAACAAAAATAATAAAAACAATCTAATTTTCATTTGTAGAACGTATAAATGTTGGAAAAGTTAAATAAAGTAGTTAGAAAAAGAACATAAAATTAGAAAAAGATTAATATAAAATTAGAAAAAGATTAATATAAAATTAGAAAAAGTTAGAAGATTGCAAAGGAAAATAGTTTGATACTGGACTTTTCCTAGATAGAAATTTTGCTAAATTGATCTTCCATTGCCATTTTTCTTCTTTCACTATAAGAGTCATTTACGTTTGAAAAACTGTCAATTTTGATTAAATCTGGATCAACAACTTGATTTGATTGAATAATTGATGATGAGGCTGTATCAAAACGAGAACCATTTTCGTAATCATATGAATAATTGCGGTCTTTGGCAATGTTCTTTTTGTTGATGTAAGCATTTGTATCATTATTTTGATGAGGAACAATTTTTTGGAAGCGAGAATTATTATTATTATTATTATTATTGTTGTTGTTGTTGTTGTTGTTGTTGTTGTTGTTGTTGTTATTATTATCGTTATTGTTAATATTTGTAATATTTTGGTGCATGAAACCCCCATTTGTTGATAGCTTTTGAGAACGATAATTTTCATATAAAATGTTATGTGTGATGTCTTTAAACTCTTGCAAATGAGAACCAAATAAAACAGTCTTTAAAGTCAAAAAGTCACTGTAGTTTGGGTCCTCAACTTTGACAGTGCCCCAGGGATACTCTCTTACATGGTAAACCATGCCATCAATTTCTTTTGTGTGGTTGCTACTGACAATTGCAAAGGGTAGCAATTTTTGCAACTCGTCATTTTCCTGAGCGCTATCGTTGTAAACACTGTTTGATTGGTTTGTGTTGTTGTCGCTATCGTAGTAATTATTATTGAAGTTGAAAATTTGAATATTATTTTTTTTCAATTGAAATAAGACCTGTTTTTTGAAATTGATTAGTTCCAGTTCGGTGTATAAATCGGCTTTAGAAATCACTGGAATGACGTTTGTGAATCTTGTTAAAGAATTTATAACTTGCAAATCCAATTGTTTTAAAATGGGACTAGTCAAAAAATAAAGAGCAACATGAACTCTTTGATCAACCAAGTTTGGATTTCTTTTAATTCTCAATTCTTCTTGGAGAATAAGATCAAACTGAGACTCTAAAAAGTTGACAATTTTCAAATTGGTAAATTTGTTATTGATATTTGATCCAAACTTTGAGGTAATGATGACATTTAAATTGATGGGGGTTGAATTTTTCTCGTGAATCTCAATTTGGTTGATATCAATAGACATGCTGTCGGATTTATTGATATCAATATCTCTTTCTTTGAGTTTTGAAGATGACACTGGAGGTAAATTCGAGCAATTGCTGCCAGTTTCATTATCGCTTTCATTGTTGTGTGTTTCAATACCATCAAAGTCAATCAAATTAGTAGAAGAAACTTCTTTTTCTGGAAAGACTATCTTGTTGCATAAGTTGTTGATAAAAGTTGATTTTCCGGTTCCCTCGTAGCCAACCACCATAATGTTGAGTTGCAATCCTTTTTTGACCATTTTTCGACGACGAACTTCCTCAGGGGAAACCTATTAGCATTTGACATCCATAAAACAGATTAGTATAACCATTTTTGCTTTTGGAATCAAAAAGAGAGGCTTTCTGAAGAAACCAGACTCATCGCCAGCAACAAAGTAAAACAAACGCAAATGAAAGCCGAAGGCATTTTGGATATATTGAGAAAGCTAATTAGTTCAAGCAGTAGTCTTTGCAGTAGTCTTTGCAGTCAGAAAACCAGTGTTGACGACGAATATGTTGTGGATATCGATCTCAATGGCAATCAGTTCAGATGCCCAGCAAGAACTTATACCAACAAAAGCAGCAACTCAAACTCCAGCAGAGGAAGGCTTTGTGGATTTGAGCTGTTTTTGTGTGAAGGTCATCTTGAGTGTTCTTTGATTGTTGTTTGCATGCTCTGTATATTTTTTGAGTATTTTGTGTTCTTTTACGTTGCTCTCATTCGCCGCTTTCGCTGCCTGTGGCGGAGTTTGCACTACCGTTTTGGGCGAAGACGATATAATCACTTTGGAGAAGCGCTTTTAAATCCACTGAAGAGAGCTGTGAAGACCTCACTGAAGACTCCAGCACACCATGGAATACGATTCCGAAGACAACCTCTACGACAACGAAGTAGATGAGGAGGATGTCAAAGACAACTTTCAGGACTGGGGCATTCTCTCCTCCAAGCTCTCCTCCTCTAGTTCATCAGCAAATGCTGCATCCAATCTCTTTAAAAAGGGCAACAAAGACTTTGAGCCTGATGGAACCAACTACCAACAAAAGCTATTGAACAATTCAAAGCACAGAATGTACGAGATCCTAAGAAACTCAGATGAAAAATTCAGAGGCCATTTCCACAAGAACCATTTGGAATGTTTATACTACCATGACATCAACAAGGCTGTCATAAACAAACCGAAGGGCAACTATTTCAAAGACATTGGCACGGTCAACCGTTACAACTCAGACAACCAGTTGTACTTGAATTGGGAAGAGCTATTGTATTTGATGGAAAGAGGGAACTTAGAGGTATTTAATTCTACAAATGGTGTGCCCATATCTGTGCAAAACTGTTACTCAAATTGCATTAAATCAAACCATGATTTGGATAAATACTTGGTTTACTCAACACTAAAAAGACATGGCTATTTGATTCAAAGACATAACGAGAACCAGGATAATTCGGATGACCATAATGACTATACCCATCGACAGAATCTGCAGAACTTTGTGTTCAATGGTCAAGATGATGAGAAAAGTGTCATAAGCACAGATGTCTTGATAAACAATGATAACTTTTTTGTTAGAAACTACTGGAGTATTATCAAGCTGGTCAACAATAACTCAACCTTAAAGCTTTTCAAAAACAGTATAATTCTCTATTTACGGAAAAAAAGTTTATTATCCTATCCAGTTTTTGCTTCAACTAAACATTTTAGCTCTAAACATTATAAATCCTATTTGGATATTTACAATTCATTACAACTAATTAAATATCATAATCCCTACAAAAGAGGTATATCATTTACCAATTACAATAGCAATAGCAATAGTAATAATAATAATAATAATAATAAATTTAAAATAATATATAATATATGGAAACCACAAGTAAATTTTAAAAAAAGTAATCCTCCAAAACCTGACTATAAAATAATTATTTTGAATTCAAATCTAGGCAATTTTCCAACTTTGAATGATTTGATAAATATTTTTAATAAAAATGACACTAATAATGATAATGATTATGATTATGATAATGAAAAAGAAAAAGAAAATTATAATAATGAGATTGCTAATAGTCTGAAAAATAAAAAAGACAATGTAAATAGTAAACTGAATAAAACTGGAAAAGACGATAAAAAAAATAACAGAAACAACAAAAATAAAAACAGTAGCAATAGCAATAATAACAGTAATATTAATAATAACAACAACAATAATAAAACTTATTCTGCAAATCAATTAAAGCAAATGAAACAAAAGAGATTAATGAAATCTCTCAGAGATGGGTATGATAATACTCTCTTAGTTGCTGTTGTTGATAACGGTATTATAAGTTTCATTAAATTGAACGAAGGCATTATTTCAACGAAAATATTAGATATGAAGTAATTGGACATGAAGCAATTGGACTTGAAGTAATTAGATGGTCATTGAAATTGCAGTTATTTTTTCGGTTTTAAGTATTGGAATACCAAATTTAACTGTCTTGATTTTTTGATATAGATTGAATTCTAATATTAATATCGAATCTAAGATTATTATCTCTAAACCAGGATTGAATTGAATTATAAAGTATGAATTATCAACCAATCTACAAGTTATGGAGTTTAAATTTTTGAAATTATTATTATTGTTCAACTTGACATAATAAACTTGTTCGGCCTCTTCATCATCGTCATTCTCATAATCTGTGTCTGTTTCATTGCTCGTATCATCATCTTCTTCTTCATTTTTATTAAAAATTTTGCGACTCGTATTATTATAGTTATTATTTTGTTGATTAATATAATTTGTATTTAAGCTTTTAATTGATTTTGGTGTATATAAATTAGTTTGAATCGAGAAACTATTTGCATTGAAATTTGATGTAATATTTTCATAATTTGAATTGATATCATAAATTGAGAGCTTTAGGATTGGAGACTTATCAGGGGGCAAATTTAGTTTGATACCATAGCAGGATTTTTTGTCGATTTTTAAATCTGGTTCATAGATGAAATCCAATTCATACATGAGATTGTTAATTTGAACTTTTGACATGATAAAGTAAAATTGAAGTTGAAATTGAAATTGAATAGTAAAATAATATTATAAATTAAGAAATGTATATACTAACTAAACTAGCAAAAATATATATATAATTTTTTTGGTTTTTCAAGCAAATTGTTAACTAAATGTTTTTACTTGAATTAAACGATAGAAAAAAAAGTTAAAGAATTTAAATTGAACAAACGAGAATGAAAACAAGAAAACTAGGTTTAATAATGAACTACAAACATAAATTAATAAAAGAATTGGTAAAAAAGAAAAAGGGAATTTCAACTATTTATGTTGTTTTAATTAGTACTGGTTGTGTGCAAAAGTTGATGGCAATGAAAATTTAATAATACAGTTATTTTGTAACTCTACAAGTGTAATGAATTGGCAAACACATGATAGTTATACCTTAGCAGGGGTGGTACTGATAGTGATTACTGTTGAAATTGGAATCGAGTAAAAGAAAAAGATAATTATTAAGAAAATCGTGGTGGTAGTCAAAGACTGTGCTGGAAACCTAATATCTATCTCTTAAAAAAGGATAAGTTGGAAATTTTGCATAAAACTAGCTTGGTAGATTAGGCTATTGGCGATAAATTATTAATCTGGAGAGAATTTATAAGCCAGTATGGTTGATTACTAACTTTTTTTCTTTGTTGCCTACAGATCCAGTTCTGGGAAGTGATCTGTGCCTGACTGAAAATGTTCCCATGCAAATTGGTTGGATTCCAACAATTTTAAAAATAAAACCTCTACATTCAACATGATTCAGGTGAATTGGGAAGCGCAGGCAAATCATTGGCTATGTGGATATGTTATTACAGGAATCAAGCGAGTCTCTAGCAAAAACACAGCATTCATCACTTCGGCACTAGGCAGAGAGATTAAGATGAAGCGATAGCGAAGTAGCCAGAACAGCTGCTGAAGAACAATAAAGAGCATACTGAGCCACGCATCCAAAACGAAGCCATTTTGACCGCTGAATTACACAATCAAATCCACTGCATCCAATTTGAACTTAAGCTTCACAACACAAAAAAAAACACTGTAGCGTATGAGAAAGCTTAAATTTGAAAGGCCCAGACGGATGGAGCCGCCACACGTACATGCACGCACCAAGCAGTATGAGAACGCATCCAACAGTGTAAGTACACTCACTGACATCATGATACAGCAGTAGCGTGACTTACACGTGTTAAAGCGCTGCTGCACATAAATATACACCAGAGCGCGTATGCGTTCCGTTGAGCTTGCAACTGTTTCCGTCGGATTTTCTCTTCTCAAACCCGCCTTCCAGTTTCAAACCTAGAAGCAGTTATTTCTCTGGCGAATAATTCATCAAGCTGGTGTAATTCACAAACAAAATAATGTCTGACTCTAATCGACCAACGCTACTCAACACCATGGACCATACCCGGGTCCATAGTGCTGCTGAAAACTCGTTTATTTCATCAAACACAGCTACAACGAACTCTACTCCATTGTCCAGTTCTTCAGTTGGCTCCCAGAAGGCTCTATTGAATAACATGATCAACAGCGACGATGACTTGGTCATCGACTCAAATTTCAATTATTCTCTCAAAAACACCATATCTTATCCGTTTTATCAGCAGTTTATCTATAAAATCACTTCCAACATATTCTCTCTTCTATTTCTATCGATTTTGATGTTATTTGCCATTTTGAGATATGTGTTCAGAGGCTTGCTTGATTTTCTACGACTAAACACCAAAAATCAAGACGTCATGGAATACAACACATATAATAAAAATTTCAAAAACAAAAAGTTGACCAAGTCTGAAAATAGACTAACTTGCGATTTAGGTTATTACATCGCCTTGGAAAATTTAAAGCTAGTAAGGTATAAAATTATAACAGAGGATGGATTTATTTTGAATCTCTACCGACTTTTAAATAGGGATGAAGACAAATATACAACTGAACAGAATAACAGAATCCCGGTATTGTTTCTACACGGTTTATTGCAGAGTTCGGCCTCTTTTGTAACTAATGGCAAGGATTCCTTAGCAATCAATTTGTTCAATTCTAACAAATATGATATTTGGTTGGGCAATAATAGATGTTTTTTTGATAAAAAGAGCTATGTTTTAAAGAATGATAATAATCCAAACTTCTGGAACTGGGATTTGAATCAAATGTATCAAAATGATTTATCCTCAATGATAAACTTCATTTTGAAAGTTAATAACAATAACAACACAAATAAAATCAACTTGATCGCGCATTCGCAAGGAACAACTCAATCTCTAATATCAATATCGAATAACCATGAGAACATCAGTTCCAAATTGGTTTGTTTTGTAGCGTTAAGTCCAGCAATTTATAAAGGAAAACTATTTGATAAAAAAATTTTCATTATTTTTCTAAACTCAATCAACTTGTTTTTTTTTAGACTCTTTTTTGGAATTCTTTCATTTATGCCCATAATGCTAAATATCAGAAAACTTCTCGTTAAAAACCATTATTCAATCAAAATATTCGGGTTTTTGGGCTACTTGATGTTCAATTTCTTGTTTGATTGGAATGACAAATTGTGGGATAGAAATTTAAGAAATCGTTTGTTTCTATTTAGTCCCGTTTACATAAGCTCAAAATTAATATTTTGGTGGTTAAATGATAACGAAAATGATGGATTTATTAACTGTTCAAGGAAAGTTTTCAAGTTTAATAGATCATGGTTTAATAATGATAACACCACTGATAATGCCCATCAAAATATCACTGGTACTGAAAACATCAGCGGTACTGAAAACACCAACAGCAGTGATGATATTGATTATATTCATGAAAATAACAGCATTAAAAATAATAATGCAAAAAACAATCTGAATAATACAAATAATAAAAGTTTAGTACCAATGTTTTTTTTCATTGGAAATAAAGATGATTTGGTTAGTAATGATTTGCTAATTGAACATTTTGAACAATTTGAAAATCACAACTATAAAATAAAAGATTATACCTTTAATACTGAAACCAGCAGTATTGTCAATACTCAAGTTAATAGAAGTGAAGAATATGGCGATAGGCAGATTCTTTGTGTTAAAAGAATACCAAATTACTCACATCTAGATGTTTTGTGGGCTAAAGATGTTCTAGAAACCATTGGGGATCCCATGAGCCAATTTCTTGATTCATTAAACTAAAAATTAACTATAATATTGCACTTGCTCTGGGTTTTAATTCTTGCTTTCGCTTTCAATTTACATATTTTTTCTTTTTCTTTTTCACTTCACCTACTCTATTGTTGAGCTTTATTCTTAAATTTTCATTAGTCATTTCATACTTCTTTGATAGATTTTTTCTTACAAAAATTAAAACAATCAAAATTATTTGATACTCTCTAACAGGCCACTTCATTATGGTATCCGATATCTTATTGCTCACGATTCAGCTTTGTGAATATTTCTCAGATGTTATTTCTTTCAAAATTAATTTGATTGGTCCTCGGACCGATTATATTTGGCTTTGTTTTTAAAATTGCCCCGCAGCAATGCGCATATCACATGCAAGAATCAGCTGTCATTCGGCAAAATAATCGTACGGTCGAAAATTGCCTCTTTTAGAGTGTTGGAGCAATTGTAGTAGGTTTCTCTTACCGTACTTCATTTAAACGGACATAAAAACTAAATTGGCATAGAATATATATAAATATGTAATATAAAAAAGAATATGTTTGTAATAGAATCGTTGCTTGGTTTATTTTTGGCTAGTCTTACTCGCCTAGCTTTTTCAATGCTAATTCATCCTTTTCATTGAACTCACGAACACTGACATCTTCTCTTTTTAATGTTTGTAGCACCTCACCATCGTAGCTGGTTTTGTTATACTCAAGTTTGTGGTTGCTAATTTTATTCACCAAATCAAAATAGTTATTGTAAATGTCTCCATTATAATTGCCCAAAACTGACTGAACCAAGAAATCTGAGTATTTGAATGAATCTGTTAAACCGATCACCCTTTGTCTTAAATATGGTAAAAGCACTGTCATGATGTTTAATTTTAATCTGGTGATTTTTTCGGAATCCAAGATATTAAATTGTAAAAAGTAATTCGAATTTTCATAGATAAAGTAATTGGATAACAATAAAATCAAGCTTTGCAAAACCTTTTTAACTGACTTTCCAGTGTTTGGTTTGTTAAAATATTCAATAAAAGAATTCAAGAGATAATAGTAGGCATTGAATTTAGATAATTTGACACATTCAGTAGTTATGATATCCCAGTTATTGTTGTTGGTTGATAGGATATCATTGCAACTTTTAGCTAAATTGAAGATTACCGATCCAATCAACTTCAAATGAGAATTGTAATCATTAACATCAAAGTCATCATCATTATTGTCATTACTGTCTTTGCTGTTGAACGCATCAATCAAATAGCCGAAATCTTTTGGGACAGCTTTAAATTTCTTTGCTAAAATCTTTTGAGCAAACTTAATAATTGATTTACCAGCCGATGTAGCCAATATATTGTTATCACCTTCCCAAGTGCATTGAACTACCCAGTCGTTATAACCTTTTCCAAACCCAGCATAAGCTGAGTAGCCATGGCCACCACATGCTTGTCTGCATTCGTCTATCAAGTTGGCAGTAAACCAGGTGCATGTTGATTTCAATGAGGCAGATTGAACAAACAATGCTTTTAAATCATTAATGGAAGTGAACAAGAATTTCTCATCCGACATTAAAGCTGGGTCCTGAGATAATTTGTCCAAATTATTATTGACGTTGGTATGATTGATCCTTAACTTGTCAGAGGCACATGAAATGGCGTAAATGGTGGCCAACAAGGGGATCAATCTGTATTGGTGGTGAGGATAATCAATCAACTGTTTCTCCAAAACAATGTTGTTGGAAGCAGATTTCTTTTTTTCAAACTCGTTTGAGTAGTTTAAATCTGGATTCGTAGACTTGCCAAACTGTCTTCTACCAACAGCATATCTTAGGGCTATAATAATAAATCTAGCACCATGTCTGAACGATTCAATAACCATGTTCATTCTACCATCCAATAATGCACTGTAAGCTAATTGAGCTAAAGGAGGATCAATGACTATCGATTTATCCTTTTTGTCAACAATCTTACAATATTTTTGCAACATAAAGTTCTTTGGGATCTTGACGTTGGTAAACTGGATCCAACCATTATCTATACCATCTCTTCCCATTTTGGCACCAATATCGCCAATTGCAATACCGGGAAAAAGATTGTGATTTGAGTCTCTTAGGGGAACAACAAATGTTTTAACACCGTAGTCTTTGCCATCCACAATCAATCTACAGTAAGCAACACAGTGATTGGCAGACGATGCAGCACCACCAATCCACCATTTAGTTGCTCCTAGATGAGGAGTGTTGACAACGAAACTTTGATCAGACGAGTTGTAAGTTGCAGTTGTTTCAACACCTGCGACGTTAGAACCATGGGCTAACTCGGTCATAGCAAAGCAGCCATAGATGTTACGGACACTAAGGGCACCTCTTTCAAAAGCCCAGTAATTGAACTGGGACTGAGTTCCAGTTCCTTTAATAGCATTGAGAAACAAGCCTAAATGAACACCTAATCTTGTGCCGAGTTGCGGATCATGGACTCCAATCAATAGCAATCTCTTATTGAAATTAGAGAGATCGATGTTATAGGGATTAAACGCTGCTTTACCACTACCGTCCTTCGAAAGTTGCTGGTTTGACTTTTGCGAGAAGACAATGTCGTTCTCTAGATAGTTTGATAGTTGTTTAATTTTCAAGAACGTTGTTTTTCTAATGTCGTTTTTGGATAGATTGTCATAATGGTTTAGTTGATCATTATTCAAAATTAAATCTCTCTCTAGTTCTTGCATCAATTTTAAAGTTTCGGTAGAATCCTTTGAAGTGTTACCTTCAATAAAGGTAAATAACTCGTCGATGTTGAAATCAGTGAATCTGTTTCTTTCATTGTTAATGATGTTGGAAGGGTTGGGGATATTGCCAAATTCAGTTCGAGACATGATGAGAAAAATTGGTGTTAGTGTGGGAGAATTAAAGAAGATTTGCTGGGAAAGAAGATCGAAATAAGGAGTTTATATTGCAGAAATCAGAGCAATCCATATGAAAATGAGCAGAGATGGAGAACCGTTAAAATGGCTTCTGATGAACGAAAAAGAGACCACGGATGGGGACGGCGTGGAGAGCGCAGAAGCACGCAGAAGCACGCAGAAGCACAGCAACAGCCGCAGTGTTGTGTGTACAGAAGCGGGTTATCTGGCAGGGAATGACGGAACCGCTACTTCCTTGTCGTCTCGTATATCTCGTACCGCATACGCATTTCCGAGGGTCTTATTGGTCGTTTATGATCGTTTGCGTCGTATGTGCAAGTCGAATGCTTTTTGCAATTTTGATTAATAACATTTCCCAGTATTTTTTTGGGTTTTTTTTTTGTTTTTAAACCAATTGATTTCGTTTTATTTTCGATAACTTGATTTCTATTCACTGCCATTAATTCCGTTTTCTCTTTACTGACTGGCTTTTATTCGTATATATCTTCCAAGACCACTGCAACACAAGAAGCTTTGCCGAAAATATAAGCAAACCATAATCATCATCAACAATGGAGGTTGCTTCGACTTTTATATCCAACTCATCATTATTAATCAACAAATCCATCAGCGATTTCAGCTTGGACAAACTCAGTTTGGGAAATTTTGGGTTTTCTGATTTAAAAAATTTAAACTGGGTGTCTTTGCTAATTACTTCAGTCATAGCTTTGTTGATCTATGATCAAATTAAATATCAACTAAATAAAGGTTCGATTGCCGGTCCAACTTTTAAAATTTGGCCCATCATCGGTCCGTTTTTAGAGTCGTTTGATCCCAAGTTCGAAGAATACAAGGCCAAATGGGATTCAGGACCATTATCGTGTGTTTCCATCTTCCACAAATTTGTTATAATTGCTTCCAAAAGAGACATTGCAAGAAAAATTCTTATGTCTCCCAAATATGTCAAACCCTGTGTAGTTGATGTCGCTGTGAAAATTTTGAGACCAACTAACTGGGTTTTCCTTGACGGTAAAGCCCATGTTGACTATAGAAAGGGCTTGAATGGGCTATTTACCAGAAATGCTTTGCAATCATACATTCCAGCTCAAGAGTTTGTCTATGACAGATATTTGACAAAGTTTCAAGAAATCACGAAAAAAAATGGGAAATATCCATTTTTTCACGATTTCAGAGAAATAATGTGTGCAGTGAGTTTGAAGACATTTTGTGGTGACTATATAACTGATGATCAGATTAGAACTATTGCTGATGATTACTATTTAGTTACCGCTGCATTGGAATTGGTGAACTTTCCTATTATTTTGCCATTTACAAAGCCTTGGTATGGTCGAAAAGTTGCTGATATGACAATGAAGATTTTTGAACAGTGTGCAAAGTTGTCAAAGGAAAACATCAGAAGTGGTGCTATTGGAAACTGCGTTATGGATGCTTGGGTTGAGATTATGGATGATCAATCCAATACAGTTCGTGAGTTCTCGAACAGAGAAATTTCAGAAGCTATCTTCACATTTTTATTTGCTTCTCAAGACGCTTCATCGTCTGCATGTTGTTGGTTGTTCCAAATAGTGGCAGACAGACCTGATGTGATCCAAAAGATCCGTGAAGAACAATTAAGAGTTCGTGATAATGATCCATACAAGAAATTAAGTTTTGAAATGATAGAAAACATGACATATACCAACATGGTTGTCAAAGAGACACTAAGATTCAGACCACCAGTTTTGATGGTGCCATACGTTGTCAAGAAAAACTACCCAATAGATGAAAACTACACTGCTCCAAAGGGATCAATGTTGATTCCAACTTTATACCCTGCGTTACATGACCCTGAGGTTTATGAGGATCCAGAGGAGTTTATTCCAGAAAGATGGGTTGAAGGGTCGAAGGCATCAGAAGCTAAGAAAAACTGGTTAGTATTTGGCACCGGACCTCATGTTTGTTTGGGCCAGCAATATGTTATGATGATGTTTACTGGATTGATTGGAAAAGCCTTTTTATTTAACGATATCAAGCACCACATCACTCCGCTATCTGAAGAAATCAGAGTGTTTGCAACTATTTTTCCTAAAGATGATTGTATTTTGGAGTTTACAAAAAGAAAAGATCCCAAGGCTCTTGAATAAACAGTCCTCTTGATTATGCTTTTAGATGAGTGCTTAGAGCAAGTTTTTGTTGGTCTTGATTTTCATACTTATATTATTATTTTGTTACTATTCTATTACTAGATTTTGATTACATTCTATTAGTTTAATCCTTAGTTTTTTTTCTGTTATTGGTATACTCCACACAATGAGATTTATATATATTCTTTGTTTTTGTTTTTGTTTTCACCCTTATTCCTATTCTAGTATATTTAGGTTGATATTCTGATGCTCTTTTTATGTATTCTTTAATTTTATGCCCTATTGTTTTCAATGAACAGAAGTAAAAGCAGCAAAGAAAGCCAAAGCGGAAGGGCCCCCTGTGGCTAGGCAGTGCGGCTTGTGGCGAGTTCCGCGGTTATTTATAGCCTCATCTATACAAATCGTGCAGGTAAATGTCCCAATCTGGTGGAAATTTCTGAAAAAGCAACGGGCCTTTTGTGGCAAGTGTGCTGGATTCGGAAATTATGTATGTTCTTTCTTGGCTCTTGGCTCTGTTTTTTTAGAAAACAGAGCGTATTTCTTACTGATTTCCCACTCGATGAGAGCTCGTTAAAGATGGTTATATTCCAGATCTTGGGGAAACTTGTTTCAAAACGTAAAACAAGTCGAGTTTTGGTGCTCATATTTGGCTATTGCTGATTGTTTTTTAACTGGTCGAGCAGAAAATGGTGAAGCTTCATCTTGTGTCTTCCTTTCTAGCCGTGTACGCTATCCTTTCTCATTTTGCATCCGTTGTAGCTGTGGATTTGGATGTAAACGACGTGAATTCAATCAAAACTGCTGCAGCACTCATCGCCGATGGGCTCATGGACTATTATAATGGGTTGGAATATGGCCAGGTAATTGGTATGTTCTCTGATCCTTATTATTGGTGGCAAAGCGGTGGAGCCTGGGGCTCCATGATCGACTACTGGTTTTATATGGAAAATGATACATACAACGATGTTTTAAAGCAGGCCCTACTTTATCAGGTTGGCGATAATTGGGACTACATTCCTGCCAACCAGTCCACAACAGAAGGTAATGATGATCAGGGCTTTTGGGGGTTGGTGGTAATGGCTGCTGTCGAACGAAATTTCACCAACCCAGCTGAAGATGAGCCTCAATGGTTATATCTAGCCCAAGCTGTCTTCAATAAAATGGCTTTCAATTGGGATACTGAATCTTGCTATGGTGGACTAAGATGGCAAATTTTCCAATGGAATTCCGGATATGACTATAAAAATTCGGTATCTAATGGTTGTTTGTTTCAAATTGGTGCAAGATTGGCAAGATATACAGGTAATGATACTTATTTAGAATGGTGCGATTTAATTTGGGATTGGATGGTAGATATAAATTTCATCACAACCGAAAACTGGTGGTTTGTTTATGATGGAGCTACCATCGGTGACGACAACTGTTCTACCACAGTTAAATTGCAATGGACCTATAACCAGGGCTTGATGCTAGGTGGATGTGCTTACCTTTATGACTATACGGGAGAAGAAAAATGGTTAAATAGAACCCAGAGATTATTAGATTCTTCAGTGGTTTTTTTCAACAACTCGAATAACATCATGTTTGAAGCTGCCTGTCAAAATGCTGGCACTTGTAATACAGATCAAAAGTCATTCAAGGCATATTTTTCAAGGTTTTTGGGTCTAACTGCTAAACTAGTTCCACAAACTTATGACCAAATCATGTCTTATCTTGTACCATCTGCTCTAGGTGCTGCTCAATCCTGCTCTGGTGGTACTGATGGCAAAACTTGTGGTATTAATTGGTTTCATCCGGGTTGGGATGGGAATTGGGGTCTTGGGGAACAGATGTCTGCTTTGGAAGTGATTCAAAATTTAAATGTTATAAACCGACCTGCTCCGTACACAGCAAATACCGGTGGCTCTTCTATAGGTGATCCTTCTGCTGGAGTCAATGATTTACATGGCTCAGCAGAGTCTGAGTTATCATTGTCAACAAAAGATCATGTTGGTGCTGCCATAATAACAGCTGTAGTTGGTTTATCTTTAATCTGTGGTTCAGTCTGGTTAATAATTTGATTTTTTATCCATCTCTTTTTATTTATTTTTTACTTATTTCTACTCACTTGATTTCATCTTTTTGTTCAACTTTATCTTTTGTATACTATACTTGTTCATTGTCATTAATTTCTTTGTTAAAGAACTGGTCGTTTATAAACTATATCATTTTCTTTGGATTTGTATTTGGTTTTATTTTTACTCTACATTAAAAGAAGAAATTTTGTTTATGTATTGCTATTCTAATCAAATTTTTTTAATACAAAAACCTCTATTCTTTACTTGCTATAAAGTAACAACTATGCGAAAAATGTGTAAAGCAAAACAATATAGATTGTATCAACCAATAAAAAAACTAACCCAATATAAATTAAAAATTATGAGTGAGAGAAAAAAAAAAAATTATCAATTTAGAATGAAACAATAGAAAAAAAAATTATGAAAATTAAACTGGAAACTAAAACTAAAGCTGAAAATAAAAATGAAAATGAAAATGAAAATGAAAATGAGTTCGAGAATAAAAATGAGAATAAAAATGAGAATCAAAATGAAAATGAAAATAAGAATCAAAAACAAAAATCAATAATAAACATAAATACAAAAAGTGAATGCAATTTATTTCCTAACTTTTGACACCCTTTGCCTTTGATGAAATCAAAACATTTCATCTGCACTTGATGTATATGGTGCAAACCTACTTCCACCAAGTCTGGTTTTTCCAACACTATGATCCACCATATACTCTTCTAAAATACTATCTGTTATGGTTCCAATATAATAATATCCATCACTGCTAGACCAACTTACAGATCCGCTTTCAAATTCAAACCTCTCAACTTTCATCTTCTCCAAAATACTTTCGTTTCCAATTGTGAATCCTGGCGGAACTAAATTCTTGAGCGAAATTATTTTGCATCCAATTTTTAGATTGGCTTTGGTAAATAGTTTAACAATGCTTGAATTAAGCTTTAAATCAAAAATATAATTGTTCACTAAAATCACATCGCATTCTTTTAGTGTGTCCAAAACATTTTTATTATCCAAAAATGATTGCCTGAGATAAAAATCTATTGCCCCATGTGTTATTCCAAAAAATTTGCATCTCGCTTTGAATTCTTTCAACTGAATATCTGTTAACTCACTTGCTTCTTCCATGATTTCACACCCAAAACTTTTGCACCCAAATTCCAATGACGCCTGTAAAACACAATTTCCAACTCCCGACCCTAGATCAAAAAATTTTTTATCCTTATTTAAATTGACTTTGTTGTACATTTTCGATAAAACACTGGGCAATAGTTCCCCATAAACATTATTTGAGAATGCTTTGTAATGTCTCAAGTTTTTCACTTTGGGAGTTATAGTTCTAAGATATACTTGCGTTAGTACCTCATGGATAAATCCCACTGGTATTGTCAGCGCATTTCCGCTTGATATATAGCTTTTAATTTGCTTTCGATTGCTCTCGATCATTTTATTAAAACTTTCAATCAAATCTCTGAACTTTTTTAAGTTCTTATTCAAATACGAATCATACAATTCATATAGCAACGGACTAACATTGTTATAGTCATAACCATATTGCTTATGAAACTTATCTTTGGGAAAATAAACTGCCTGGTATAGCTCAATGTTTTTACCAATTTCATCAAATGGATTTATTTCCTCGTCCTTTGGAAAACATAAACAGTATTCTTCGTAAACATTCGAATGAACTGGCGATAGTAATCTGACTTTAGGAACGTTGTTGAGATCCAATGGCATCGAAATATTCCGATTATCCACTTTATCGGAATCAAAATAATACAAATATCTATTTGGATACTCTGAAATAAAGTTTCCACATTTTCTAAAATTTAAAAATTGTTCACCTTTAAATTCTAAATTACTGGCATCGTTTGAAAAAAACTTCCGATCTGCTAATTTGAGCTGTTCTTTCATGAGTATCGGATTGATTAAAAAACTTTTAAACTCCTTGGGAAATTCATAACTTTTCTTATTAGCAGCAATTATAAGTAGACTATCAGAAGGTGTTCTCGATCTTGACCGTATGGATTGACCATTTGAAAGATCATTATAACTGCTTCTGCTAATAGCTTTGCTATTCACACTATTTTTTTGTTTTCCGTTTGGAATTTCTAGTCTTTGGTTCTTTAGTTTGGGGCCAGGTTTATTTTTCACTTTAGCTTGAGATGAAAAAACTTTCTCTTCGTCATCAAGTTTTGCTTTTGGTTTAGAGCCAGGTTTTGATCTCAACTTTTTTTTAGGATCATGAGACCCAATGCTTTCACTCGATTTTGATTTGCTAAACAAGGACCTTTTTGATTTTGAATTACTTGATACACCGCTTTCCTCATTTAAAGTGGCCATTGATAATATTTCTTCATCAAGATCATCAACTTGATCACTTTTATCAGTCATTTCGAAGTTCCCTGATTCTTCCAGTTGGTATTCCTGTATTTCGTCATCAGATTCACTTTCATAATGTTTGCTGAAACCATTGTAAATAGTTTTGGCTTTTAAAGTAATATTATTCTTGATTTTGAGGTTAGCTTCGGAACTCAGTTTTAATTTAGATCCCAGCTTAGGTCCAGGCTTATTGTTAAATTTAGTTTCTTGATTTTCGAGTGTTGTTAAAAATCCTTTTTTATTTTGTTTTGATATTGATTTAGAACCTGCTTTAGACCCTGGCTTGGGTCCTGGTTTCAGACTATGTTTAGATGCACTTTTAGTGTCGATTTTATTTTCCAAAGCTTTAAGTGATGGATTTTTTGCCTTTGTAATTACTTTTGGTGCAGCTTTTTTTATTTTTTTATCAGTTGAAGTAGAAGAAACAGTCGATTCAGTTTTGGATGTTGTCTGCGTTCTCTTTGGTTTAATGGGTCCAGCATCCTTATCAACGTACCTTTCTGGTTTCTTTTTATCAACTTCTCCTCTTATAAACGACCTATTGATGTTATCTTTATTTATAAAACCTAAAAGATATGCTCCCTCAAGTAGGCCTTGTAATTCTTTTCTCATGCTTTTTGTTTTCTTTTTCTCAGTTGTCTTTTTTGGCATGATTGAAGATTCTATTTTTGGTTCGTCAATTTGAGGTGTATTGTTATTATCAACAGCATTGATTAAGATTTGCTTTACATTTGGTTTCTTTCTTTTGGCAAAAACAGATCTTCTGATTCTTTTTCTTTTCTTTGCTGGTTTAGTTGAATTTTGATCATCAGCCAAGTCACCTAGATTAGAAGAAATACTGGCTGATTTGCTGAGTTGATTTATGTGAGTATTGTCAAAAGAAATGTTTTCAGATTTTAATATTGACAGTTTTTCTTCTGAATCCTCATTAATTTCACCGGTAATTTGTTTGGCGATATTATCCAAATCGTCAGTGTTGTTTACTAAGGAATCATTTAACTTATCATTATTATTTTGTGCTTCACAATTATTTTGTAATTCAACCACATTAGTAGTTAAATCACTGAGTTTATTTTGAAATTGGTTTCTAGAAACAAATGCTTTTGGCAGATTATGCATGATATTATTTTTTTTATTATTTATTTGAATGGTTTCAAATTTTCGGTTAGTGGTATTTGGACTGGTAATAATATTATTATCATTATTATCATTATCATTATCATTATCATTATCATTATCATTATCATTAAAAGACTTTGAGTAAGGATCTGATTTAGGATTTTCAGGGTTGTGATTTTTATCACTTTTGCTATAATCGGTTTTTGTGCTATTCTGATGCTCAGCTATTTTGGCCTCGTTATCATTGTTATTATCGTTGTAGTTAAAGTTGTCGTTATAGTTGTCATTATCACTATCGTCATTCAATAGCCTGTCTATCTCGAACTGAAAATTATGCTGGTTAGCAATGCCATTCATGTTTTTATTGAAAGACGACTCAAAATCGTTAATTTGATTTGTGTTCATATTGGTATTGTTATTACTAATTATACTTATACTGTTAGCATTTTCATTTTTAGGGTTATTTTGAGAAGATATATCAAAATGATGATCTGTATTGCTTTCATGGATGCTGTTATCGTTAAGAATTTTATCGTGATGAATGGTGTCTATAATTCCTTGATGGCCTTCAGTCTCATGTAATTCAGTAGTGTCTTTTAATTGTATCAAATCAGATATTTTATTGAATTCGCTGTTGAAATTTTCAATAAAAGGCTGATTGGATGTACTGTTGTTTGGATGCTGGACAATATCAGCTTCTATTTCAACAGACATTTCATTAACCAGAGTGATTTGTAAAAACTCTGAAGTAGATGAGAAATTCGATCAATGAGCTACTATTTAAAGGTGCCAACTGAATATGTTATGTTATATATATATACCAATCCTGCTTTGGGTTAAAAAAAAATAATCAAAAATACGAAAATAGAGAAATTTTTAGATTGAAAAGTTTGGTGTTTTCTGAGCAACGCAATTATCTCCGGACAAAATCAGCGATCCGCACCACACAAACCGCATGCGCCGCGCAGTCTCCGTGGCAAGGCCCAGAAAGATCCGCTTAGTACCGTCATACCTGCGTCCGAACTACGAACGTTACCGGACTCAATTGCGAAATACCGTCGGTAACCGTAAAGTCATTGAATATTATGTCCTTCTGTTTGGCGTCGGGATAGAAAATACGCCGCATCCTGAAAAGTCGGCTGTTTCTGATTCTGGAACCTTATCACTGACTTTTCCAGAGGTGGCGACTCAGCGACAGATGAAGCAACATGAAGAGAGGGTTTGATTTGGTAGATTGTGCTAATTGCACCAATGACCAACATGGCAGCATTAACAACCCAAATAATGTTGATATTTTGGATGCGTTTTTAAACCTATCCATTACCTCGGAGCTAGATATCAACAACCAAAACTTGCGTCTCCATTTGAGCTCCAACAATGAGATAATAGAATTGCTAAAGCATTTGTCGAAGTTTGTGTTCAAAAACTTGTTGAAGAAAACTTTCCTTACGCGAGCTCAAGACAGCAACGATTTACTCGTTTTGCAAAAATCAATCTATCTAATATACTCGATATTTTGTTTGTCATCAAAAGACATTCAAGCTGCTGATTTGAATAATTTCAATCAATTGGGAAGTCAATTGAACAATTCAAGCGATAGCAACCAGTTTAACAATGACAGGCTCCAACTGTTATTAGATTCTAGCTTGACTCCCTTGAATATCAACTTCACTAAAAATTACCAAATCATTATTTTATATTTGCTCCAATTTTATAAATTTATCTTAAAATTTGATCCAATTCAACCCAACTATACCAATGATACCAATGATACCAACAACACCAACAACTCGATAGCTGGCATACTATCGTTGAAACAGAATTTGAACATTTGTATTATAACGTTAGTTGAGAAACTTTCTTTGCATTCAACTGAAACCAAACAAGAAATAAGGGATTTTTTACTAAATTACCTCTTTCAACTATCGATCAACAACACCAATAACAAAAACACCAACATTAATCAAAGTTTGATACTCAAGTTTCAAAAAATCTCTACATCTACTCATGCATTTGCTATCCTAACCAGTGGTAAAATTATAAAATGTTTAAACTTGAACAACTTGTTTTATATCAACTTATTGCTAAAAATTTCTTCCAACATTTTTATTTTCAATATTACTCCCTTACTAACTCTTCATTCTAATTACAATTATCCCAACAATTTAAAAATTCTTAAATTTGTTGATATCTTTCAATCGTATCATCTATTAAATTCCATTGAAAATTTTTTAAGTTTGAATTATAATTCAATTTTGTTTTTAAAATCATACAAAAACTCTTTAAATTTAATAACTCAGTTTATAGCTTTTCTTAAAAATTTTAACCAAAATTTCATCAATTTGAAAAAATCTCAAAAAAGTTCCATTTTTTTTAATCAACCAAGAAATAAAATAATTCATAATCAATTTAATCAATCCAAATTGAAGACGGAAACTCACAAATCTTTTTTAGAATCAGCTATTGAATCTAAAAAGAAATCTGGCTTTTTCAATTTTTCCTATCTACAAACAGCCTTGTCTAAAGTGATATTGAATCTTTACTCTTATTCACTTTCTTTTAACATAACCAATGATTTTCTTTTATCGATTAACCTTGATTACAAATTTAAAGATTTTCCAGACGTGTTTACTCAAGATTTGATAAACTCCATTTTATTCGTTACTAATTGCTCAAAACAATTTTCCCAAAGCCACAAGCAAAAGAAAGATATCATTGAACAAGATAGTTTTAGACTTGAGAGCACTTTTACTGCTAATGATGATTTTTTGATATTTTCAGAATCCATAAACTTTCATAGTTCTCATTTAAAATATTACAAAAACACTATTCTTGAAAAATACAAAGCTATAAATGTACCAGCTTGCAATAAAAATAGCATTGTTACCCACAAGATTAAGGAGCTAAACAAAGTTCTTCAATTTGATAATAATGACACTAATTTGAATAAATATATATCGTCTCTATACCGTTTTATTGCCCAAATCCTAGAAAGAGATGACAACATAACCAACTTTTCCGATTTTCAAATTTTTCTTCTAGTTAAAGTTATAACTGAAATTTTGTTTTTATCATTTCAATATTATGATCCAAGCTGCAGTTTATGCATTTCTTGTAGCCACAACGAAGTTCTTAATGTTGATGATAAACATTACCTTGATTTGGGTATTTTTAACAAAACTATGCTGATTATTACACTAATTATTTCAAAAATAAATGATTCTACATCCTCAATAATAATATTAGCTATTTTGATTTCATTGAAAAAAATTGGATCCCAAATACCAATAATTGACTTGCAGGACATGAGCAGAAACAACCATTTAATTTCATTTGTTTTTAGTAGCGGCACATCGATCTTTAGGGAAGTTAGATTGCTTTCGAGTTTATTAATACCTCTCCTAATATTTCAAACTAACTCTTTAGTTGATAATGATATATTAAAAACGGTTTATCACAAATTAGACGAGTCCTATTCTTTTCGAAATTTTGCCAACAGAGTTGAAAGTTTGCTTATAAATGAACCTAGCAAAAACTTGTACCTGTCAGAGACCATACTTGTTGGGTGGGCAGCTCTAGCACAGAACTTAAACTATAAAATCTTCTCTCATATACTTCCGAAATTTCTTGAAATAATGGATTGTAACAATTCATTTCATGTTTCATTGACTTTTCATTTAATTAAAGTAATGGCAAAATTCAATAAAATTACTGTTTGGGATATGTTTATGCCACACTTTCCTAATATTAGCAAAAACTTGATCATAAAAATGAAAAGTAATCGACTTTTTGCTAATGATATATGCGAACTATTGGGATGCAGCGAAACAAAAATAGTTTTTGAGGCAGCTAACTATGCCATTCCTCTACTTATTCAGCATTATGAAAACGACTATATTATGTACATTGCGGAGTTGACTGGTATAAGCAAATATAAACTAGTTAATCAAAAGTCCACCAAAATACTAGGATATTTATTTGCAACCACGCCTTTATTTGAGGGAAAGGTCGATATCAATAAAATAAAAATGATTATGGCTAACTGTTTATTGGATTTTGATAGTCCTGAGTATAAAAAAAAGAAAATGGAGCTCATTTGGGAAATATTGATGCACCATGATGGAAAACCCTCTAGTTTACCCCATATTTTATCCTCACTTGTTTTTATTGCAAAGCATTTTTTTTCAAATTGTGAAAAAAACAGAACAGATGAAGCGATATTGAAGGATTGCTTTGATAACTACATATTAGGGATTGTTCGTAACTTTTCTGACATATTCATACCAAAGCAAGGGTTTCGTCCTTTTTGTGAAAAGCAAAAATCACTACTTGCTATCCAAGCTTTGATTATCATAGCTGTTCCCTCTATCGTTGCAACCTTACCACAAATTTGTACTTCATTGCAGTTGTCAATTGAGGATCCGTTGCTTGTTTTTGATACATTGCAGACATGGAAAATTCTTGTTGAAAAATTAGAAAACGTTCATTTAGTTTCTTTTCTTGACTTGGTTGTGTCTATTATTATTCAAAGATGGCGTTTGTTTGATCAATCTTCAAAAAAGATTGGAACAGACATACTCCATACAATTTTTTCCAACTCAGAATTGATGAAAGGTGATTCATATTACCATTATTATTTGAGTTTAGCAGATCAAGAAGACTTGCTAAGCATTTATCTGAATACAAAACGCAATTTAATATCTGTGCAGAACGACAGCTCCTTTTCAAACCTTCTCTCTGATATATCCAGAAGATGTCTAAATGATAATAAGTATGTGGTGAAACAGTCATTGAAGGATTTATCTAAGTACTTGGATTCATATGTGGAAAATTTGTATACTAAGATAGAAGATGAAGAAACAATTAAGGAGAGTGTGATAAAGCTCATTAACATATTACTTGAGACAGGATTTAAATTCAAGTTGACAGATTTTTCAATAACAAGAGACTGTGTAAAGTGCTTGGGAACATTGGGAAAAATTGCGTATTCGAAACTCACGTCGACTAATGCCTCCGAAAATAAATCATTGCTTGTTTTGCATAACTTCGATGATAAAAAGGAATCGATTATATTTTTGATCAGATTTATAGATAAATTTCTAGTGAAATCATTTTGGGCATCGACCAATCCATCAAAACAATTGCTGCTTGCATATTCCATGCAAGAGTATTTAAAATTTTGTGGTTTGTCGTCACCTAACGAATTTCTTTTCCTAAAGAGCCCTAGCAATAATTTAGAACATACGGTTTCTCCAGAGTCTATTCTATGGAATAAATTTAGTGATGTCTCCAAGTCAACCTTAATACCTCTTATTTCTTCTAAGTATGTGATAACACCAAAAATTTATCAATCTTTGAAATATCCAATTTTTGATGTACTAAAAAAGCATGAGGTTTGGCTTAGAGAGTTTACTTTTCATCTATGTGATGAATGTACTGGAAAATATTCCAAATTTATATTTCAGATTGGTTCGCGGATAATTAAAGACCAAAACTTGGAAATAAGTCAGTTTATTCTTCCTTACATAGCTTTAAATGTTTTGACAACTGGAAGTGAAGAAACAAAGAATAATATAAAAACTGAAATTCTTTCGATTTTAAAAATCGATGCCAAAACTTATTTGGATCAAGAGACAAACCAAAACATAAAGCAATGCTATCAAACTGTTTTTTCTATTCTCGATTACTTCAAGTATTGGTTAATTTCCAGACAGAGGCTTTTTAGTTCAGTGCAATCACAATCCTTCAAAGACAGTGAAGAAATGAAGATCGTCTCATTATTATTAAACGAAATTCCCGAAGAATTGATCGCAGACAGAGCATATCAGTGCTGTTTATATGAAAGAGCAATCTTGTATTTGGAGCAATTACATAGGACGTCTAAGTTGAATAACTCTACAGAAGTCGACTCAATATACTCTTCATTGCAACAGATGTATGCTAACATCAATGATTCAGATGCTTTAACGGGGATTTTAAAACACATATCTACAAATAATTTGAACGATAAAATTCTACAGCTTCAGTACAATGACAACTGGAAGATGTCATTAGATTGCTTTGAAGGTTTAGATAATACAGGAATAATAGAAACCAAGAGTTTATACAGTTTTTTAGAAACTCATAATTTAAGTGACGAATTATTGTCCAAACTTGGAGGTCTAGTTAAGGCTAAGAATCATTTATCTGGGATTGAGAGTGGAACTATATCATTAGGATTGTCATCTTATTGTTTGCAAGGAAGCATTTCTGATCTTAAAAGATGGGTGTTGATTTCGGAGATTCAAATTCCCCTAAACAAAGCTGATTCTTTGGTTGATTTGAATATAGCCAAGAGTTTACTATATTTTAATAAAAATAACAATACTCAGATAACAAATGAAGTCGATGAAGGCTTCAAGGCTATTGGAAAGTATATGAATAAATCTCTAAACTCGCCTGCCACAATGAATCTGTTAAAGAAGTTGCATCTGTTGGAAGATATAAATATCATTGCCAAAGCAACCAGATCCAAAGATGAGTTAAATAAAGGATTGAAACGACTAAATATGCGGTATCGAGTTTGTGAAAATAAGTTTGATACAAGATGGAATTTCCTAAGGCTACGAAAGTCATTGGAATCGATGAGAGGAGATATTTTCAAAAATGATATATCTAAGCTTTGGATTCAATGTTCCGAGTTATCCAGAGAACATCATAGAGTTGATCTTGCTTCAAAATCGATTGCTCATGTTCTATCGAGTGAAGACAAAGATGGAGTTATTGAGTACTCAAGAGTTTTGTGGGAACTTGGAGATCAGTCAAAGGCATTGAAACTACTTCAGAACTTATTAAATGAATATGATAATAATGGTTTGGAAGGTAATGTCAATTTAAATAAGTTTGTTTCAAGCGAGAATGGAGTATCTAGTAAAGAAAACGACCAACCAGACACAACAGATAAAGATAACAATCATGCACTGAAGAACTGTGACGATGAATACAATTTTGAACGGGCAAAAATTGTGTTGCAGCATGCAAAATGGTTGGATATTTCTGGGGAGCAGAGTTCGTTGTTTGTGATAAACTCTTATAAAAAGGCTATTGAATATACTAACAAAAAGTGGGAAAAAGCATTTTTTTATCTTGGGAAGTATTATAGCAAGTTATTAGATTCCGAATCCAAAAACAAGAATACTTCTATTTTATTTCACGTTGGACGGTATGAACTACACATAGTAAATAATTATTTGAAGGCAGTGGAGCTTGGTACTGAAAATTTAAATGAGATACTACCAAAGATATTAACTATATGGTTTGATTTCGAGAATTCTGGCAGTAATTTGTATTCAAATAATAAAATAATCAATAAAAGAAAACAAGTTTACAAAGAGTTACAGCAGCTGATTGATCAAACGTTTTCTAGAATCCCAATATTTGTTCTTTATGTTATATTTTCGCAACTAATTTCTAAGATTTGTCATGAAAATTCTAAAACTTGCGATATAATTATCAGCAATATAATCAAGATTACAAATGAATATCCTAAACATGCATTGTGGTCGATATTCTCGATATTGAATTCCAACGATAAAAATCGGAAAAACAAAGCAACACTAATTTTAAAAAAGTTACTTTCTATGGGAAAAATTAATGAACTAATATCAAAAGCAAAAATACTAATTGATGGGTTTTTTATTATTAAATCGTTTGATTTGAATCATAAATCCAAGAAAAGGTTGAGTAAAAAACATGTATACTCTTTGAAAGAGGATTTTAATTTTGATCATTCGATTTTACCAATTGAGATTGTTTTGCCAATAGAAAAAAATTTTGAAATCAAAGCATTGCCAACAGATAGAAAATTATTTGAGGGATATACACCATTTCCTGAAGAGTCGTGCGTTTCGTTTCAAAAATTTGAAGACAAAGTTGAAATTTTGTTTTCATTGCAAAAGCCACGAAAAATTAAAATATTGGGGAGTGATGGGAAACACTATTATTTGATGTGCAAGCCTAATGATGATTTAAGAAAGGATGCAAAAGTAATGGAGTTCACCACATTGATTGATCAGTTATTAAAGAAAAACTTTGAGGCAATAGAACGAGAGTTGAGTATCAAGAGGTATGCAGTTATACCCTTGAGCGAAGAATATGGCATAATCGAATTTGTTTCAAATCAGTTAACAATACGGTCTGTTTTATTTGAAAAGTATAACAAATTGAATAAGTATATTGTTCCGAAAAAGATAGAAGAACATTTCAACAAGGGATTGAGTCTAAGTAAAAAATTGAAAAATTTTGAAAGGTATTTGAATAAGTTTCAACCTGTATTGTATTTATGGTTTCTAGAACGGTTTTCAAATCCGTTGGATTGGTATAATTCAAGGAACAAGTTTTCTAGAAGTTGTGGAGTTATGTCGATAATTGGGTTTATAATTGGGTTAGGAGATAGACATGGAGAAAATATTTTAATTGATTCTATGGATGGTGGGCTTTTGCATGTTGATTTTGATTGTATATTTGATAAGGGAGAAACATTGGCAGTCCCCGAAAGAGTTCCATTTAGACTAACCAATAATTTAGTTGATGGGATGAGCAAAATTTATGGTTACGATGGGACATTTTTGAAAAGTTGCGAGGTTGTATTAAAAGTTATTCGGAGAAATGAAAGTGGGTTGATCAATATTTTGGAAAGCTTAATATATGATTCTATAATGGAATTTCAAAGCAAAGAAAAAAGAGAGATTTATCTCAATAAAATCCGTAAAAAAATAAGTGGAATTTTTGAAAACGAAGGGTTGCCATTAAATGTCAAAGGAGAGGTCAAGTATTTGTGTGAACAAGCTACTGATGCTAAAAATCTATGCCAAATGTACTTTGGATGGTTACCGTTTATTTAAGACCAAGGTTTGAACACAACTAAAGTTTAGTTATAAATTGGTTTTTCAAAACAAAGTATCACCTAGGTAGTTTTAATCAAGTTTATTCTGATTACTATGGTGTTTCATCTTGGAGTATATTAATGCTACCGTCACACGTCAAGATTCAGTAATTACAGAGTATATTTGTGATAATTTTTATTGTGTTCTTTTATATATTTCTACATATATCTCTCAACTATTCATTACATCTAGTCTGACTGGTAGCTGTGTGTTTTACCTCATGTATACTCTCCGAATAATATGCTTGTGCTGCTCTCCTAATCGTTTTATTCCACTAATTATCCCCAAGAAGAAATCCTATTTGGATGAAAAATTGTTTCTATTAATTTGTCTTTAACAATTTTATTGTCTGATCGTGTAAATTTCTATTTAAATGCAATCGATATCCTATTTTTATTCTTCTCCTATTCATATCCCTTATCAAATTAGGGAATTCATTAACTTACTTTAAAAAATGGATGTTAGAGAACTGTCTTTCAAGGAAGTTCGTGATGATTTAAATGAATTACAACTTATACCATCAAACAAACTATTTTGTGATATTATGCCTATTGAATTGATAAATATGATATTTATTTGGTTGTCACTCAATAAAAGATGGTTACTTACTTTATCAAATAATAATTCAATTAACTTTTGTGCATCAAAAGCATTATTCAAAAATGTAATATGGATTTTTTTGTCTTTTCGTGATAAAAAATAGAGCTCAAAGATTTGGATAGAATCATTTTAAGATTCATTTTGATGATTTATATCTATTTAAGTTTCAATTGTTAAATTGTTGCCAAAATTTAAGATGTTTTTTTGAAAATTTTAAAGATATAAGCAGTTTTAAGATGCTAAGCCAATTACTATCAGCAAGCCCAAATAAAATAGAAAATACTCATATTTGTGTCGACAGTATTCCTCTAATAAGGGACAAACATTTTGAAAATATTGATATGATTCAAGAGCTGATATTAAGCAATTTGAAAAGTTTGAAAAATTTTACCATTTGTTTGGGATTTCAATATGAACACAAAAGGGAAAAAGAAATTGCTTTATCTATAAATTTAAAAAAAGTAAAAGTATCATATTGCAGTGACATTAATGGTTCAAATAAAACTGATTGCTTTTACTCTGATTGGGCTTACCATGTTGATATGAATTATCAAATTTATGATAATTTTATTGAATTCAATCTGAATGGTTGTAATTTACTTAAATTTAATGGAAGTATATTACAGTCAAATTCAGAGACTATTAAAAAACGATTTTGGAGTATTTTAGACATTATTGATACACGGGTAAATGCAATTAAGAAATGTGATAAATTGAAGAATCTAAAAAAACTATCAATCAAACACAAATATTAAAAAAACAGAGAATCTTGACAATTTAATCAATCTAAAATATTTTTGTTTAACACATAATACTCATGGTGAAAAAATTGAAGATTTAGACAATTTGATTCATTTAGAGGAATTGTATTTGGAAACGGTTATAAGCAATAGTTAAGAAAAGGCACCTGTAATCTATTGTACACATGCATATTGTTGTGCATATACTGCGATATATGCATGATGCATGATGTACTAATATGTAAGAATGACCTTTGCATTAAAAATCCGTTTTTGGCATCTCCGACACGGTCTTTGAGCATTCATTTTATAGCTCACAGATAATCTGATATTGATGAATCAAATCAAGAAGATAATAAGGACATATAGCAATGATCGGCCACTTGTTTCATCGACTTTTCAAGCCCTTGTTGAATAGTCCTTGAATTTTCTCCATTCAATAAGATTGGTGTTGTTTATTAGTACAGGATTCAATCAAGATGTATTTGTAGTAGTCTCAGGATTAATAAGTGATGAGTGGATTAAGCCACTATTGCTTTGATTGAAATAAAACTTTTGTAAACTTTTGCAAGTTTATTATTGGTCTCGCTGGTGACAAGAAAGATTTATTTTCATAATTAACTTGTAAAATTATGTATTTCGTATATATTTGGTATTTGTTTAACCTATATCTTGTTTTTATGCAAACAGAGCACCATTAAAGTAGTTGCAATCAGATTTTTCAGCCTTGTTTAGTATATTTTAGAATTTCAAGTCTTTTTGTTCAGGAACAAGTGCGTTTAATTTGCCAGATTTGAGAAATGCTTTTACATTATCAACGACAAACTCTTCCATTTTTTTCATTGTTTGGAAAGTATGTGTTCCCATATGAGGAATTGACACAACATTTGGTAGTGAAAGCAACTCCTTATTTACATTTAATGGCTCATTTTCAAATACGTCCAACCCACAGCTATAAATCTTGCCATTTTTCAATCCTTCAATCAAAGATATTTCATCAATAACCGGACCCCTAGCGGTATTAATGATAATAACATTATCCTTCATTTTTGAAATTGTTTCTTTATTTATAATGTGAAAAGTTTTTGAGTTTAAAGGCAAATTAACAGAAATTATGTCAGAATTCTTTAATAGTTCATCAAAAGAAGCATAGATAGAATCTTTCTCTAAATCTGGAGCCAATCTGTTGCGATTGTAATATAGTATTTTTTTGAATCCAAAGGGGATCAACCTATCACGAACAGCTCTTCCAATTCCCCCATTACCTAGAATTCCAACTGTTAGACCTTCTGGATCAAATCCAATGGGAGTGTTGGCAGTTGGCGCCCCATTAACTTTAGCCCATTTATTGTTGATCAATTTATGATGCCCAATTTGAAAATTTCTCATTGCCGATAACAAAAGAAAAATATGGGTGTTTGCAGTGGAATCATTAACTAAGTTTGGAACATTGGAAACTTGGATATTTCTCTGCGAGAATGGCTTGATATCAATTTGATCATATCCTGCACCATTATGGACAATGGCTTTGACAGTGGATGGCAAATGCGATAACAACTCCTCGTCAAACTGTCCTAGTTGACGTTTCGTGTCAAGTGTTCTTGTTATGATTGAAATATCCTTGAACTCTGGGTTGTTCAACAAGTCATTTAAAAACTCCTTTCTATGGTATTTCTCAGTGATCAATGGCAACTGGAGTACATCAGCTTGAGAAGAAAGATCTTTCCAGGCTTCATGCGCATGTCCAACAGCACCAATTCTAAGAACCTTTTGTTTAAATGACGAACCTGAGGTGGAAAACAAATGTTTGAATAGAGAATATCTTGCTGGGAAATTCAGCGCCAAAGATAGTGATTTAACCAACATCTTGAGAGGCTGTTGATGATTACGAGCAGTACTGGCAGCGTATCTGAGTTGAATAAAGCAGATAGGCTGTTTTGGTCCACACCCCCATCGGACCAATGGTGTCGCTGCAAATCAACAGATACTTCCCAGACTAAAGAGCTGGAGCTGGGTGATAAGAGGACTGCAACAGTCAAATGTGTAATCGCAAAACTTGCTCAGAAAATGGCTACCTAGTCATTTCCTTTTAGTTTTTATTCACTTGGGTGGAGCTGTCAGGTCACTTTTGCCATTGGCTGTCAAAATTCGGATGAATTAAGAGAGAAAAAAGGTGGGAGTGGTTTGAGCACTTAATGATGAGTGAATGCTAAACATTAGTGGCATGAGAGAAACAAATGATTTCTTAATATTTTTTTTCGGATTATATGCTGAGTTATTTATCCACCTCTCAACACTTGCATTAAATTGCTCTTCATGAATCATTGCTGGATGGCGGTGGTCGTCAATTGATGAAATGGTATATTTATATTTAAAGGAGACATATCCCAATTAATTGATAATAGAAATAGCTATACATTCAAAATTTGCAGCTATATATCATATTATTACATTATCATATTATTACATTATTACATTATCATATTAACAATGCGTGGTGTTTTATTTTATGGAAGAAATGACATTCGTTTTTCGGACGACGTTCAAGAGCCAGAAATCAAAGTAGAGGATGAACTTATCGTGGATATTGCCTGGTGTGGTATCTGTGGATCCGATTTGCACGAATATTTGGATGGGCCAATTTTTTTCCCTAAAGAAGGTAAGGGCCACGAATTGAGCAACTGGAAGAGTCCTCAATGTATGGGTCATGAATTCAGTGGCATAGTCAAGAAAGTTGGGCCAAAGGTTACGAAAGTTAAACCGGGAGATCATGTTGTCGTCGAAGCAACTTCCCATTGCAGTGATAGAAAGAGATTTCAAAGAAATAATCCAAGAATCAACACAGCAGTTTGTTCGGCTTGTAAAATGGGATCAACAAATATATGTCACTATTTGGGTTTTTGTGGATTAGGAGTTCACGATGGTGCATTGAGTGAAAGGGTTTCAGTTTCCGAAGAGCATGTTGTTAGGATTCCAAAGTCCTTGCCATTGGATATTGCTGCATTGGTGGAGCCATTAAGTGTTGCCTGGCATGCAGTTCGAATTTCGAGGTTTCAAGAAGGAGATAATGCACTTGTTCTTGGAGCTGGGCCAATTGGACTTGCAACTATTTTAGCATTGCAAGGCCATAAAGCTGGCCGAATTGTTGTGAGTGAGCCAGCTAAAATTCGAAGAGATCAAGCAGAAAAACTTGGGGCTAGTTCCGTTTTTAATCCAATGGACTATAGCTCGTTTGATGAAGGTGTTGGTGTATTGAAAAGCTTATCCGATGAAAAAGGTGCTGGATTCAAGTTTTCTTATGATGCCTCGGGAGTTCCATCAACATTTAAAACTTCAATAGATGCTTTAGGACCAAATGGTATGGCAGTAAATATAGCTATTTGGCCAGACAAACCCGTAAATTTCAAACCAATGGATGTCACTCTAGAGGAAAAATTTTATACTGGTTCAATGTGTTATACTGTGCAGGATTTTGAAGAAGTGATTGACGCTATTGATAAAGGTTTGATAGATATTGAAAAATGCAAACAGTTAATCACTGCTAAAATAAAGCTTGAGGATACTGTTGAGAAAGGGTTTTTGGAACTAATCAATAACAAAGATGTTCATATTAAGATCTTGGTATCTCCATGATGTTTTCTTCTATTTTTGTGTTTTTTATTTTCTATTTTCTTTTCAATTGTACTAGTGATATCTAAATAGTGTGAAATTCAGATTCAAAAATATTTTTATTGTAACTAATCCTTACTTGAACCAAGTGCGTGTCAAAAAGAGACGCGCCGAAAGAGAGGCGAATGTGACGTTAGGGCTCTCGGAGATAGATTGGCGACCTAAACTCCATCCTGGAGTTTGCAAAGCTTGAATTAGTTGATATATGCATATAGAAACAGTACTGTGCGCGCCACGGGATACGGCTCTAAACCAAAGGAGGCTTAGACCCCTCCCTGTGGGAGAACAAACTCGTCTCCCAGCCAATCAGCAAGACGCACTGCTATTGTTTGCACTTTCCTCCACAACGTTTATATCACAGCTCCATTTAGTGATATAAATCGCTGTCCATCGCAATCTTCATTGTTAATAGGGTCATAACCAGAGATTGTTTTGATCTGATCAGTTTCTGATTCATCTCAGGTCCAATACTTTTATTTTTGTTATATAACTTTTGGTGTCATCAGGAGATGAATAAAATATACTCAGCTTTTATAAAATTCCCGAAGATCTTGAAAATTTTATTGTTTTTGATATTAACAGTAGTTTTATTGATTTACTTTAATTTCAAAGATCTAAACAATTTCAATATAGAGGCTGACTATTTGCGCTATTCTCTACCAAGCACTCTATCAAATTCGGTTTCCAGTAGTGAAAATAGTGAGAATAATAATGAGAATAATAATGAAAATACCAACGAAAATAATAATAAAAATGATAAAAACCATGAGTACAGTGAATATAATGAGTTCGATGTATACAATCATGATATAAACTTCCACAGTTTAAATTACTTTCATAAACAAAAACTCATTCCTTCTTTAACCATAAATGAGACAAAAGGTTTCGATAAAAGCTCAATAAGATATATTCCATCAATAGCAATAAATCATCTATATCAAAAGGCCTTGAATTCCAATGAAGACATAATCTGGTCAAATTTTGCATATGTTCAGTATGCAACCAATATCCAATATTTATGTAGCTGTTTAATGAATTTCGTTAGTTTGAGAAAATTCAACGCCAAAGCTGATCTAGTCTTGTTATACAACCTACCGTATCAGATCAATGATGACGATATTACTGGTGTTGATGAGTTGTTTGAAAACAAAAAAAGTAAAACAAGAAAAGCAACGGAAGATCTATTTGAAGATTTTAAAAATCTCAATGTTATTCTTAAAAATGTTGATCTATTATCCTTTCCTGGAGACGATAGTACCTGGCAGGATGGTTTCACCAAGTTTCAAGTGTTTAACCTACTCCAATATGACAAAATTGTTCACCTCGATAGTGATGCCTTGATTTTGAATAATATGGATGAGTTATTTTTTCTCCCTGAGTCACAACTATCGATACCCCTTTGCCCCAATGCTTCATATAATAAATTTTTACAAGACGATGGTTTGATCAATTATACAGACCACTACAATAAAGGTCTCAAAAACAATTCTAAAATAGCGATTCCTCAAACATCTGATGAAAACGAATCATTTTATAGATCCTCAATAATTGAAAATTCAGTCAGACAATTGATCAAGTACAATAAAAAAAATAATCTAAAAACATTTGATTATAAAGGTTATTCAACCATATTGTACAACAATTTACCATCATTTAGCCATGGAAACTTAAATAACTACGAATTGTGTGATCAGTTTTTTGTGCTCAAACCTTCAACTCAAGTTTTTAGTGACCTACTCAATTTAACTAATGAAAAAGATCCAAATGATTACGACATGGACATCTTCAATAAATTGTGGAATTTTAACGATATAATTAAAAGAGAAAATTCAAACTTTTTAGAAAATGCAAACAGTAAATTTAATATCCCAGAATTATTGATTATACCGCATAAAAGTTACGGTGTTTATACTGGAGAATTTAGAAATGCTGAGAACTATCATGACCCAATGTTAGCTGATCCTCAACATATACCTTTATTAGCATTTTACCAAAAATTACATACCGAAAATGATAATGGTGACAGTAAAAGCCATTCCAGCTTCAAAGGAGCTTATTGGACCACCTCTAAGTTTTGGAACGCCAAATCATTTTATCAAAATATTAAGTCTATACACTTTTCAGATTGGCCAGTACCCAAACCTTGGATAGAACATGTTCCAAATCAGGATTATATTAAAGCAAAGGTTTTATGTCCCAATAACCAAAAGGAACTAAAAAAATATTATGATAAGGTTGTTAAGCCCACTATAATTGATGATTGTGAGTCTAGTAAACTTTGGAATTTTTTTTATGAACACTTCAAATCAGAAAGAGAAAACATTTGCGAATTACCTTTAATGAAAAAATAACGATTTTCTCTCCTTTTGTATATCCAATTTTTTTTTATTAAACCATCATGGCTTGTTTATGATTATAAGTGGATTTTTGCACACATGAAACACTTTTCTATTTTATCTTTTTTTTGTTGCTATATCTTCATTTTTTTAAATTGCAAAACTTTCCAAGATTCTTACATGTTTTAAACTATGAATATATATTATACGTATTGATAAATTTTCTAGAAATAAAAATAAAAGTAGTGTTAAAAAAACCAAAAAATATAAAACACAATAAAATTCTGATATAAAAACACCAGTTTGAAGATGACCCATTATATTTTTGAAATATCTAGTTCAAAATTGAAATATACTCTTTCTTTGATTGATATTCGCAAAATAGTTCAAAAAGTTGATAAATGAATATTAAAAAACAAACAAACAAATGTAAAAATAAAATTGAAGAGAAGCCTTTTTTTTTTATACATTAGGCAAATCTAAATCTGAATTATTTCTGATATAAATATGGTTTAGATCAACAGGAACTGTTTTATTAGCGATTTCATTTGCGCTTGTACCTTCACCAAACTCATTAAGACTTCCATAACCTCTTTTGGTATTGCTTCTACCTGCACTACTTCTAGGACTATGATTAGGAGTGTAATGACTATTATTTCGTATTAGTCTAGCACTTTCACCCAAAGTACTGCTAGTTGGAGTATTATCAGTATTATTTAGCTCTTCATCGGTGCCTTTTTTATTTTTTCCAATAACCATTAAAAAACAGGATAGTAACAGAAAAATGCAAACAATACCAATTATAAAGCCTAAACCCATAGCGGCGATTGGTAATCGAATATGATACTTATCATCATCTAGCCACTCAGGATTAATGGGTCTGTCAATCACAAATACGCAACTTTTATTGTTGAAGGTTGTGCAACCTCTGTTTAGAACTCTGACTTCATGATCCTGGCCTTCTTCAATTTGTAACATGATCGTCTTTGAAGACAACTTTCTGCAAACTAAATGTACGCCGTCTAAGAGAGTAGGGATTTTCCGATCACAATTGAAGATTGAGTTTCCATTTTCGTCATTTGAGGGATTTGGTAAAATATGTAATTTCAAGAAAACCTCCAAAAAATTGAGTGATGATTCGATGGTTATATTTGACTCAATTAATGATAGATGGTTTGGCAAGATGATTGAAAAATTATTTGAAGATTTTGGATCCAATATATAGGATAAATTTGCTCTGTGTAATAAATCGATAAAGCTTGAGGAAGGATAAGTGTTAAAGGATTGAGTTGTTTCAATTAGATTGGTTAAAGAAATTTGAACATTTCGAGGAAAGAGAATGTCTTCAACTGGGTGGACGACGCCTTGATTAAAAAGAATATCAGAATATTTTTCTACTTTTAAATAATCTTTAGAAGCATGACTATTAATTGATAGAACATTGTACTTGTGAATTTCATTTTCGATAAAATCATCATCATTGTCGTCTGTATGATAACTATTATCCTTACCAGATTTTATATCAATCTGATTGTGATGAAAGTTTTGATGAAAGTTTTGATCATCGTTGATTTCATCACTATTGATACTCTTAATCTCAATGGATTCTCCTAATAAATTTGAGGTTATAATAGAGTTATTAAAATCGCTGTATACCAAACCATTGATAATGGAATTTTTCATAATTAAATTTAATGCAGTCAAGTTTTTTTCCAAGTAGTCTAAAGTCAAATCTAAAGAAGACCAAGAATTGAAACATGGAAGGAAGATGGTATATCCTTTTTTGTTTGAAATCAAGTTCAATAAGTTTAATTCATTCAAGTAATTTAAAGATCTGGAACACTTTAAAAAAGAACCGACAGAAGAGGATAGAGAGTTTGGTAGACTTAGATCTTGGTCTATTAAATAGATTACCGTATTTCCAATTGAAATATTTTTGAAAGTGTTTAAAGAAGTATTTATTAGAGTGTTATCGTTAATAATAAAGTTTGATTGATTAATTTTATTGATTTTTAATTTTTGACAGTTTTTGCCTAGTTTTTTATTGTTGCAAACTTTTGTGTTGTATATTCCAGATTTTAAAGTTGATATTTTTTCGTCAACAATGTGGTATAATAAAGTGTTTAAGTTTGATAAAGAAGATGATTGTAGTGATTTTTTTGAGAGTTGATTATCATTATCGTTGTCATTATCGTTATCATCGTCAATTGAGTTTTGAGTGACAAAAATAGTTTGATTCAATTGAATGTCATCTATTAGATAACCTAACTCTCTGAAATCTACTTCTTTAACAAAATCTGAGCAATTTAAAGAGTACAAATATTTTCTTGGATTGAAGGGAATTAGGATATTTTTATCGAAATTTGAGTTGAATAAATGAATAATGGCATTATTTGATAAAATGTTTGATCTGAAAAAAACAATGTCATGTTCGTTATTTGAAAGCGATGAGTAATTATGCCAGACCAAATTGTTTCCGTTATTTATGGAGGATAAATTCAAAGAGATGTTATTGAAATTTTGGTATAGTTGGTGGTTGTTAATGGAACCACCAATGTAGTCATTGATTAGGAAATGGTTTGTAAGAATGAGTTTATCGGTGGATCCGTAATTTGAACTTAGATAGTTTAGTTCTATTTCGTTTAGATCCAATACTGAATTTGTTGGGATTAAAGCAGTTATGTTTGTTAAACGAGGACAGTAATAATGAGACAAAAATGACGAATAAATAGATATAAAATTGTTTTGATCGTTTTGATTGTTTTGATCGTAGTTATTATTAGGATAGTTTTCAATAGTTCTAATAATATTGTTATTGTTATTAATAAGGTTGCAAATTGGGTTTAATCTGTTTAGTAAGTTGATTATACCATGGACAATTGAGTTTTGAGTGTTTGCAAATAGATCGGGATATTTTACAAAAATGTTGTTGATATTAAAAAAGTTTATAGTATTGTTAATATTATTGAATAGAATTGGGGAGTAAGTGATATTATCGTCATCTAAATTCGAGCTGCGATCAATATTGAATAGATTAGAATATTGGATGTCGTCTGAATACATGGATTTAAATATTTCAATGCCATCTAGGTCGTAGCTAAAAATTGGGAGGCCTATGATATATTGGTATAAGTCATTTTGGCTGAACACAATTTGATCTAGTTGGTCGTAGATGGAGTCAGGATCATCTGGATTTTCAATGTTGATCATGTTGGTTTCAAGAAACGCCTGGTTTACAGGGGCAACCAAAGTTATATTTTCAAATTGGTTCAAAACAGGTATTAGTTTATTTTTCTGTAAAATTCTCAAGAAATAGCTGAAGTCAGAGTTTGACGATAGAATGTCAATAACGGTTGTAGTTATTTGTGGGTCGCCATCGCCATCATCACCATCGTTGTGGCTATCTGCGTATTGGCTGGACTGAAAAGCAGTGCCAAAATGTAAATTATTCCCATCATTGGGTTTGGAATAAGCATTCTGAAAGGAATTGATGTTGTTGATTTGAGTCTTGAAAGTGTCGAAACCTGCTACCTTGAAGACGAGTAAAGCAAAATGAAAGAGGAAATATATGAGGGTAAAATCCATCAATTGAAAGTAAAGCTGTTATTCAGAGAAACCAACCTAGAAAGATAACTGAAAGAAAGAGCCTATTTGAGCTCGAAATATAAAACAATAGAACGAAAGAAATCAGACACCAATTGACAAAGAGCAAAGAAGAAACAAACTGTAATTTGAGTAGATAAGGCAAGAGAAATCGGACTCGTTATCTTCGTCAAATACGTGACAAAGCACGTGCTACATGAGCTCGATTTCCGACAAAGGAGCAAAGAAAAAAAGCTGATTTTGCCCAGGATCGAACTGGGGACGTTCTGCGTGTTAAGCAGATGCCATAACCGACTAGACCACAAAACCAGTTCACGTAACGTAGAACAGCTTTCTTTATTTTGATCCATATTCTCATTGGAATGCTTACTGCTTTGGTTTAGAAGATGGACCTTAGTTTTCACGAGCTTACCAAACAATATATAAACGCAGACAAAACAGTTATCATGTAGCCGAACAAATATTGTAATTCGACCGCTGGAAATGAATAACTCAAAAAATTGAATATAAAAGTGAAGGATGCGAGGTTCGAACTCGCGCGGGAAATCTCCCAGTAGATCTTAAGTCTACCGCCTTAGACCACTCGGCCAACCCTCCAGTGATTAAAGGCTTTTCTTGTTATACTTATTTATAATATAGTATTTGGTTTTATATCTTTTTATCTGATCAAGTTTTTTACTTTTTTTAGTTTTATGAATTTGACCTTGCAACGCGACTCTACCAACAGCTCGACCATTCAGTCTTCAAGAGACGAGTAATCTTGCTAAATGAAGCCACAGCATATCTCAACCAATGTCACAAAAGAAACAGAACCATCCCAGCACCTACATTCAGCACNATCAAAAAGGCCCTCCATCAAAAGATGATCCAAAAATGGAATAAAATATTTCACAAATAAAACCATAGTTCTCACTACGAAAAGGTAATCGCCAATTCCAACATCCCTCTATCAATCAAAGGACTACCCACATTTAAAATCCTATCACACAGGACCAAGGAGGAGGTGAGCGCGGTGATTCAACTTCGCACAGGACACCTCTTTGGTGAAGATACCCCGTGGAGAGCTGGGTATATGAGCAGCAACCAATGCAAATGTTCCCTTCCAAAACCGACGATAATTCATTATATCTTCCAATGTCCAACCAACTCACAGGCTAGAATCCGATCAGAGATTCCAACAATTTTCTCTGACGAAGTGGACCACGGTAGAATTACAAAGATAGCATTCACTCTTTTATATATAATATAATAAATAACACCGTGCAAGAACCCCAAAAAAGTGGGCTTTAGCAACTATTTTAAACAAAAAAATATGAATTTGTGTATCTATTTTTGGGAAATTTTTTCAACAGAAATAAAACAGTTGCTGAAATTTAAAACAAACAAGACACCTTTAAAAATATTTACAAACATGCTTTCAGCAAACAAAACACTCAAACAAATCAATCACTATAATATTTTTTTTCTAGCTTTCAAAAGTTCTTTTCACCATCAAAATAATTTGATAATATTTGAATTCCTTTTGTTCTGAGAGCTTTTTACATTCAATTTCACTTCTTTTCATTATTATCTTATTATTTACCTTTGCCTTGTGCTGACATACCATCCATATTTCTTTGTTCTCTTTACTGATTTGTATTTCAAATATACACACCCCAATTTGACCTATAAATTTATTCACTATTCTCAGATTTCATTCTAAATGCACTTATTTGCTTTAATTCCCTCGCTTTCTGCTATTTAGTTTTAATTTTGCCACCTTTCAATTCTTCACTAACTGCACTTTGCAAATATTATCATAAAGTCATTCTAAATCCATTGTAAAAAAAATCTAATCAAAAATAATAATTATCATGTCTCAACAAAAACCATTTGTCTTAGTTTTGCAAGTTTTTCTGTTTCTTCACCAATATAAATCTCAACGTCTCCTAAATAAATAATTTTTATACTTCCTAGTTCTGTAATATTTCCGAGTTTCAAATCCCTATTCCCCCTCCCCCCAATTCCAATTTAATTAAATTAATCAAATATGACAAATTCTCAATTTTATCGATTAAATTCAAAGCAAGATTCAAGTAATTTAGATTAATCAACTTTGACAATCCATCAATTTTTTTGATGCTGTTATTGGAAATGTAAAGCCTTTTGAGTTTGACTAATTTATCCAAATTTTCAATTCTTTGGATATTATTTAATCATAAATACAACTTAGTTAAACTAACAGAGTTATCCAACTTTTCAATTTTATTAATTTCATTTCCTGAAAGATCCAAGACAGTTAAATTAACCAATTTATCCAAATTTTAGATTTTTTTTATTCTTCCTTGTGCTAATAATAGAAATTCTAAATTGCTCAACTTATCTAAATTTTCAATTTTTTGAATAAAAATATTGCATGATAAATCTAAATGCTCTAAATTAATCAAATGATCTAAATTCTCCATCTTATTGATCTTTGTGTCCGATATTATTAACGTTTTTAGATTATTCAATTTATCCGGATTTTCAATTTTTTCAACATGATAACAGTTTTTTAGATTCAAATATTCTAGATTGATTAAATTGTCAAGATTCTCTATTTTTTTAATTGTATTGAATGATATTGATAATTTTTTTAGATTCTTCAATTTATCACATTTCTTAATTGCAGCTGGTTGTTTACCAATAATATCCAAAATACCCCAAAATGTCGTTTTTCTATTTTTTGGATTATACTGCAATATAGATCCAGAAAATTTAAATAAATAGCAGCCATTCAGATTGAGCTGAATAACACGTTCATAAGCTTGATCATTCAGATTAATAATGAAATCATAATCAAATTCATTTGGTCTCTTACATTCAGTAGAAGGTAATGTTGTGATATTGAAATTGAACCAGTTGGAATTGTGTTTAACTTGAGATTTGTATAGATACCCTAGGGAAACACAAATATATTTGAAGATGTGCGAATAGTTTAATATCAACTCTCCAATCTTTCCAACATTTTCAACCTGATTGTCGCTTAATGGAGAACTGTAGTCAGCATAAATATGGATATTTTCTATATTACTCGAACTCGTGGATAGTAATTGATTACAAATGATTTATTCCAATACTTTATCTCAGGCAAATTGGCCTTGGCCGCGGAATCCAAATGCCGAAAAATCTCGAATCAAAAAGCGTGCATCCCGTGACCAGAAAGTTGCGCAGTTTGACATGCAGCACGTGCGCGCATTTATGCAGTCCCATCTAGAAAGGGGCATTCACCTTGAACACTGCATCTACATGTAGAGCCAGTGCTGCGGCGCCAACAAGCTGCGCAAATTACAAAGAAACTGCGTCTTGAACAGCGTGGTCGGAATGTATTCCGGTACCAGACACACGTGTACCAACCTTCTTGATTAGTTATCATTTTGAAATCAAATCACGGAAACAGAAAGAAAGTAAAATTTTTACTTGTTTAAGCAATATAAATATATTAATTTTCACTAGAGAGTAGAGATTCCAATAACGAATGGTTCATAAATGTTCGGACAACCATCCATATAAATCATAAAGATAAATCATAAACACTCCTGCTGCTCAAGTTTTAACTGTTCTGTTTTTCATTGCCATATATTGTTGACATGACTGCTTTTTCCAATCCTTTTGATCAGTTTGCCAACCAGTCTTCAATTGTGCCCAATTACTATTCCTCCAGCGATGGTAAAAACAAAAGAAATAAAATAAAAACAAAAACAAAAAACAAAAATAGTTCCAACAATACTGCTGGTGCTAAGACCGGCGACTACAACATCAAGAAAACACACAACATCTGTGCTCGACAATTCGGTGACAATGACAATAAATATTCAATGGAAATTGGTGGGTACAAGATTTCTTTGAATTACTTCGCTGGTTTTCCCGATATAAATTTAATTCAGAACTCAAATCTAAAAGTCTTATTCAAGGGGTTATCCAAAAAAGATGACAAAACAAAAGAAAGATCGTTACTTCAATTATCACAGTTTTTAAATAAGATTATTTCTGATAGTGACCAAAACAACGAAATTCTGCAAAATATTTTCGATATAACCAATTTTGATCAAAATGGTAATGACGTCTTGTTGGTGCTATGGTCTCAGTTCTATTCTAAATTGGCAATAGAACTAAACAAAAATATCAAGCTTTATTCAAATGAAATCTTTGTAAAATTAATCCAAATTTATCAATTCCAATCAGTAACAAAACATGCAAATTCCTCACAAAAAGACAAGAAATTGCTAAAGAAAAATTTGAATAATTTTTTGCAATCTTCTTTACCGATTTTCTTGCTATCTTTATTTGATCACGATTTAATCATTTCTAAAAATTCTTTGAATTTGTTCAACTCAATATTTTTAAACTTGAACACAAATGAAAAATTATTCAAAATTTATAAAATCTTTCAAAATCAATCTTTGGTTTTGATTTATAACGTTTTGTTTATTGAAAACGTTAATTCAATCTCAAATATAAACTTATCCTCAAATTCTGATTCAACTTCCACTAATTCAAACAACAAAAACTCTGCGGTTTTGAAATACTACAAGTTGTACTATTCGGCTTTGAATTTGTTAAATAATATGTTAAATAAGCTTTACATTGATAATCCAACTGAAAACGAAAACAAAAACGAAAACAAAATTCTATTGCAAATAATCAAAAATGAAAATTTATACAAAATCCTAAACTTGCCATTTACCATGGGCTCATTCGATACATCTCCAATTAAATCCTCTTTAATCAACCTAATAATCTCAATATCAACTTTAAATAATAAAAAATTCTTATTTTCTAATGACAATCAATCGTTATATTCCAGCATCTCGAAAAATTCCCTACAATTATTATCAATAAACTATATTTCTAGTAATAAGAAATCCAAAGATAAAAAGAATCATAATTTCTCATTTAACAAATTAATCATACCAACTCTATTATTAATCAATCACTTGAATAAACTATCTTCAGGTTCAATTTGGTCTTTTTCAAATCTATCAAAACCCTATTTTACATCTTTTCTCAAACTAAGCTCAAACTCAAGTTCAAATACAGTAACCCCTTATTTCAATTTATTAAATGGAATATTATTACCGTCAACAGACAATTTTATCACTCCAGTTTCAATAATTGATTTCAGCTCAACTCAAGATTTTAACTTGTACTTGAATGAGATCTTTATTGAAAATTTAAAATTTGAATCCCTAAAGTTTAATAAAAATCCAAATTTTTTGAATCAATTTTATACCTTTATTTCAAACTTGTTTTCGGTTTTTTATGAAGGTCTAATTAATACTGACAATGAAAACGATTCCTCAAACTTGCAAAGTTTTAATGATTCTTTATCCAGATTTTTAATTGATTTTCTTGATAATAAATTTTTCAACTATCAAGTATTTAAAAATCTATTGGTTTCATTAAATCAATCGGACTCTAATTGCATCATAGGAAAAATTATTGATGATTTTATTATAAAGACAAGCTTAACTAATCAAAGTGAAGTTACCAAATTAAATTTTAATTTGTTTATTGACAATTTTATCAAGATTACTCATATTCCTCAAAATGAAAAATTACTCAATAATTTATTAACTAGATCAATTGCATCTCTTGACGATATTAATAATCAACAAAATCACCAAAATCAACAAAATGAAAAGAATGCCCACTTCTTTCTACCCTTTATTTTAATTGACAAATACATTATTAATGATATCGTTAATTCAAAAGAAACAGTTAATGATTTTTTGCAAAATAACTTGTCATCTTACTTATCGGAATCATTTAATAATCAAATTTTTCAAATTATTGTGGATTTTTTTAAAACCAAAAAATCAGACAATTTAAACAACTCCTTTTATGATGAGGCAATTTTTGAAGATTTATTGAACGATATTACATTGAAATGCGATCAATTGAATTCCACTGATTTGTTTTTTGATTTTTTAAAAATTTTGCCAATTGGTGAAATTAAAAAGGACTTTGATATCAGTAAAGCTGATTTGTTCCAAGAGAAATTGCAAAAAATTGCTGAAAGGTTTAAATATTCGAGAGAAAATCAAAAGGAGTTTATAATATTTCAGTATTTGGATAAAAAAATGATGGGGGCATTATTGATAAATTCTATAAAAGGTGAAAAATTAGAGGAAACAATATTAGAAATAAATAAAGAGGTAAAGTTGCAGTCACTATTGATAGATGTATTAAAAACTGCTGATTGTTTTGAAATTGATATTTCTTTTATTTTAACATCATTTTTTTCTCATTTGTGGAATTCGTTTATAAATAAAGACTCGATTTATTTTGAATCCAATTTGAAAATACAAAATTTAATTGAAAGGAGTGTTTTCAAGCAAGAAATTTTAGATCTATATGTCTCATCGTTAAAAGATTTTATTAAATCCTGTTCTTTGTTTGAAAATTTTGCAAAATTGATAAGTTATTTATCTAAAAGTGATACTAAGGGAGGAAGTGTAATTGAGCAATTAGTTTTAAGTGAGAAAGAATGGATTGAATGTGTTTCAAATTGTACAAGTGATTCTGTTGATTCCATTTTATCAATGGGAAATACACTAGAATATAATATTTACCTTTTGCCTAAAAATGAGAATGAAAATAGTTTTAACAAGCCATTGGGATTGTTTAAGTATTCTAGGTTTTTATTGGGATTATTGAAGGAAATTGAGTATGAAAAGTATATTTCTGAAAATTTGTACATTAGTACGATTTCATATTTAGGTATTATTGGAGAAATTTCAATGGATTATATTTTTTTAAATGAGTTGACAGAAGATGTTAGTAGAGAGCTATTAGATTTCTACTCTCTTTGTTTTAGTATGGTCAAGAGCAAGATGCCAAAGGTTTCATTTTCTGATATTATTAAGACACTTTTAGTAGTGGATGGTAGGGAGAAATTGAGTGTAGAAAGGTGTCATGGTTATAATTTGGTTGAGTATATTTCTAGTAATATCAATGGATTAACAACGATAAGCTTTTATTTCAGCCGAATATTGAAAGTTGTGTTGAGTGATTTTGTTGAGGCAATCGCGTTGTTTGAGATTAAAGAAGAAGATATTAGTAATATAGTCAAGATACTAAATAAGAGTGTGTTGAAGATGGCGGCGGTGAGTTTGGGATTGAAAAGGTTTATTCACGAGAGTCGTTTTGACAAGTTGCGAAACAATGTGGCGTCTGAGATATTGAGTATAAGAAATATTGAGACAAAGTTGGAGAGTGGGATTATGTTTACAAGTTTGATCAATAATTTATTTTCAATTGAGTATTTGGGGGATAAAGAAGTGGGATTGTTGCCTGTTCGAAGATTTGATATGCTTATTGACCAAATTGTAAAATGGAACGAAGACAGTGTTATTAGTTATGATGAGGAGTTTATTCCATTGAGGATTGAGAGCATAATTTTGATGAGCAATGTGGTGAGATTGCGAAATAAGATGAATGTGAAGATGTACAAGTTTGGGATACAGTTGTGCAAAGAATCGTTGAATATAAGCAATGAGTACAATTGCAAGCCACTTTTATATTATTCGTTAAAGTTTTTGATTAAATTATGGAAAATGAAAGAAGAAGAAGAAGGAGAGTATGTTGAAGTTTGGAAGGAAGAGGAAAAGGAAATAATTGGCGAAGTAATTGAAGAGTTGATTAGAATGGGTAAAGGAGTGAAGCATACACAGGTTAATATCATATGCAATGAGTTACTTGAGAGGATATTTGAAGTTGAACAAGAAGAAGAGGAGGAAAGAAGAGGAAAGAAAATGGTGAGAGAAGTATGGAAGGGCAAGATTGATGAATTGAAGGGACTATTGTCGTGTGAGTTTTTAGGGTTGCAACGAATAGCAGTTCCAATTTTGAAAGATATTATTCGAGAAGAGCAGGAGGAGTTTGTTGTTGAGTGTGAACTTCGGAAGATAAGTCCCAGTTTACAAGATGAAGAGAGTAATGATGAGGTGGAAGCAGGAGTTGGACTTCCTAGTTATTTGATTGAGAATATTTCAGTTGTGCCATATGAAGATGGCGGGAAGGAGATTGAGAGCAGCAGTTTGATTTTCAAGTATTTTTGGAGCTGGATGTTGATAATTGAGTATTTGAAAGAGATTCCTGGGAGTGTGAAGAGAAAGTACATTGAGGAGTTGAATGAAAAGGAGATGATTGACAAGTTGATGAAATGTGTATTTTTGAGGTTTGATATTTTGAATTCTGAGATTGTGAAGGTGAATGGAGGTAAAGAAGAAACGAAGAAAGTTATTCGGAATTACAAGATTGGGAAGATCAAGGAAGAGAATATCTTGGCTGAGACCGATTTTGTGATAATGTATGATTATTACTTGGTTTTGAAGGAAATGGGAAGTCAAGTTCAAAACTGGTTCAACAATTTGAAGGATCGAGAGATGAAGAATAGAATTGAGGTTTTTTCCGAAAGGTATATCTGTGAGTTGATTATCGAAGGGGAGATTGAGAAGGTTGAGAAGCGGAAGGCAAAGTTAGTTAAAGAGAACGAGAAGCAGAAGCTTAGTATCAAGATCAACAAGACGACGCATGATATCCGAGTTATGTTTTTGATTGATGAACAGAACATGGAAATGGTTATCAGAATACCCAAGATGTACCCGTTGAGGAATATAACAGTTGAAGGAATCAGCCGTATTGGGGTGAAGGAGTCGTTGTGGAAGGCGTGGTTGTTGGCATCGCAGCGAACAGTGTCGTCGTTGTATGAGAATGGAAGTATTGTGGAGTCGATTGAGTTGTTTACGAAGAATGTGAACATGCACTTTTTAGGGTTTGAAGAGTGTTCAATCTGCTATTCCATTTTGCACCAAGACCATTCGTTGCCATCAAAGAACTGCTCAACATGTCACAACAAGTTTCACTCGGGATGTTTGTTCAAGTGGTTCAAGAGCTCTGGTGGAAATACATGTCCACTCTGTCGTTCAGCATTCAAGTTTCGGTTGAGCAGCAAGTGAGCTATGATGTAGAACTTGGGTTTTTGAATTTAGATTTTTGGATTTGGATTTGAATTTGGAATATTTGGATTCTGGAATTTGGAATTTGGATTCTGGAAATTGCAAAATGGATCTGAGATCTTGCGGTAGAGAAGTAGAGAAGTACTAAACAATAAGACAGTTCCAGAGAAAGAAGAAGATAATCTGGTGTGAGTTCTCATTCAGAGAGAAAACGGCAGGTTGGCCCAGCCCGATAAGAGATGGGGAGAGAGCGCTATCGACGCGTGCTGCGGCAGGAGCCAGAGATAGGGGCCGCAGTGGCCAATCAGCGTGCGCTTCGCCGGCCGATCCCCAGCGGTGGTCCTGGGTGCCGGCGCAGCTTTTGCCGGCGCGGGCGTGCCAATCACGGGCCGCGCATTGCTAAGCGAGAGAGCGCTCCGATTGGGCTGGAGTTCTGCAGGTGTGGTCCAGGTCTGGGTTCTGGTTTTCATTGTTCTTTTCTCTTCTCGCCCAGTCACTCGCTCATCCAGCACCCAGTCACACACACACTGCTTTCTCTTCTTGCTGCTCTTCGCTAGAGTGCCTTCCCCAAGGTGGTGCCCGCTTCTCGACCCCAGCGCGCGCCTCCCGTCGCAGCGAGCTTTTGGCGAAGAGCTGGAGCGCGCCGGCAGCCAATCACAGCGCGCAGGCTTATCTCCAGAACAGCAGACGCAGCGTCGGAAAGACGTCCGAGGGCTGCGCCGGGATTCCGAGGACGGGCCAAGCGCAGTGGAGACTGCTTTCAGGTGATATCCGTGGGCCAGAGCTGCGTTTGTGCGTGCTGCCGACCCCAGTTTCGTGTTTCTTTTTTGGCTTTTCAACTAACGATCGATTACAGGCCCATTTTCTTTAGACTTTGGAGTTTATTTTCTTCCTTCATCTACAGGCCTGATATAAAAATCATCCATTTTCTGCTGCTTTTCACTCTCTCCCTTCCTTCTTCTCTTCCATTCTTTATCTGCCTTTTGTCTTCTCTCTGCAATTGATTTGACTATCAATTTTCTCTATTCCTTGTCTTCCTCACAAATCCTTTCCGGTTTTATACCATCTAACATAAAAGACCACCTACAATAACAACAATTCAAAATGTCTAACCCAGTTGTATTAGCAAAATATAATCAATTATCGCAAAAGGGCAAAATCATTGCTGAGTACATTTGGATAGATGGCTCCAACAACTTGCGTTGCAAGGCTAAGACCTTGTCCAAGCCTGTTACTGCTGTCTCCGATCTCTCATGGTGGAATTTCGATGGTTCTTCTACCGGTCAAGCTCCAGGTCACGATTCTGATGTCTTATTGAAACCAGTTTCCTACTACCCTGACCCATTCAGAGGTGGTGACAACATCCTAGTCATGTGTGAATGTTGGAATCCCGATGGAACCCCAAACAAATTCAACCACAGACATGCTGCTGATTTGTTGTTGAAGGCCCACGCTGGTGAAAAAATCTGGTTTGGTTTGGAACAAGAATACACTTTGCTTGACAAGTATGACAACATTTATGGCTGGCCAAAGGGCGGCTACCCAGCTCCCCAAGGTCCCTACTACTGTGCCGTTGGTACTGGTAACGTTATTGCAAGAGACGTCATTGAGGCCCACTACAAGGCCTGTCTCTTTGCCGGTATCAACATCTCCGGTATTAATGCTGAAGTCATGCCCTCCCAATGGGAATTCCAAGTTGGTCCTTGCGAAGGTATAGAAATGGGCGACCAACTATGGGTAGCAAGATTCTTGTTGGACAGAGTTGCTGAAGAATTTGACGTTAAGATCACATACCATCCAAAACCACTCAAGGGTGATTGGAATGGTGCTGGTTGCCACACTAACGTCTCCACTGAAAAGATGAGAGTGAAAGGTGGTATGAAATACATTGAAGAAGCCATCTCCAAATTGGCCGCCAAACACGACAACCACATCTTGTTATACGGTAAAGACAACGATCTCAGACTAACTGGTCGTCACGAAACTGCCTCGATCTCAAACTTCTCCTCCGGTGTTGCCAACAGAGGTTCCTCTATTAGAATCCCTCGTCCTGTTGCTATAGATGGCTACGGCTACTTTGAAGACAGAAGACCTGCTTCTAATATCGACCCTTACTTAGTAACAGGTATTGTTACTGAAACTATATGTGGCTCCATTCCTGAAGTTGACATGGTTGAAGAGTTTAAACGTGAATCAAAATAATCTCATTTACTTGAAATTTAAATAAATAGTCTTTAATTTTTATTTAATCATTTTTATATTTTTTATCAACTTTTGTCTTAGTTAATTTTTTCCTTTTGTATATTTCAATAATGCTACAGTTGTCTCAAAATTTTCACATCTCCAATACACTACCATACACTATCCATACGCTATCATAAATCAATCAAAATATCTATTCCATGCATAATCTATCACAACTATAAAACTATTCAGTATGATTCATAATCTATCATAATCTATCATAATCTACCATAATTATCATAATCTATAAATTTCTTCAATTCTTCACTTTCTTCACTTCTTCACTTCTTCACTTCTATTCTTACACTCATTTTCGGTAAAATCCCATCCAGATTATCTACCACTAACTATAAATTACAAAATTTCTTTTTCTCTCTCTCTTCAAATGCTCACGATTCCATGATACCCTCATTGACGTATTAGCCCTTATCTCTATCTGCCCAAACCTAATTTCCTCCAGATTCTCTTATAATTACTTTCCTATTTCAATCACCAACTACTGGAATATTCATTAAACTTTCTCATCTCGTTGGTTTATTTGATGTCCTTTATTCTTTTTCGAAAATGGATATTCTCTTCTTCTCTCCTTCCTAACAGGACTTGCTTTTTCCATCAAAAAAAAACTTTTCATAATTACACTATCTGATCATCTCCCTTGACACAATCCCACTAAAACTCTCTGAAACTCTCTCTCCCATCCTCATTTCCAACAAAAGCAACTCCCACCTTCTCCAGACTTTTCTCCAAACCCCTTGCCCTGTTTTTCCACGCCCTGTTTTTCCCTGCTCCTCTTTTCTCCAGCAGCTCGGCTCTCAACCTCCGTGACACCCTCTCTGCACGTTTCAGCGCACTCCGGCGCCTGTGTGCCGCTGTCCAATAAAATCCCGTTCCACTGCCCTGGACTCATCGCCGGATCAGGCAGCTTTTCTTTCTTTGCTGATAAGAAACCGCTTAAATCTCGCGCGAAAACTTCATCAAAAAGATAACGCCTTCGGTACTTTGCCTTTTTTCTTCCCAATCCCAGAATCAGGGCTCTATCAATAGCCCTGCTCTCTGTTTCCGCCATTTGCACCCTTTAGACGCATGCACTCACCTGTATCTTCATGCACATATCACTATCCGCTACAATGGGTCTGCTGACGTAAGCGCTGACTAACCTCAGCTTTAATATAATCTTCTCAACACTGATTATATTTTCATCAGCATCAGATCAACCAATTTGTCCTATTTGAAAATATTGTTTCTCTCATTTTCTCTATTTTGCTATACCATCTTGCTATATTCTCACACTATGCATTACTTACTAGAAACCAGCTCCCATGTTATTTTTTACTTTCCACCAAAATCAAATTCAGATATCCCAAACTACTCCATCCACTTCAAAGATCATGACACGAATAGTAATCTCCATTCTCTCAATAAGATTCAAGACTTGAAATTCAATGATAATCTAAGTCTATACTATAACAACGATCAAAATATAGTAGAAGTTATCTTTAGACAATCAAACAACTTCAATGACCTTCACTACAATCGCCAGAACAACAGCTTTCCTACCACCAACACCGATAATAATACCTATAATAATACCTATAATAGCAATAATAGCAATAATGATAATGACAATTATAATGATAATACCACTCAAAACTTGGGTTTTATCCCAATGAACGATGATATAAAGATTAATAAATTAGCTAACTTCATCTCAATTTGGAAAAATGGTTTGTCCTTTATTGACGAATTTCAAAGTTCCCTTAATTACAATTCTAATAATAGTACAATTAACAATAACAACAACAATAATGATAATAATAACCAACTTGAAAATAGAAAAATTGATCCAAATTTACTAAATTATCTAAACAACAACTTCAACAATTTCAACCATTTTAAAAATCTAAAATTTAAAATAATTTCCTGGAATATCAACGGTAACTCAAACTGCTTTAATAATATCAATGAACTAAATAACTTTAAATCACTATTATCAATTCCAATCAACGCAAATAACTTAATAGACATATACATCATCAACCTCCAAGAAACAATTCCTTTGAATATTAAAAATTTTTACTCAGATCCTAAAATTATATCAAGTTGGTCTAATTTTATACTATATCTACTAAATGAAAACAACGATAAAGATAAAAATAAATATAAATATAAATATAAATATAATAAATACACTTACATCTCAAGCAATAGATTACTAGGTTTATCGACTATCATAATATCGAAATTATATCTAAAGGACTTGATCTCAGTTAAACTTAAAAAGTCAATTGGAACCGGTTATTTCAAAATTTATGGCAACAAAGGTGCAACTTTAATTGACTTTAATCTACAATTATCCTCCTACTCTAATAACATTAATAAGTTTTTAAAATTTGTAATAGTCAATTTACACTTAAACTCTGGTAACGATAATTTAAACTTTTCAAAAAGAAAATCTCAATTGTCTTTAATCAATACATCTCTCAATTTAGACTCCTATTTTAATCTTTTCTCTAATAAATCAAAAATCAGTGACGATGATTTTATAGAATTTGATAAATCAAGCAACTCTTTTAGTTTCAATAATGATGATGAAAATGACAATACAAACACAAAAACAAAAACAAACTCTAAGAACAATACTCACAAAGACATAGATAATGAAAACAACGATGAGTTGTTTTCAATTGAGGACTTCGATGACGACAATGAAAGATTGGATTTCTACAGCAGTGATGACGATATCAATTTATTAAAATCAACATCGACTTTAGTTTCCCATGATGATATATTCAACCAAAAACCCAATGAAAACTGTAAACAAAATCATCTTCCATCTTCAGCAATAACGAATTCAAAGACTTTAAATTTTAATGATACCTTATATTCAAACAATCATAGTGTAGAAGAAAATATTGGTAAAATCAAATCTCTTCGAGCTCCTGCAAATATTAGCGATCTTGATGATACCGCTGAAACTCAGAACAATAAACTAAATTCAGAAACTCAGAACAATAAACTAAATTCAATTACTCGAGATAATAACGATAATCATAATAATAATAATAATGACAATAACGATGAAATCAAAAAATGCTATTTATTTGTTTGTGGAGATTTCAATTTTAGATCAGATACAAACTCTACTGAATTAATTAAAGACTTGATTTCTAAAAATTTAGTCCCGAAAATTTTGAAATTCGATTCATTAAATTCAAATAAAAACAACTTGAAAATATTATCAAATTGCAATGAATCAAGAATAAATTTTAAACCTTCATACAAATTCAAATATACAAATTTGAATCAAAATGACTCTCTTATCGACAATGACTTCCGAAATAATACTGATAATTTCCAAACCATCGACAATTTTAACGACACTGACGATGATAACTACGATAATGATTATGATTATGAAAGAATCCCATCTTATACTGATCGAATCTTTTACAGAGAAATTTTTAAACCGTTTAACCATAATTTAAATGGTTTTAATAACATTAATAACAATTTGGAAATAGTTGATTACAATATGTCTGATATGTTCAAATGCAGTGACCATAAACCTATATATTTGGATTTTAAAATTAATGATGCCCAGTTATGCGACTTTGATCAAAGACAGGATTTAATTGAAAAATATTATGAGAATCTCAATATTGAAGAAACGAAAAACAAAAAAGCTAAAGACAGCCAACTCAAAGTCTCTTTATTAAATAATAAAATTAATAATGCTAAAATATTGAATATCGAACCTGTCACTTTAAGTTTTAACTTGGAATACTTCGAAGACAAGGAATTAAATTTGGTTGATACTAATGAAAGTGAGGAAATAGAATGGGAAATATTATTCAATAATAACGGTTCAACTTTTGTTAAAATAGAATACAATAATGGAGAAGAATCTTTTAAAAAAAACTATTTCAATAATTTCGAAAGTAAAAGGGAAATGGAGGATTACTTCAAGAGTTTCATTACGGTTAATGATGGCAAGTTAAAAGGCAAGCTATACAAAAATTTTTTTAAAAATTTTAAAGTCAATGTTCGAAGCTTTATACCTAGTGGAATTTTAAGTATTAAAATTTTAATTATTTTAAGAATATCAAAAGTTAAAGACTTTTATGTGAATTTCGAAATTAATTGCGCTGATTCATATTTTGGTAAAAACTTGGATTTATTTAATAAAGACCTGAATAATAAATTGATCCCTAATAATCTATTAGAGATAATAAATTATTTGATAACAAAACTTAATAGTAAAAACATTCGAAATAAGAACTTGCTCGTCATAAATGGCAGTTTTAAGAACATATCCATTCCTAACTTTACTAAATTTGAGAATTTCATAATAGAAAAAATTGAAAAGGATGAATTAAACTACATTGAAAACATAAATCAAATTCAGGAGATGAATGAAAACTATAATGAATTTGGCTTTAAATTGGTTTTCAAAATATTTTTGTTACTATTGCGGAATCTAGAAAATGGATTAATTCCTCAAGAGCTAATTCTAGTGATATTCAAACAATCGTTTAAGGAAATTGAAAATTTAAAGGCTGTTCGAGGAGTCAGTAATATCAGTTTACTAGAAAAGAAAAACATCATAACAACTAGAATAGTTGAGATTGTTCCTGGTATTAGATCGAATACGTTTGTTTATTTAATTTCGTTTTTGAGATTGTATTTAGATTATATAATTAATGACTGTTTCAACGGTAATGCCATCAGAATCAGAAACAGCTGTCAAGAAGTGGTTGAAGTATTTGAGCTGATATTATTTAAAATAGATAGCGATATGTTAACTGATTCATTATCTAGGCAAAGAAAGAAAGCGGTCAGAATTTTATTTGAGTTGGAATAATTTGATTCAATGAATATACTTATATAATTGTTATTATTGTGTTTGTAAAGAGATTGTATCACCACAATATTTTGTTAATGGATGGAAATAATAATTTATAAATTGTAAACAGTGTTATGTCACTCACTTCACTAGCTACCAATTTTAGCAATGAGAGCACCAGAGTGCCATCCAGACGATGTAATGGCCAATACCCTATAGCCTTCTTCTAAGTCAATTTTCATGGGTCTCTTCACCACTATTGATCTAGTTTCAAGCTCAAAATATCTATTCAACTCAGAATCTTTTATTTGTGTTTGATCGGGTGCAGTAGCTATTTTATTTTTATTCTTTGCTCTGATTATATCCTCAGCTTTTTTCTTGATTTCAAGATGTGATCCCAACCCTAAACAACCACAGCTTTCAAGCTCTTTTCCCCAACTGACTAGATCACCATTATCGAACAATGCTAAGTTATGATGATCACCAGATGCAATTGAGTGGCAGCCCTTTTTTTGAAGTTCAGGTATGATATCAACAAATTTCCTAATTAACGAATTGCTTGAGTTTTTAAAGCTCTTGTCTTCATCATTTTCATTATTTTTATCATCATCATCATCATCACTGTCATAGTCATCATAGTCATCATAGTAAAATCTAAATTCATTGTACGAACTTTTACTGTTATAATCCATCAAAGAATCTAAGCTCATTCTCAATTTATCACTAAGATAGACATTATCGGAATCAGTGATTGCACCAAATCTTAGAAAATTGCCAAATACTCTAACATATTTTGATTTTTTTGATTTTATTATATCGTTGAATGGAGTTAGTTCATAGGCAACATTTTCATTGATAAATTCGCCATCTGATGGCCATTCTAAATTCAATCTGTATAGTTTGCCCTTGGAGTTGATATAGATTAAGAAGCCTTCACCAAATGCGTAGTCAATGATATTAAGAGTGTTTGGAATAATCATGAAGTTTGTTTTGACACTTGTATTGATGTCCCATTTATCAGTTTTCAAACCTTCTCTTTTATTCCAGATGGCTAATCCAATGTTTGCGATATAACAGGCACTTAAATTCCAGCCAGCTTTGATTGATTTGATATAATTTTTTTTAGTGTCTGGATTATTATTATCTAAAATATTGACACCATTTTCATCAATGAAATTTAGTTTAATACCAATGTGTTGATTGTCTATATTGTCTATATCCCAGGACCAAATATTATTCTCGTTATCTAAAGCAATAAAATGGAAATGACCACCACTGACTTGAACGAATTTGATATGACTGTTTAATCTGTTTCTAGGGATTTTCATTTTATTGATAAATCTTGGTTCTACAGTCGAGTTATCTTCGTCATCGCTGACAACAAAGATCTCGTCGTCTTCAAGGTTTTCTAGTTCTTTTTTTGTCACTATTTCGTGCTCTAGAGTAGGAAAGTGAGGAGCATCAGAGGGTTGAGCAGCACCTAGCTGATGATCAAATCGTATGTTTGGTCTTCGAAAGCCTCCTAATCCAAAAACACCAGGCACTGGTATGACTCTGGGGAAATCACTGAAGCTTCTTCGATTCACAAAGGAATTGAATTTGATATGGAGGTTTCTGTTGATGATGTTTGAAGGGAAGTGGTCCTCTGAGTCTCTGGGGCCAGGAGGCGAGGAAGAGTGGTTGTTCCAGCTGGAACCAGTAACATACAAATCACCATTTGCAAGTAGAATCTGGAAGCTGAAGCCATTGGAGGAGATTTGTCTTATTGGCGATTTGTGGAAGCATCTTAGATATGTTGGTTTGACGACCTCTTTCTTGAAGAATCGTCTGTGGGTATTAGCCTCTGGAGCACTGGAGATGGAGTAGCCCAAACGCAAACCATTGTTGGATCCCCAGTCGTAGAACTTGGCCTGTTCTCTGGCCTTGTATAGATTGATCCAGTTGGTGTGGGTTCTTTCGATTGGTTTGTCGTTGAAGCTGATCAAGTAGAGATACTTGGAGGCTAGGTTGGAGGAAAGAAGGGCATTGAGGTGTGGGTGGTTCAACAGCAAAAGACGATTCACATCCTCCCTCTCTAGCTTGGGCAAGATGTGGTTGACAAAGATGTCTTCTCCTAGGTCGAAGATACTAAGGCCCATTGTGGTTTGAACAGAAGGGGCAGCAAGATGAGAGCAGAACTGAGTTGTTCTTATAGCTCTTATAGCTTATCTCAACATGCCTTCAGTTGCTCGACCCCGAGAAGCAATGTGTGATCCATCAAGTCTGGAGCTGAGAGCATGTTGATGAGCTTATCCTTCAAGAAGCTGCTGATACTACTGGGCCTCTACACTGGAAACAAGAGCTGTTCAAGAGAAGGTGCAACAGTTACTGGTTCTGAAAGAGAGCATCGAAATGAATCTCGTTGGAAACAGCTCTGGTGAGTGAGACCATCGAGAATGGCTCTATCAAAAAGACTTGATTAAAACCTGGGTGTGTTTTTGGTGGTTTAACTGATTCAATTGTTGCTTTCTAAGCTATCTGGTCTTGCAATTTACTGTTGGAAACCTCCATATAAGATACAGGTTGAAGATGAGCTCGAGTTTGAGCATTTTTGATATTTCCAACCTGATAGCACATAAACACTCAGTGTTCAATCATCTTCCTTTTTATTTGGTTGATAAGATCCTATTATTTTTGCCACTAGATAGAATACTATTGCTCAGTCTATCAAATTACGTTTCTGTTCGATACTATGCTTCGAGCTATCTATTTAAAACTATAGTCTTACTCAATCATAAAGGCTGGGTTAGCAGCGAGAAAACAAGTATAAACTTGAATGATCTATTCAGGCTTGGTGAGAAAATCAACGAATTTACAAAAAGCTTGTAATTAAAACTTGATATATCCTATTCAGATGACGATGATTTTAATAGAAAATTTCATACCTTATCAAAGAAACGTAACTTGCAAATCATTCAATCAGTGGTTTTCATCATCAAAAATGAAGTCGAAATCAGATTTCCTGTCTTTGCAAGATTGCTCAATCTTTTATTATCTCAAAATTCAAATCATTTACTACAATTCAACTTTTCTTATCATAATTTCAAGATTCTATCAAATTTCTTTGTTTTAAAATATTTGAAAAGTTGCTTCAAATTAAAAAAAATGAAAGCTTTCAATCCCTTCTCGTTACCAAGATTTCCCAACAATTCTAGCAAGACATTTACGCTTTTTAACTGATTTAAATTTGCAACTATACTCGAATTTATCTCATCTAGATTTTACTGATAACAACTCGCACTTTTTTTAAACAAAATCGATTTCATTAATCTAAAATGCTTGAATCTTTCTTATACCAATATCGCTCAAATTAAACTATTAAAGAACTGTGGTTCTTTAGAAATTCTAGATTTACAAAGAAACCATATTAAAATCGAAAATCTACAAAATTCGAAAAACATAAAGGCCCTAGATCTCAGTTTTAATAACTTCAAAAAAAAATTTAAAACTGATCTAGTTTATTAGACTTATTCAGTCTATTTCTATCCTTTAATAAAATTAGAAAAATTGAAAATTTAAACGATTTGGTAAATTTAAAGTATCTCGATGTGGTTAATAATCTAATAAAAGAATCTGATCATTTACAATATTTGGTTAATCTTAGAAGCTTTGTAGCTTTGTTCAATTCCTTGTCAAATATCAGGTTTTTAATTAATAATCATAATCTAACTCATTTAGATTTATATAAAAATAAAAAGTTTTCTGATTCAATCAATATACATAGATTTAAAAATTTGAAGATTCTAGATATATCCTCAACTTTAATTAGAGATTTTTCTATAGATTTTAATCAATTTAATAATTTATCAAATTTATCAATGGATTATAGTAATCTTTCAAATTTTCCAATTCCAAGTAATAATAATAATAATAATGATAATGGTAATGGTAATTTCCGCTCTTTAAAACTTCTATTGTTAAATTTTTAATAAACTAATGAAATTACATAACTTTAGTAAATTTATAAACCTTGAAAAATTGATACTTAATTTAAATAAATTATCCGAAATTGGTGATGAGTTGCTTGCATTGAAAAATTTGGTATATTTAAATTTATCATCGAATAGTATAAAAACATTTGATAGGGAGAAACTTGATTGCTTTAAAAAATTAGATCATTTAAATTCAAATAATAATTTATTAAATCATTTTGAGATTGATGAAACCTCATTGAATAAGTTGGAAGTTTTAAATTTATCTCATAATAATATTAGTAAAATTAGATTTATCAATAAATCAAAGGAAATTCCAGCTAGGTATTTATCGAGGATTAAGCAGATCAATTTAAATACGATTCATTTTTCTGAGAATCCAATTACAGATTCTGGAAATTTGAGGTTTTATCATGTTCAATTTTTAGAAGTTGATGATCAAGTTTACCACGATTATATGAAAAGATTTTTCAAAAGCTCTGTGGCAGAAAAACAAAATAAATGCAATGGAGTTGATGGAGAATCGAATGAATAGTCTAATACAGTTATAGTTTAATTGATTGTATATAAATAAAGATAAGTAAAATATAAAAACATGAAAAAAAANAAAAAAAAAAAAAATACAGCAATGCATTTCTATATAACTCTTAAAATTATAGTTGGGATTATAATTTTGCTTTTAAAGGAGAACCATATTTCAAATAATATCTTACAACTTCATCGATTGCCTTGGCAGTATATAGTACATTTTTATCATTCAAACCTGCGATTGATGCTCTTCCTGAATTAATTAAATAAACAGCATGCTTATCAGCTAATCTTTGAACATGATGTTCACCTAAACCAGTAAAAGAAAACATACCAATTTGGTTTGTTATATGATCCCAATTGCCCGGAGTCTTGAGTTCAAGCAAATGGTCTTTCAATTGGTGTCTCATTTTTATGATTCTTGAGGACATGGTTATTAGATCGTTTTTCCATTGTTTGAATAAGTCCTCATCGTTTAATAATAGAGAAACGATCTTAGCGCCGTAGCTTGGAGGGTTTGACAACTCAGATCTTGTGATTTTTTTCAATTGAGAGTAGATTGCATCTTTATCTTCTGTCAAGAAGTTGGGCAAAGTTAAATGGATACAACCGACTCTTTCACCATACATGCCAGTATTTTTGGCAAAGGATTGACAAATTATAATGGGAGTTAATTCACCTAGCACTTCCACACCTTTTCTCAAGGCCCAGGCGTCTTTATCCAAATCACCGGAGGCAAAACCTTGATAAGCAGTATCGAAGATGGGCAAATGTTTTTTTTGCTTAATGACATCTAAGATTTGCAACCATTGGTCATGATTAGGATCTAAACCGGTTGGATTGTGGGCACAAGAATGTAATAGGATGATTGAACCATCTGGAGCATTTGACAAGTCACTTAAATAAGAGGATAAATCGATTGATTTGTTTTCGTAGTCCCAGTATTTGTAGTATTTGACTTTGAAACCACAAGATTGAAAAATCTGGATATGGTTTGACCAAGTTGGAGCAGATACAAAGATCATTTTTTGCAAGGTTGGGTCATCAGACTGATTTGAGTGCCACTGATATAAGAATTTAGCAGCAATGTGTAAAGAACCAGTGCCACTTAAACTTTGAATTGAGACGATTTTGTCTGGGTTTGAATAAAAAGAAGAATCTTCACCCAAAGTAATCTTGGAGGCAGCGTTTGTTAGCGATTTGAAACCTTCAATGGGCAAGTATTCATGGTTGTAGTTTGGGTCTGATAAGATTTTCTTTTCAGCCAGTTTGACAGAAGGTAGGATCCATGGTCTGCCATCGTTGTCTCTATAGGCACCTAAGACCAAGTCGACTCTTTCAGGTCTTGTATCAGCCTTTGAGCGAGCAGAGACGCCAAACAAAGGATCAGGAGGTAATTGAACGATGTTTTGGAAGAATTGATTGGGCATTTTGAGCAGATATAATAAGGTGAATTGGAGGCGGATTGGGATAGGGATAGGTTGGGACGAAACAGGGTGGAATGGGACAGGGTTGAGCTGGATACAGCAGGATGTAGTGCGATATAATTCGATATAATTCGATATAATACGATGATAGGATATAATACGAGTATCGAGGTATGTGAACAAAAAGAACAAAGCAAATGGTGCTGCTCCAGAGATATAACAGTCGAGCTAAAAAAAACAAGGGAAATATCACAATATATAGAGTTGGAGCTCAAAGAGAATTAAAACAAATAAGCTCAATCAGTCGCCTAACAGTTGCTAGCCTGAGGGAAGTTGGGAGGAGTAGCTGAGCAGCTCCTGGCTCAAGTCGAAAGCAAGCAGCAGGCACCTGGAAAACAGCAGAGATGTGGAGGAGAGCTTCGTTGGTAAAGCCAAAACACAATTGCCAATTATTCTGTGGAGGTGAATGAGAGCTGGAGATTGAGCTCTTCTGATAAAGACTGGTCTTTGAGTCATTTTCCAGCAGCTGTTTCGGGCCAGCCCCAGTCGGTCGGTGGGCACTCGCCGATAAGCACTGCACGTGATAGCCGTGTCACGGAGGCTTTCCGGTGGCGGTGGGCGAGCGCGTCCCAAAGTGGCAGGCGAGTCAGATCCAGCACTCCGTTTCGCGCAGGGACCAATGGATCCGTGGTTGTTTCCGCGTGGACACGGAAGGCAGGTCGGAATTGGGTGTTGGATGCTTGCAGGTGTTTGTGGTCGGTTGCAGTCGAGGTTGCTCTTTGGGGTAACTGCCTGATTGGGACCACTCATATTGCTCCTACTGCTTTTACTGCTTTTGTTTCCTGTGGTGGTGGTGGTGATGCTGGATGATGGTAATGGTGATGGTGAAAATGGTGATGGTGAAAATGGTGATGGTGCTGCTGCCGTTGTTTCTTTTGTTGAATTTACTGTGCTCAGCACAACACAGATTTCCCTGGAGACGAGAAGAGTCAGTCAACTTTTGTGTGGACTCTTACGCCTTAACTCTTATCTTGAGCTGTTTTTGTTTCCAATTTTACTTTGCTGAAGGCGTTTTCTTACCATAAATTCGATCGAATCTCATTTAAAAGAAACCTTTGGGAATAACTTCATAGCGACTGGGTCCAAAAATGTTGATGTCCTTTTTCTGAAGACAAAGATAGAGATAACCATCCAAAAACAGCTCGTATTGGAGATTATATATTCGCTGATCTTCGTCTTTTAACATGCTCTTAGAATTAGTCCATTATCTGGGATGCAATATCAATATATTCAGCTCATTTGATCTGTTTATTTCGTTTATTTGCTTCATTTTGTTGAATCAGTGGAATAAAATCCAATTCCGAACGAAATTTCAGTTTGAGTTGTATTAAAATTTTAAATTTGAATTTTAATTCATAATAATTATTTTATTGTCTCATCTTTTTCATACGCTTTTATTATTATTCTCTTTAATATTATTACAATGTTAAGGAATAATTATTTAATAATTATTAAATAAAATTACTATCACATTTCTATTTCTATTGCTATTTCCATTTCTATTTTATTGTTTATCGCTATTTTATCCTTATATCTTCATCCCTTTTAATATTCAACTCCTTATTTCAATTTTTTTCATTCTTTTTTTTCTATCTTTAACTTCACTTATGGGGTTATTTTATGTTACTTTAAGGCTGTTTTAATTGAACCAAACAAATACTCGTTTTTATCAACTTTTTGAAATATTTATTATAATACTGAAAAACGATGGTGAGAAAATAATACTGAAGAAATAAGCCAAACAAGAATTGAAAAAATCATTACAAATTATATACTAATAAAAAAAATTATATAGAACTTATATAGAGATTATATAGAAAATATAGAAAATATAGAAAATATAGAAAATATAGAAAATATAGAAAATATAGAAAATATAGAAAATATTTTGGAAATATTTTTAAATTATATGAAAAACTTTTATAGCTGATAAAATAGAATAGTTAAATATTATTTATATTCAAATCAAAAGAAAAAAACAATAAAACAAAAAAAACCATAATAATATATTTGATTGAAAAAGAATTACTAAAAATACTAAAAATACTAAAAATACTAAGTATCAAAAGTATTAAAAGTATTAAAAATATTAAAACAAAAGAATATCAAAATGATAACAAAGTCATAATTTTGATGGACAAAAAAAAAAATTAAAAGTATTAATTGTTTTGTATTTTTTTTTGTTATTTTTTTGTAATTTTTTATCGTTTTTTATCAATTTTTTTTCACCATTTTTTACCATTTTTTACCATTTGATCTCTTTTGACCTTAATGAAATGTACTTGGTAAATAATGTTAGTTCTTAGTAATTGGAAAGAGAAAGAAACACTAAAATATAAAATATAAATTGTAAAATGTAAAATTTAAATGTAAAGTATAAATGTGATTGTAAATAAAACAGAAGAATGGGCATAAGAATTCAGAAATACATGTTAATCAATGTCCAAATCTTTTCATCTTCAAGGAGTCTCTTTTTCTTCTGGAGGATTTTGATGTGTATAAAGTATCATCAATTGGTTTGCCTGGAGAGCCAGTTTGAGGATTTCTGGTGGTATTATTATAGGGAAACTCTTCTGATATTGGGCTTTGCAAACTAAAGGGTTGGTTTAAGGAAGCTAAAGCTGCAGCAGCATTTTGTGAAGTAAACTGGTGATCGAGAGTCAAAGGTTGAGATTGGGATTGAGGCTGGTTATCTAGATTGGAGGTTGAGATTAAGATCAAGTCGTTTGGATTAGAGTAGAGAGATTTTTTGGAGGAAGAGTGAGAAGAAGAGGAGCTTTTTGATAGAGAAGAGTATCTTGAAGACTTGGAGGAGTGGGAAGAAGAAGAGGTATTTGAAGCAGGAATTGATTTCAATGCCGGTTGTAGAGATAAAGAGTTTGAATATGAAGGATCAGTGTTTGTAGGTAGAATGTTTTGGTTCATATTGTTTAGTTGGAAATTGTATAGGTTGTTGATGTTGTTGTTGTTATTAGTGTAGCTTGATAGGGAGGAGCATCTGGAGGATAGAGAAGAGGATCTTGAGTAGCCATTTAGATTTAGTTGTGGAGGAGGGTTTAGATTTTGGATTTGGAAGTTTTTCAATTCAAAGTTTGTGTTCAAGGGCAAGTTGTTTTGGAACTGAAGTTGGTTTAGATTTTGGTTATTGTAAAAGTCAAAGTCGATTAAATTTGGGGAAGCGTTGTTGTTGATTTGGTTGTTGATATTGATAGAGTTGATGGAATTGTTGAGTGAGTTTTGGAGGGAGTTTTGGTTTAAGATAAAGGTTGAGTCATTGTCTACGTCAGATATGTTTGAGTTGAAGGATATGGCGCTTGATAAACTGTTGTTTCTGCTGTAATTGTCGTAATTGAGGTTGCAGAGGAAGAGAAGTCTTTGTCTTATTATGCTCAAAGTTTCTGGAGATTTTAGCGAGTGGAAATTTGAGTTATTATTGTTGTTGTTGATTTTGTTTAGATCAATTGGAATTTTGTTTTTAATGGAGGATTTGAGGACTTCTTTGGAGACTTTTGATACGATGCCAGAGGGAGGATATTTTTGATTGAAGGGAGCAATCTGGGGGTTTGATAGGTAGTTTGAGTAGGTGGAGAGGATAAGCTTATCGAATAGAGGGTTGAAGTTGATGTTGTAGTCGATGAGACATTCAGAGGAGGAGTCGATAGAGGAGGAGATGCTGGTTATGGAGGATGAGAGACTGTTTAGTCTGGAGTTGTTGTTTGAGTTGTTGAGATTGAGGTTGAGGTTGTTGGAGAGTTTGTTGTAGGAGTAATTGTTTGAGGATAGTTGGTTGATTGGGGTTTGATAGTTTGAATTGAAGAAGTCTGGGTTTGAGTTGTTTGGAGTTTTGAATAAGAAGTTGTTGGGGTTGTTGTTTGAGTTGTTTGAGGATTTATTGGAGGATTTCGTGGAGGATTTTTCAGAACTTTTAGTGGATGAGTGGTTAGGGAATTGTAGATTTAAATTAACTTTTGCTTCCATTGTCATTTTAAGTAGGTATTAAGTTGTTAAGATTATTATTATTGTTGTTGTTGTTGTTATTATTATTATTATTATTATTAATTATTAGATGTTGAGTGAAATATAAGTGAACTGTGAAAGAGATCAGAAAAAAAATAAATGGTTAAATAATTAAATAATTAAATAATTAAATAATTAAATAATTGAATAATTAAAATAAAAGTAAAAATATAAAGGATAGAAGTCAAAAAGAGGACGAAGAAAAACAGAGAAGAAGGAAAAAAAAAATTAGTTCAATAAATACGGATATATTTATATTAAAATATAATAAGATTTAAATAGATATGAATAACACAGAGAAAAGTGGAAAATAAATGAGAAGAAATGGGAATAAATGGGAATAAATAAAAGCAAATGAAAGTAAGGAAGATGGTTGGAAAATAAAGGTTTTCTGATGAAAAATAATAGAAAAGAGCAAAATATTGAGATAGAAAATAGATTTTCAGGTGGAGTGGTGTTTTGAAGGAATAAAAAGCATAGGATCAGACCTACAATTAAGAATAAGAATCGAATGGGAATAAGATTAAGATTAGAGTTAAGAATAGGATTGAGATTAAGATCAGAATGAAATCAATTTCAATTCTGGCCACTTTCAACCACTTCCAAAACAACTCTAGCTGCAATTTGCAACCTCTTCCTTATTTCTTCTTGCTTCTTATTTCTTCACCTCTTCAACGCACTTCAAACTAAAACTGCTGGTCTCAAAGTTGCCACAACAGAACTTCGCTTCCAGCGCAACTCTACGTGCGTGTCCAAGTTATCCAACGTTGCAAAGCTGGTAACTTCCTCTGCTTCTGCTTCTGCTTCTGCTGTTTCTGCTTCTTCTGCTGTTTTTGATTCCTCTTCCTCTTCTCTTCCTCTTCCTCTTCTGCTCCTCGTCGTCTATTGGCTGGAGCCGACCTGGTCCCGATCTCTGCGGTCTCACCTGTGTGCACCGTTCTGCTGTGCAATCGACCCCCCACCGGGCCACACCCGCACACGCGCGGTCGTCCTCCGCGCACCCTCTGCCTGCGGCACGGCGCACACATACATCCTCCTGTTACGCCAGGTCTCTCGCTCTACCGTTTGGACAAATCACCTCACCCACTCGTCAACTGTTTGGGCTTCCACCTGTGCTCTGCCTAGTAAATGGTATCTGAAACGGCTAAGTCCTCTCAACTTTCCCCCGTTTTTTATTCATTTACTCTTCTCTTCTTAATACCTGCCCTGTGCTTCTTAAGATTAGAATTCGTGCAATCCACTGGAATCAGATGCCTCATCTATCCTATCTTCTATCTTATTTCCTCTTGTGCCTACACCGAACATGGAGTCTGAATCTCCCTACCAATGGCTACTGTTTAGTGTTCGGTCTGCCATTTTATCCACTTTATCCACAATCCACCATATTCACTGTGTTTGTTTGTTCTCTATTTTCTTCTTCTCCAAGAGTAAGGTTGCGTGCAACTTGCAGACTTCTGCAGCTGTCGATATCAATAGATCAAACCCAAAACTCTATTGTTGTCAAACGCGGATCTACTCCTATTTTTTTTTTCTGCAGCTTTTGCTGTTTATTCCGCACCTTTTCAGCTCTCCCACATCTTCCACATCTTTCACATTTTTCACATTTTTCACATTTTTCACATTTTTCATTTTGTTTGGTCGTATCTGATGGTACTTGATGATTTGCTGGCATTCAACTGTGGACGCCTATTTGTGGGTTTTTCTTGTTCCCAATAATTCATTGATCACTCATTTGTCCAGTTTCATCTATTTTGATAACAATAACATTGATTCTTGTCATTTAATTGTCATTTAGTTGTCATTTTATAGCATTATTATTGCACTATTATAGCATTGTATCCTTTATTTTTTTTTTTTTTATTTATACCGTTTCCCCGTAATATCCCCAACCGGATAAACCGAGGCGACGAGCACAAACCACCCATATATCTCCATATCTTTTAACCCATTTCCCTCTGCGTCCTCATCTTCCTTCCTCTCTATTTGCTACTCCAACAGCCAATAGAATCTTCCACTCCCAGCGAATAACAAGCAGCACAAAAACAAAGACACTACTTGTTGGCAGAGGCACACGTGCGCAGCCCATCAGCGAATTATTTCACAAACCCAGAGATCTGTGTACACAAAACTAGCTCTAGCAAGATCTCACAAGATCTGGGAAGATCTGGGAAGATCTAAAAAAATCCAGCAGGATTTGGATGGCCCTGAATAGTCCTGGATGGCAAGACAGCTTTTTCACGGTTTCTGTGCTGCTTGGGCTAAAAAAAAACTAAGAAGACGTGCATGTAGTCAAAGTAGCACTGTTTCTAACGCAATACGGCACTTTAAATCAATGCTTGTTATCACACTTTTCTGTTTTCACAAACCTAAATCCAATCAGTCCTGCAATATTATTTTTATCACAAACTCTATCTCTATTTTTAATTTTGTTCGATATCTTTTTAAATATTTATTTTTTATTCTGTTTTTCTCATTTTCTTTGTTTTTTTTTTCTTCCATTTCATTATCACTAATCAACCAATTAATTAAACGGTACTCAACAACGTCAATTCAAAATCTGCTCAGTCAATTCACTAATTAATCAAGCACTCATTTCCCCAACTCACCCAATCTGAATCCCACCCATTTTGACTTTTCAATCTCATCCCTTTTGTTCAATATCAATTTCCACTCCATTCAATCACCTAAACTACATATTTTACCTCAACTGTAACATAAAATCCTCCATAACTTTTTTTTCTCCTGAATATTTTCCATTATACTAATACTAATACTAATACTAATACTAATACTAATACTAATACTAATACCAATATGCCATTAATCTTTATATCATATTCTCATAATCATATTTTTTTTTCTCTCTTCAACCTACTATTAAAACCTAATTGCTCATCACATTTTTCTGAAAAAATATTCCCAAAGAAATCAACTTTTTATTCAATGCTTTAGCACTCCCAGCTCAATTGCGTTCATCCTCTTACTAAAACACTTTCTTATCTACATTCTACCGCTCTATAATCCTTGAATATAATGCAACTTTTGCCATTCAATCTCCTTTCTATATTTACAATTTCTCACAAATTTTCACACTCTCACCTTTGAACCATGCTGTAAATCTCAAATTCATGCTCTTTTCCTTGTTTTTTTCCATCTTTCTGACTCATTTGTGCAACCAACTAACCTCCTTTGTAACACTGACTCATATCTCCCGCTCAACTTTATTCTAAATGATCAAAAACCCGTAACTTTCAACTTTTAGTTGAAAAAAAAGTTAATGGTCTCTAGCAGGATCGAACTGCTGATCCCCGCGTTATTAGCACGGTGCCTTAACCAACTGGGCCAAGAGACCTTTAATTACTCTCAAAATTTCTTCTGTAAATTTATACTAATACTAATTCCTTGTTGACGGCCTCACAGACGGCTCTACTTTTCTTTCACCTGACCTAACGCGCTGTGCTGTTTTGCGCGCGGACTGTCGTGGGTCGTAGCCGTAGGGCTTCCTGTATTCCAATTCTCAGGGGGCTTACACTTTAAGACCGTAACTTAGGGCTTTTTATGTAAACTCGAAGAGAACTAGAAATATGTATTGGAAGACTTGATCCCTTTCTTTCGAAATTGATCAAATTACAACGCCTTTTATATAATTCTATATCGGTCTAAAGTAATTCATAATGATAAAAATAAAATATTATAATTGTAGTTGTTTTGCTTCCTCTACTGTTCTTGCAGCCAATTTTCTGATGTATCGTTTTTTTGGCTGCACGAACTGGCTTCGGAGCCATCTAGGACTATATTGCGGCCCTAGAGAAGAGTGACACAAACGGTACACGCGCTTAAGTATGGAAAAGCACTCTCCCAAAACGGTACTCCCCGGTTTATTCTAAGTTTCCTATTCGGGCTTTTATAGCATGTTTCGACACTTTTTTTCCCGCCATTGCTTATCAACCCTCCAAATTTTTCACTTTTTTTCAACTTTAGCTTTTTCATTTATATTTCCCTTGTTTCTTTATTCACTTTTAAACACTAACTCTTCTTTAACGCTTTTCAATATTCTTAATAATAGCCAATATTTATTATCAAATAAAATCAATTATAATCAATTATAATCAATTATAATCAATTATTAATAATGTCTATACCAATATCCTCCTCATCTCATCAATTCTTTCATACAACTTCCGAAAGAAGAGCTTCCATAGTATATGGCTCATCTGTTGGAAGAGGAAGTATTCTAGCTCCCTCCAACTTACTAGACAACCAAAATCCTTTCTTTGACGAAGACGACGACAACGATCAAAATAATTACAACTACAATTACAATTATGACAACAACAGCAACCAACGTATTACTCTTATAAACAATGCATCTAGTGAAAGCCAAATATTATTACCAAACAACAACAACAACAACAAACGCTATTCAATCATATCTGCAGAATTGTTACAAGAAGAAAGAGACCTATTGAAAGATAACAACCTATTACTAAATGACCACAACAACAAAAATAAATCCGACATCAACTTGCCTGCTCCTTCAAATTCAAGTCGTTACTCAAACAATATCCAATACGGTTCAACCACAGGCAATAATGATGAGCAATCTATCATTATAAACGCTTGGGAACATGCAATTCTTAATGAAAAGGTCAAAACATCCCCATTGAGAGAATTCAAAGCCATATTCAGATCTTCTTCACCTCTAATGATAACTTTCCTCCTTCAATACTCATATTCTGCTGCTTCTATTTTTTCAGTTGGTCATATTGGTAAAATTGAACTAGGTGCCGTCACCTTAGGCTCTATGACTGCCAATATCACTGCCATCTCAATCATACATGGCCTAGCAACTTGCTTAGATACCTTATGTTCTCAAGCGTATGGTGCGAACAGATACCATTTGGTAGGGGCTTATTGTCAAAGATGTGTTGCTCTATTATTCACCATAATAGCTCCAATAATTCTATTCTGGTTCATTGGCGCCGAATATATTTTAAATCTTTTAATCAACGATTCCCAATTGTCAAAATTGGCTGCTGCTTATTTAAAAGTAATCTCCATAGGTATCCCTGGCTATGTCTTGTTTGAAGCTGGTAAAAGATTCCTACAATCCCAGGGAATATTCCATGCCTCAACTTATATTCTAATAGTTTGTGCTCCCTTAAATGCTATAATGAACTACTTATTTGTTTGGAACTCACACATCGGCATTGGCTACCTTGGTGCTCCATTGGCTGTTGCTATAAACTACTGGCTAATGCCGATTGGTCTTTTGATTTATACCCTAACAAACAAAAATTTAATCAATCCTCTTAAATGCTGGAATGGTTTGCACATCAAACAATCCTTCAAAGGCTGGAATCGAATGTTCAAATTAGCGCTCAGTGGTTTAATAATGGTATTTGCCGAGTTTTTCGCATTCGAAGTCCTAACATTGGGCTCATCTCATTTAGGTATCACTGCTTTGGCCACCAACTCAGTCATAGCATCTGTTGCTTCGCTATCCTATCAAATCCCATTTGCTGTTTCAATAGCATTATCAACTAGATTGGCCAACTTTATTGGCGCATCTCTACCTTACTCATCCCAAATTTGCGCAAAGGTTGGTGTTGTTTTTGGTACTTCAATGGGAATAACTAACGGTTTGGTTATTTATTGTTTCAGACACAAAATTGCTCGAGCTTTCACATCAGACGAGGATGTCATCAGTGAGTTGATTCGTGTTTTCCCTATAGTCTCTTCAATTCAAATTTTCGATGCACTAAATGCTGTCTCTGCAGGTGTGTTAAGAGGTGAGGGCTTGCAACATATCGGCAGCATTGTCAACTTAGCTGCATACTATATCATCGGGTTGCCATTAGCATTTGTGCTAGCGTTCAAATTCAATTTCCAATTAGAAGGACTATGGATGGGTATTGGTATCGCTTTATTGCTAATCGGTGTTGTTCAGTGCTACTATGGAATTGTCGTTCCTGACTGGAATAACCTAATCAAAACAGCCAGCGATAGAACCGAAGCGGAAAGATCTCATGTCTAGGTATCTGCACGTCTAGATATCTAGCCCTCACAGCCCGCTACAAATGAGCTTGATCCACACTTTGCACTTTGCACTTTGAACATTTTTGTACATTTTTGTTTCAATGTAATACCATTTCAAAGCTATTTCTGAAGCACACATTGCGCTTCCCAGGGACCTGCCTAAACGGGCATCAATTCTCAAACAGGAAGCTGCTAATGCGGTATTACCTCCTCCGGCAACATGCCTTTTTGAGCAATAGGTCTCCAGATCAAAACAGCAATTTTGCCGATGTTCATCGCCCAAAACAGCAACGGAGACTTGAGACCTGATCCGATAGTGCTCTTCGGATGTGCTCCAATTGGCTCTCTGCTTCTAAAAATTGTGGTAGAATTGATTAGAAATGTCCAAACTCAAACATGTATCGATAGAACTCGATGTTGGAAATGGATAAGTTATTTAAGATTTGCTCAGTCATCGCTCGCAAGAATTTTTTCTTCACTTTTCTTCGAGAAAAATGGGTTGACTAATCTGAAAGAGATTACAAATGAACTGAAAAATATTTAAAGAACATTTAATATTAAAAAAAAAGTTTCTTTATTTTCCAAATTATCCAAATTTATATCGAGTTAATTTACGTTAGAAATTATTAATATGGTTATTCTAAACTCAAACCCAAAGAGTGATCCGGAGAATACTGAATCTACTTTGATTTCTTTTGATTTCTCTAATGAACTCGAAAATTCTGATTCTAGATTAAATCATTCTATTTTCGCTAACAATACTTATAATGCTAATAATAATGAAGAAGACGATGGTGGTGATGAGAATGATTATAATAGTAATAAAAACACTAATTTATTAGAAACCCAACACACATATATTTCAAATGATTCTAAGAGTAAACTCAAGCTAAATCTAAATGATAGCTATGGCTCAGTCGTGGATAACCAAATCAATGAAGAAACTTTGACATTAGTTTCTGTTGACAACACTTCGATCTTGAAAGAAATTCAGGGAATCACTAAATCTTCTATGCCTTTGATGGTAACTTTTCTATTACAACGTTCTTTCTCTGCTGTCTCTGTTTTCTTCGTGGGTCATTTGGGCAAAACTGAACTAGGTGCTGTTACTTTAGGTTCTATGACTGCTAATATTACAGGAATATCAATCATTATAGGGTTGGCTACATGTTTGGACACTTTATGCTCTCAAGCTTACGGTTCAAAAAATTATAAACTAGTAGGGGTTTACTGTCAAAGATGTATTGCATTATTACTAACAATAATAATACCAATTTTATTGTTTTGGATCTTTCTTTCTGAATCTTTTTTAAATCTTATTTTAAGCGATAAAAAGTTATCATCACTATCTGCTAGTTATTTAAAGATTAATTCAATCGGTATGCCAGGTTTTATACTATTTGAATGCTTAAAAAGATTTTTACAATCCCAAGGTATATTTCACGCTTCAACTTATGTTTTGATTTTTTGCTCACCTGCAAATATTTTGTTACATTGTTTATTGATCTATAATAAGTCAACATCAATCGGTTATCTTGGAGCCCCACTAGCAGTGGCAATCAATTATTGGTTAATGCCATTGGGTTTAATTTTATATTTAGTTTTTAATAATAACCCAATTAACCCTCTTAAATGTTGGAATGGCCTAAATATTAGACAAGCATTTAAAGGTTGGAGCAGAATTATTACATTGGCCATTAATGGTATTATAATGATTGTTTCTGAATTTTTAGCATTTGAAATATTAACATTAAGTTCTAGCTATTTAAGTTTAAGCTCATTAGCTGCAAATTCCGTTATAATGTCAATAATTTCAATCACATATCAACTACCATTTTCAATAGCCATTGCAGTGTCTACAAGACTAGCCAACTATGTTGGAGCCAATTTAGTTGAAAAATGTAAGAATTGTGTCAAAGCTGGAATAATTTTAAGTTTAATCATGGGGTTAATTGATGCTATTGTTTTATTTTCATTCAAGGAAAACATATCGAGATTTTTCACAAATGACGAAGAAGTTTTAAATGAGATTTATAAATGTATAACGACGCTAACTGTGATTCAAATTTTTGATTCAATGAATGCTATTACATCAGGAATATTAAGAGGAGAGGGGATGCAAGAAATTGGCAGCATTACAAACTTATCAGTCCATTATCTTATTGGAATACCTGTGTCGTTTTTTTTGGGATTTAAAATGAATTTGAGATTAAATGGACTATGGATTGGAATGATGGTTGGATTAACAGTTGTTTCTGTGATTCAAGGCTATTATGGGATAATAAAACCCAACTGGGATAGTTTAATTAGGTTGGCAAGATATCGAACGGAAATCGAGCGTAATATATAGAAAGAAGAAACATGTATAAAGTATTTATCATTATATATCAAAACTCATTAAAATAAAAATAAATAAATAAATAAATAAATAAATAAATCAAATTATGTAATCACAAGAGAGCGAAGAATATAGTTTATAAGCGTTGTTGATTTGATTGATATTATTCAATAAATTATCATTTAAATCAATGATATCATCGTTATCATTAATGTTGTTATTTGAGTTTATAAATTGTGGAATTAAATTTTTTAAGAGAGTAATATCGTCTTTTGCTAAATTTAATTTCGTATAAAAATCAGAGTAGTTATCCCAATAAATGGAATCATTTAAACCGTCAAATTGATATTCTAATTTTCTATTGGTGTCATTGTTATATTTATTAAGGTGGTGGCCATATTGATTGTGTTGATTATTAGTTAAATAATCAAAATCATTATCAATGGGAATTGAATTCTGTAAAGAAAGTTCAAAAGATGTCGCAATTGATTGTAATTCAGTAGACAATTTTTTAATATTCAGTAATTTTGATTCTAAATCATTGAATGAAATTGGAGACGATCTTTTTGCAGTCATTTCATGAAAGTTCAAGTGAATTTTTTTAAAAGGTTTTTCAAATTTTTATTCAGTTTATATGATAGATTTAATTTGTATATTATAAAAAAAATAAAAAAAAGAATTACAATGGAATTTATGTCTATTTATATTACGAAACCTGCTATTACACCAATGGATCAGTGAAATGTGGAGTGGAAGGTAAGAAGTTTTTAATAAATCTTCATTAAAAGAATAGAGATTAGGAAATATATGATCAAGACTCAGTGGTCATGTCACCAATAGACAGGAAATAACCAATAAAAACAGAAGCTTCTCCATTGCCTCGAAATGAAGCTAAAACAAAAAGGCATAGGCAAGAATAAAAAAATAAAATAAAATATATATCTAATGACCATTGAACCTTAAGGGACACGGGCCGGGTTACTGCAATTGTTTCTTACAATAGTGTATATCTTACAGTCTCCATTTGAGCATTACTAAGAGGAAACCTAGCCATTCCTGAGAGAAAACCTTTAGCACTTCAAAAAAACAAAAAGTAAAAAGTACAAACCAAATATAAAGAATATAATCCAATATAATAATTTATATACAAAGTAGAGGTTTTTTAAGGCTACATTGGCCGTGTGGTCTAGTGGTATGATTCTCGCTTTGGGTGCGAGAGGCCCTGGGTTCAATTCCCAGCTCGGCCCTTTGTTTTTTTGGTTACCATAAGAATATGGTGAAAATACATAATGAATTGTGTGAGTAAAAGCTTTTACGGCACTCAAAATAGAAGAGAAATGTAAAAAAATAATCGATGCGGTTTTTGTGGATCGAACACAGGACCTTCAGATCTTCAGTCTGACGCTCTCCCGACTGAGCTAAAACCGCTAAACTTTATTTCTCGAAAAATTGTAACATCCTTACCAGCACCCCATAAAACCGAAAGACACTGCATATTGCGCATCCGTTTACGATGCTTTGCCGTATTTTCGCACTCCACGAACAACCTGCACACCGGATGCTTTGCATCTCCGCAAACCTCGTTTTGCCACACACTCCGGTTCTGCATGTCTCATACGGAAATGTTCGGTTTCTCCCTCGACTCGTGCCGACATCTCGGCCTGAACTCTAATTTACTAGGCTCGATTATTTCTGATAAGTTCTCACGAAGCTCTGCAAATTCTCGGCATTCAATAGCATTGGGACGTTTTCTGTTTTACACACTGTGTTGCAACTCTGATAAAACCTGATAAGTTCATACTATTTTTTACTCCAGTAGCATTCTCGTCATTTGATCTATTGTTCAGTGTCTGAGTTGGTTTTATTTTTTATTTCATCTATTGTCTGGTATTTAGCTGATTTTCCCTTCTTTTATTTTCTCTTTTCTTTTGTTTTATTCCTATTTAGTTTTTCACCAACAAAAAACTACTCTTTTCCTTCTTTTCTTTTCTGCTATCTCGCCTAATCTCATTATACATTTCAGATCAAATACTGCACATGTCCTCCTCCAACGTAAATGAGTCTAAATCGTTGCTCAAGCAATCTTCCACCACCAATATTGTTCGTGTTATCGACTATGGTGCAGCTCCCAACGAGTCTGACGCTTCCCATAGCTGGGGTAATTCAAACGATGACGACAACTTATTGTTGAGTCCTGATTTCAAAACTACTCCAACAAACGAATTGAAATTCATTTCAGAAAACTCCTTTCCCTTGGTTATAACCTTCTTCTTGCAAAACTCCTTTCACATTGCCTCAATTTTCTCGGTTGGCCATTTGGATAAAGTCAAACTAGCCTCTGTCACCTTGGGTGCTATGACAGCAAACATCACTGCTTTCTCCATAATCGAGGGTTTGGCTACTTGTTTGGATACTCTATGTTCTCAAGCTTATGGTTCAAAGAGTTACAACTTGGTTGGTATTTATTTTCAAAGAGTAACTGCCTTGATTCTAACCATTTTATCTGTAATCATCGTCCTCTGGTTCCTTTTTGCTGAAAAAACTCTAGCTTTTTTAATCAACGATGCTGAGTTGGCTCATTTAGCCTCCAACTATCTTAAAGTCATCTCCTTGGGTATTCCAGGTTATATCTTGTTTGAAGCTGGTAAAAGATTCCTCCAATGTCAGGGAATCTTTCATGCTTCCACATACATCTTATTTGTCTGTGCTCCTTCAAATGCTATAATGAATTACTTATTTGTTTGGAACTCACACATCGGCATTGGCTACCTTGGTGCTCCATTGGCTGTTGCTATAAACTACTGGTTAATGCCCATCGGTCTCTTGATTTATATTGTTTCCACAAAAAATAAAATTAACCCTCTTAAATGCTGGAATGGTATCAATATTGAACAGGCATTTAAGGGCTGGTCAAGATTTTATTCCCTAGCTATCGCTGGTCTATTAATGGTTTTCTCCGAATTTATGGCTTTCGAAGTCATAACCCTAGGTTCGGCCTACCTTGGTATAACTGCTTTGGCTGCAAGCTCAGTTATCTCTTCAATTGCAACTTTGGTCTACCAAATCCCTTTGGCTATTTCAATTGCTGCCTCAACTAGAATAGCAAACTTCCTTGGTTCAAACCTACCTAGACATGCCGAAACCGCTGCAAAATTCACCTTGTGTTTTGGTTTAGCAGCTGAATTAGTAACATCTTTTGTTTTATTCACTTTCAAATCTCCCATTGCAAAATCTTTTACTTCCGATCCTGATGTCATTAAAGAATTAATCCACGTATTGCCCACAATCGCCTCCATCCAATTATTCGATGGCTCAAACTGCTTAACTGCTGGAATCTTAAGAGGTCAGGGTTTGCAACATATTGGCAGTAGAACAAATGTAATTGGTTATTATATTGTTGGTTTACCAATCGGTTTCGTATTAGCTTTCAAAACCTCTTTAGGTTTGCAAGGTATATGGTGTGGAATGGGTATTTCTTTATTATTCAATGGCCTTGTTCAATACTATTTTGCTGTCTTCAAGGCTGACTGGCCAAGATTAGCTGATATGGCTAAAGAAAGAACTGATGCCGAAAACCTTCATCTTTAATTTATCCATAAACATTTAAAATCCAAAATCCAAAATCCAAATCTCTACAGTTCTTTCAACATTCTATTAAAACCTTGGTTTTCCAAAATTCTTTACTAAAACCTTTAAAAACATCTCTTTTTTTCTCTCTTATATTTTTATTTGATTCTTATATCTTTGAAATAGTCTCTCTTTTACCCATCTTTTTTCAGTTTCAGTTTCAATTCAGCTCGATTTTATTTGATCCGTCCACATCAGTTCCAATTCAATTCCATTCATTTCATTTTTAAACTTGCTATAACTTTTTTTCCTATTTATGTTTATATATATATTGGATTCTTATTTTAAATTATCATAAATATACATTTATTGACATCTTTAATTCATTTATCAAATCAAGTAAGAAAATTAAAAAATATAACAAAAAAAAAAGGGTTTCTCATTAATCATTATTGTAATTATTGTAGGTTATAGAATATTGTCATGTGAATTGTACTCAACTGTACTAATTGAAATTCAAGAATTTTTCATCAATTTTGAACATTGATAAGATATCATCAAATGTTTTAGTCTCAATAAAATTTTGTTTAAAATCAATACCATTTATATTATTATTGATGTCATTAATTTTTGCATAATTTTCTTCATTAGATCTAAAAAGAGATTTATTATTTATAGTATTAGTATCAGATATTTGATTTTGATTTTGATTTTGATTTTGATTTTGATTTTGATTTTGATTTTGATTTTGATTTTGATTTTGAGATTTTGAAATCGGCAATTTTTGAAAAATTGTTGAACAACCTGAACTTGAAAACTCTGTGGAAAGAGCACTTGCACTATCTAAATTTTTTTCATTTTGAAATTCAGTTAAAAAGCTATCATTTGAATTGAATGCGGTGGCAATTGAGCCATCAGATTCAAGACTTCTGTAATTAATATTCTCATTAAAGTTAGCTGTATTTAATTGACTATTTTTATATCGGCAAATTTGATTATTAGACCTATTTTCAAAGTTAGATGAAACGGTATTATTACTGTTGTTATACTCATTATTATATTGATTACTATCATTTGATAAAAAATATAGAGAATTTTTTTGATTTTTATCAAACTGATTGAAAATATTACGATCTGTATTTGAATCGATTAAAGAAAAAAGAGATTGGTCTAGTGTGATATCGTCTGGTAAGTTTGTATTCAAGTTTTCAAATTGCAAATTATCTTTATTTCTAATTATGTTTTTAATTATATTTCTATCTATATTTCTATTTAAATTAACATTCATATTTAATTGTGATTCCATTGGTAATGACAATAATCTTTGGTACTGTTGTTTAAAAATTTTGAAACTATTCTGGAATTTCTGCCACATATTTAGTACAGGGGAATTAACATCTTTGATATTAGTTAGTCTTTTGACTAGCTTTTCTAAGAATAATAAAGAATTGTTTGTATTGTAGTATGATTTAATCAAAGATGAAATGATTGTAGTATCCAAGTTATTATAACTGTGATCGATCAAGTAGGAAGATAGTATATTTGAAGAAAGGAAACAGGATTCTGAGATTTGTAGTAATTTTAAGATAACTATTGGACCATGTGCAGCAAAAGAGCTCAAGTGTGAATCTGAGATTATATTTATAAAAGTTCGTAAATTGAAAAAGGGAAAATCTAATCTTAAAGAAGATTCAAGATTGAGGGGATTTTCTAGGGAAACTTCTAGTGGGTTAATTAATAGATTTGGAAACTTTGAGGCCATGGTCCAGGTTAGAGATTTAATCCAGAATTTTGTTACAACTATATCAATTTTCTGGATATCAGTTGCACTATAACAAGGCGATAAATGTGATAAATGGTTTTGGATTTGGATGATGCAAGGTCTTATATTTTTAATGTTGAAATTGATGTTAACATGATTCAAGGAGTTTTTAAGTGTGTTTGAATTCAAGTCTATTTTGATCCAAGTTTCGAAAAAGGATTTATCAGGAGTCTTGAAGACGCCTAATAGTTTGAGAAAGCCATTTAACAAGTGAGGATGGTCATCATATTCTAGGATTGGGAGATCAATAATCGGGTCTAAAACAATTGGAAAAGTGTGTTCAAGAGATATATATCTTTCAGTGTTATAAAGGAGATAATATATTTTTTTGAAATTATTTTGTTCGATGGGGGGTTTATTTTTATAGGTTGTTGGCAAGTGTAGGCCTAGTAATTGAGAGAAAGTGATTGATTCTCTTAGGTAGTAAATTGCCTTTGATAAGTTATTTGAAACATTTGAGTAATAGAAAAATTTATAGAGAAAATAAGAAGTTAATAAGGATTCTATTGAGGGAGAGATGAAATCATAGAATGATCGAACTCTAATGGCTTCATTGGCAAAGTCTAGGGCAGACAAGTTATTAAGATTTAGATTTATGTTCATTGAGTTTAAGAAGGAAGATTGTACAACGATGGCAGCAGAGACTGCGCAAACCATTGAATAGTGAGGAGAAGTTGTATGGTTTAGGATGTCATTGTCGTTATTGATCTTAGATATAAGATAGCTATTAACCGATAAAATGGGCCAAACCCCATAGATATAAGATTGATAAATTTTGAGACAAGGTAGGATATACTTTATTGATATTTTTTTAATTTTGTCGTTAGAGTAAGAGAGATTATTGTTATTGTTATTATTAAAAGTGGTATTGTTATTATTGTTATTAATAGTGGTATTGAGATTATTATTAATTGAATTATTAATTTGAATCAAAGTTTTTTTATGTAAATTTTTAGGGCCTAACTTTTTGCGAATTCTTTTATTTGTACAAGAGATTTTATGTTTGATACAATTTGAACAAGGAGTTTTGTCATTACCATTGCTATCACATTTGACTTTTCTTATAGCACAAGCATCACAAGGTCTTTGGAGACATTTTTTTCTCACTTTTTTGGTTTTGACTAAGCTAGTGTTATTCAGATGAGTACCAGCAGTATTTGGTTGAGAAAGAGAGGAGGATGAAGGTATAAGGTCCATCTAGAGCGAAAGACGTGTAACAGCAGAACCGGGAAGAAAGTGGGACGAAGGTGAATAGCCTAGCTATGAGCAATAAGAGAATCAAGAGATGAATAACGATGAATAATGGCACTCAGCTTTGGATTGAGATATCAGAAATAGAAGTAGTTGACATGAAGCAGCGAAGTCAAAAGAAGCTGAATCAAGATGGGTTTCGGAGGTCGAGAACTTAGTTGAGTCTACTCCAGAGAGCTGGGCAGGGCAGGTAGGGGCAGAAACAGCAAAAGAAAAGATGAAAAATGAAGCAGAGAAGAACAGAAAGATAAGGAAAAAGCAGCAAAAGCAGCAGAAGAAGCAGAAGAAGCAGAAGAAGCAGAAGAAACAAAAACCCAATTATCTTATTAGTTCTGTAATAAAATGGCTCAAAAATAAAAACGCAACCGTGCGGTTTTAGCTCAGTCGGGAGAGCGTCAGACTGAAGATCTGAAGGTCCTGTGTTCGATCCACAGAAACCGCATTTTTTTATTACTTTTTTTATTTTTGATATTCCGTGACCGCGAACCAGCCATATGGGGCTCCTAGACTTATATGGCAACTATAAACGCTATTTAATATCTACTTAAACCGATTTCTCAATTTTAAGTAAGATGTAGGGAAACCTGGTCTTCCAGAAAGAAAACCTATACAAATCAGATAGACCCGGAAAAAACACTCGGAGTTAAAATCCCATGCCTTTTCCGAAAAAAACAACCAGCATCTTAAACCTCTCTTTTGTACCCAAAAGTTGCCTAAGTTGGGCATACCTCTCCAGACCAAGTTTTGGAGGACTTATACCTGCAAAATCTCTTGCATTTACATTTTACAGACATTCAAAAAGATAATGATATATTGTAGGAGATGGGTTGTTACAAACACAATACTTTTTATTTAGATTCCCAGAAACCCACTGAAAATGAGCCCCAAACACATGCCCAATTTTTTGTTACTTCTTTAATTATCACGTGAATTGGGAAGTAAAATTACAGTCTCCTGATTTCAGGAGTTCCGGTCTCTTGGCCCAGTTGGTTAAGGCACCGTGCTAATAACGCGGGGATCAGCAGTTCGATCCTGCTAGAGACCATTTTTGTTTATTCTTCTTAAATTAAAGAATTTTAAAAATAAAATATGAATGGTACGGGAATCGAACCCATGTCACTTGCTTGGAAGGCAAGTATGATAACCACTACACTAACCACCCACAACCTTTGTTTATGAAATATTGTGTTTTAATAGACAGTACAAATATGTTTTTACTGTTTTTTGATGCTGAAAGAACAGGATTTAGAATTTGTTGCTTGATGACAGCTGCGAGATTAATCGAAGAGTGTACTACCACTCTATTGCTGCTCTATTATTTGCTTCAGAAATGACAAACATCGCTTCTGTTGAGTTGTTCATCGACAAGTCTATTCAGCTTTTTGGAGTGGATCCAAACAATACAAAGGTTTCCATGACCTACGGCTCATCCATCAAGAAAGAATCAAAGAGCAAGAGCAAGACCAATCCCAATAAAATACTTAAAAATGCGAATGATAGTAAGGACAGCAAATTGATTCCAACAAATTTTATTTCTTTTAAAATATATAATCCTAATTTGGGCCATTGTTATAATTTCAAATCGATTAAATTTAAAGAATTGTCAAGAATTCTAGCTGCTTTAGGTCCAAGAGGAATTCAAATTTCAATTTCAAATAATTTGAATAATCTTAATAACAACAATAAACAGCCCATAACAAATACTGCTAATGTTGAGATTAATAATGATGAAAAGAAACATTTAACCATACATAAGAAAGGAATTTCTAGTATTATGTCCAACGTCGAATTTAATTTTGATGAACCAATTGAGTCTAATAACAATGAGAATGAGAATGAGAGTGTCAGTAATAATGATACCAAAGATGGCGCTAAAAGCACAGTAATAGATAGCACAAATACAAACGATAACGAGAAAAGCACTGCTCCAAATACCTTTAATAAAAAGAAGAATAAAAATAAAAAGAAAAAGGGTAAAAAACACTAAATTAACTTATAAATATATATTTATATATTCTTATATTCATATATTCATTCTTTTATACGATTAATTAAATCCACATTGTTGCAATATAATGTCCTATCAATAGATGAAAGCGTATTTAAACTGTCAGTCAATTTAGGCAAATAAATTGAATTTAGCAAATAATGGAGATCTAAACTTTCTTTGTTATCCATTTTGAAATTTTTTAAATTAATCAATGAATTAATCTCTCTGATAATTAAATCATCTGTAAATGTGACTTCTTTTTTATTTGACTTTTCATTTAAAAAATTAATCAAATAATCCAATTTGCTTGACAATAAATTTAATGATTTGCTCTTTTCATTTAAATTATTGATTAACGCTTGATTTTTTTTAAATAAATTCAAATTCAAATTTAAATATCTTCTCATTTGACCACCAATCATGGAATAATCGTCAGTCTTTTTAAGATCTTCAGTTTTAAAATTCATATCAATATAATTAGTTAGGTTCAGATTATGATTTCGTTTGGGGTTTTCACTGTTTTTATCAGTGTCAGCTATTTCTTTAATAGCTATCTCATTACTGTTCTTATTGTTTGATGTAGCTAAATACTCATTATTAAATTTGATCGATGTATCAATTGCAATTTTCTCGGAATTGTTCAATATCACCTTAAATTTGATTGTCTCACTGAAATCGTCAATCGAATTGTAAATTTCAATCGATTTATCATCGACATCATAATTCAAATAGATTAATTTGTCAATACTTGTATAGTTACTTAAAATCCGGTTAACATCATTCAATTCTTTCTTGCCAATAATCGTATTTCTCACTGTGAAGAATCCAATCAATGAGTTTTGCTCATTCTGCTTATTACCACTGCTTTTATTGTTTCCAGACACCTGCTGAATCAATCGCAACTTCTTCAACAAATACCCAGTATCAACCAGCGACCCCTCTTTCTCCTCGCCCTCAAAGGGAACCTCAAACACAGAGCTCACCACGTACTCTCCCAGCTCATTCACATCACCCAACAACATCCCTAGATACTCACTGGACCCAAGGCCCTGAGCAGCAAGTCTCGAAGCAAAGTCATTGAGTTGAAAAACTGCTAAAGAATGAATGTTCACAAACATTGCTTTGTTCTCTTTAAAATACAGTCAATCAAATATAACTTGTCAGGATTGATTTTATTAAATTATAAACTGTTTCTTACAAACTCTTAAATTCTCAAACTCTCAAACTCTCAAACGCTTAAACTTTTAAACTCTTAAATTCTTAAACTCTTAAATTCTTAAACTCTTTATATCAGCAACCCAATGCGGAAGAAGACCCACACAACTGGCTCCAATTATTCGCTAACAGTATCAATAATTCATAGTTTTTTTATTAATAATCAATAGTTTTATCACGAATAATTAACTGCATTATTAGCAATGGGTGTATAAATAACACAGTCAATGACATACTCTCTACTATTTGTCCAAACATCGGATTCGGGCCAAAAGTCCTGCCAACTGCAAGTACGACGACACTCCCTCCAATACTCTGACATGGGTTGTGCCTATTTCTTTGATCATCTCCAACCTGAGGCTCTCGTTGATCTCCCTGAGATTCTTCACCACTCTGAAGCATGTTATAACAATGTCAATAGCTGAGTACCCTTTGTCCCACAAACTTCGCAAGATCTCTAAGCTTTCGTCAATCTCGTTTTTTTTCTTCTTCTCCAAGTTTATACAGCTAATGAGCATCTTTTTGATTATAACCGGATGGGGACTATCCACAATCTTAAACACATTTTCTCCATTCACAAACTTGAAACCAGAGTATGTGCTTTGCAAATTGTTCACTGCCTGTCTCATATCACCCTCGCTTGTAAATATCAACGCCTCTAGCCCATCTTTGCTGTACTCGATTTCCTCCAACTTGATGATCTCCAATAATCTTTGTAATATCTCTTCGTCTTTTAACTTATTGTACCTCAAAATCGCACATCTGCTCTGTAGGGGTTCGATGATCTTATTCGACAAGTTGCATGCAAACACAAACCTCGTACTGTTAGAGTAGATCTCCATCGTTCTTCTCAATGCCTGCTGTGCTCCACTGGTCATCGAATCTGCTTCGTCCAAGATAATCAACTTGTGTTTACCCTTTCCCAATTGACACTTCTTCTGTGCAAAATACTTGATCTTATTACGAACAACATCGATCCCTCTATCGTCAGACGCATTCAACTCTAATACTGCCTCTCCATACGAATCTCCCAACAACTCTCTGGCTAAACAATGCACAGACGTTGTCTTTCCAATTCCTGGCAATCCTGTAATAATCAAATTGGGCATGTTCCCATCTTTACCAATCAATTTCAATCGCTCAATAGTCTCTTCATTTCCCACTATATCCTCCAATGTCTTTGGTCGATATTTTTCAACCCATGGTAATTCCAATTCCAATGCCATGTTGTCGAGATGGTTGCGATGATCCTGCCCTAGTCTATCTTATAATATAATATGATATAATATATTATACTATATTATACTGTAATACAATATAGCTATATTTATCTGTATGATAATTGTCTGCAAAAACTGATTTATACACTTTAGAAAATAAAAATAAAAATAAAAATAAAAAACACGCTCGTTTGACTTTTTTTTCCATCTTAAAACTGACAAATAAAAATTTAATCTAAATCATCAACCATCAATCAATACTAATCAATACTGTGCTCACTACTCACTGCTCACTAATAATCTCTATTATATAATATTATCTATTATATAGCAATAGAACTATTTGCTTCTTACTTATAATGAACATGAATACAAACTTTCAATTCCAAAACCAAAATGCCATCAATAACCCGCAGCAACTGATGAATCAAAATCAACAAAATCAGCAATTTCAACAGGCTTTGAATCAACAAAACCAACAAAACCAAAATGATCAGAATAAGTCTTCAAACAGAAGGATAGTGGATCATGGTAACTCAATAATGAAATGGTTTATTGAAAGAAACTTGGGCCACGATTCAATCAATATTAATGGGATAATCAGACCTGAAGCCTCATATTTAATCGATTTATTTCCCCCAATAGCTTACAGAAATAATAATCTTGATTACGATTTACAAACAAAATTCGTTCATTTATCTGCCAATAAGGCAAAGCATGCTATCCATACTGTCAAATGGACACCAGAAGGTAGAAGATTACTAGTCGCCTCTTACTCTGGTGAATTTACTCTTTGGAATGGAATGACTTTTAATTTCGAAACTATAATGCAAGCTCACGATTGTTCAATTTTTGCTCTCACTTATTCTCATGACGATAACTGGTTATTAAGTGGCGATCAACAAGGCAAAATCAAATTTTGGCAACCAAATTTTAATAACGTTAACATAATCGATGCTCATCCGGAATATTCAATTAGAGATATAGCATTTTCTCCAAATGATTCAAAGTTTGTATCTTGTTCTGATGATCGATTTTTAAAAATCTGGGATTTTAACAAAACCATTTTAGAGAAAAATCTAAAGGGCCACAATTGGGATGTAAAATGTTGTGACTGGCATTGTAATTTAGGTCTAATTGTCAGTGGTTCAAAAGATAACTCATTGAAATTATGGGATCCAAGACAATCTAATTCTGTTTTCACTAGTTTGGGCTTTAAACACAATGTTACAAAGACAAAATTTCAGCCAAATGGCTCTCAAAGATTAATAGCAAGTGTGTCAAAGGATAAAAGTTGTAGAATCTTCGATTTAAGAATGATGGCTGATTCAATCGTAATTAGATCTCATGAAGCAGAATTAAGCTGTGTTGCATGGCATCCTATTCATTCTTCGATGATAACTACCGGTGGTTACGATGGTTCAATGAATCACTATTTATTAGATATGTTACCTTCAAATTACGATTCTTTAAATCTTAGTAGTAATTTAAATTTTAATAATATAGCTAATATTAATACTAATATTAATTCAAATAAAACTAAAAATATTAACAATCCTAATATTAATTCAATGTCAAGCATAAACTCAGGAAACATCCCTCAAAATTCTTTGCAACCTGTTCATACAATTCCTTATGCTCATGAAAAGGCAATAAATTGCTTGGAATACCATCCTTTGGGCCATTTACTTTGTTCAGCTGGTGCTGATAGATCTGCTCGATTTTGGTGCAGATCAAGACCAAATGATCCTTCTGCATTCATTGAACCTCCTTATACAAACGATAAGCCCAGCGCCTGGTACTATGGGATCAATAATAATGTCAATGCTGTTCAAGAACCTACTCCTCAAATGTTGAAATTTAAATCACAACTTTTACCAGAGTCTGGCGAGAATACTAGTTCATCTATTTCCACCAACATGAATAATAATCCTGCTGGAAAAATCAATAACAACAACAATTCTGTGAATGATAATAACAATGGGAATAATACCAATAAAAACAGCAATCTTAATAATAAAAGAGCCGATGATAACCTTCAAACTGATGAAAAACATTCACATACTTCTTTTGCGTTCCCTGGGTTAGGTAACTCTGAAAGAAAAAAAGAAGCTGCACCAGTTTTGAATGAATTAAATGAATTAGTTTCTGGGTTTGATGCTGCTCCAATTCCAGGTTTTGGAAGCAGAAAGAAATCATAAAGTGCCCATGTAGTTCATTGAGTAACTAGATTGAATATCAAGAGAAAAGGAGAAAACAAAAAGGCAAAAGAAAACAAAAAAAAAATTAAAAAAAAAAAGGGGGTTCTGGGTGATGATAATTGGAATTTGAAATGAATTAAAAAATATAATTTTTTTTTTACATAAGTATTATAGATATATGGAATCGATAATTATAAAGGAGAAATGAGTATAAAAATAAACCAAAAATACTTAAAACATTAGTCTCCTTATTCCTTCAATTTTCCATTCTTCAGTCGAGGTTGAATAACTGCAACCCAATAATTTCTTTCCAGTTATTGGACAACGTCCACCAATTTTTTCATTTTTAATATTTGATAAATAGTTCAATATACAAGGATAACAAAACACATAACCAGTTTCGATAATTGCAGGATTTGAAATGCTATTATGACAAATTGGGCAGTTTTTGTAGTTTATTAAAGATTTATTATTATTGATTGAGTTTATGATAATTTTTTCATTATGGTTATCAATGGGCTTGGAATTTTCATTATCATTATTTTCAATAGCTTTTTCATTATTTTGACTATTATTTTGGTTACCCATTTTTTTATTATCTTTAATATTTTGCTTAAAAATTTTGAAATTTTTTAATAAAGAAGACTGATTTGGAGGAGGAATATTGAAATTCAACAAATTATTATTATTAGATAGTTTGTTAACAAAATTTGATTGCTGCCACCATTCTAAAAATTTGAGTAGGAAAATTGATGCCGGTAGTATTGAATTTACAAATATACTGATTGAATAAGATATTGGGGATATGAGAGATGAGGAGAATTTTAAGATTGATTCACCGAAAGTCTTTGGTCGAATTCTATTGAATTTCTTTTTGGATAGATTTGATAAATTCGATAGATTTTTGGTTGGATCATTTAAATTGTAATCAAATTGAGTTAATCTTGAATAATCTAAGTTTAATAAATGCATTGCAATCGAAGGAGATTTTGTTTTGCCTGAAATGTATAAAATTTTTAAAAAAATGTTTAAAGCAATTGTTAATGAGTTTAAAAAGGGATAAATATGTAGAAATACTTTTTTAATTTTAAATATTTTATCGTTATTTTTATCGTTATTTGTATTATTATTGCTATTATTCTGGTTGTTTAAGTTATTCACCAAAGATGCTGAATATAGCTTTTCATAAACTATGTCAAACTTTTCCTTTAAATAAGGAACTAAAACTAGGAAAACTAAGGAAAAAAAAATTTGTGATTTACTTAATCTTTTTTTAGAATTTATTGAATTCATTAAATCATCGTTATTAGTGTTGTTATTGATTGATATATTATTAAAATTTTTTAGACCAATATTTGAGACCTTTTTCAATCCATAAAACTTTTCAATAAAAGTTGAATTCCAATTTTTAAGATAATTAAATTCAATTAAAAATCTTAATACCAAATTGATCTCGTCGAATTTTAAAGCCAACTTGAGAAAATATTTAGGATATTTAGTAGCGTAGTGAACCACTATGAATTTAATCGAGGGAGATAGTAAATTTTCTAAATCATTTGCAGATATTATTTCAAATAATGTTGGAGTTTGACTGTCAAGAGTTCTAGAATCCAAAGATGAATAATAATCCATTTTATAACCAACAAGCAGAGTACTTATGAGATACCAGCAGAAAAAAAAGAATGAGCAGCAAATAAAACCGGTTTGGTTAAAAAAAGTAAAAGGCTGAAGATAAAGATCAAGATAGAGCTGGAGATAAGGCCAAAGACGACGATGGCGATGAAGATAATATGGTAAACTGATTCATCGATTGGTAAAAAAGATCACAAATTCATCCAGAAAACGAAGCACAAACCCACCGCATTGGTTAAAAGGCACCAGGCGCATAGATGCATAGCGCAGTATTCTGCAGTGTTCTGATGTAAGCTACTACAAAGCCAGTGGTACGGGGTATGATGTGCGTCTCGAATAGCGACGCACTTATATTGTTTGAAAATTGGCTGCCTAACACATGCATCATTGCATCGTTTGGTACGTGTGCACACGCTTATGTCTGCGCGCGTCTGTGTGGCGGTGCTGTTGCCGTCCGCCGGTGGGACTGGGCAAACAGACGCAAAACACTGGTAAGTTGGGTTCGACGTTCTTTTCAAAGTTTGGTCTGGGAATCGAGCGCCATGTGCGGTGCATCGCGCTTCTGCTCGGGGCTCGGGCCTGTTCAAGTTGCAGCCTTTCAGCACCAGAACAGATCGGTACTGGATACTCTACAGATTCAGTTCAGTTCAGTTCAGTTCAGCCCAATTCAGTTCAGTTCGATTCTATCCAGTTCAGTCCAATTCGAGGGCAGTTCATCTTTCTTGCTGATTATGATTCTTTTCGTTTCATTCAAAGCAGCCTATTATCGTTGCAGAACTTACGTTTTGGCTATCTTTCATCTGGAATTCGCTTTAACTTAAGATCCAAGTCGTACTCTTTGTAAACGTTGGGAAATGTCGTCAAGACCACAACCACAACTTGCTGAGTTCTGGAGCAATAACCAATGGAAAATTTACCTTTAGAACAACAAAGTATTGCATTCATTGGATTTATTAGACTTGCTGAATCTTTTATTTATTAACTTTTATTATTTCATATTTTTTGTATATTTCCAACTCATATTCGTATTGGTTTAGCATTGTTTTTTAATTAGAATTAAGAAAATGCCTTTTGGGATATTAATCTCAGATTTTCTAATTTTTGAAAAACTTTACTCGATCCTTAACATATACTTGGTTAGCTGAATCTGAAAAACATATATAACGCTCTTTCTTGTAAAAGCTCGCAAAAACCAGGCCAAGTTTTCGTACAAACAGTGTTTTTAATATCTATTCTCTCTCCAGTTTAATTACATCTATGATTTCGTTTCTTTGACTTTACCTAACTTTTCCAAATTTTCGGTTTTTAAAACTAGTTTCTTTACATTTTTTATTTTTTACTTCTTTAATTTACCATCCAAAAATTCCATTTTATTTGGGTCAACTTCTTGAGACAACTTTCTTGGTTCATATATAAAATCAATAAGACTCAACACTCAATAAATCTTGCAATGACAAAGGCCCTCGTTATTTTCAGTATATATTTATTTACTGATTTCAGTTAGTTTTTGTTTGTCTTATATTTGAACATGCAAATTACCTTACAAACATCTGTAAAAAGCCAATTCAAAAGCGAAAAAAAAAATTAAAAAACAAAGCAGGAAAGAGAGAAAAAGAAAACCACCCACCAAAATCACAATGAACTACAGCACCAAAATTGAACTCCAATAACAAAAAAAGACTTTGAATTTTTCACAATTTTATGTTAGATTATTTTTTAGCTCATTAGTTTAAATGATATTATTCTTATAAATTCTTTGAATCTCATATGTTGGTTGTCTTTTTATTTGCTGTTCTGTATCACCTTTTACAATTCTAGGAATTTCACAATTTTATCACTTTCAACAATTTTATCAATTTTATATATATTAATCTATGTCCAATATATATATATAATTAAATTTTTATATAAATATGTTTGAAATAAAAAATAATATTTTTTAAAAGTTTATAACTTAAATCAAAATTTCAAAATCTTTTACTAGCAACTGCTTTACATCCAGATAAGTTATATAATCTTATTTTTTTTATATAAACGATATTATTTCACCATTTTTATTTTATTTTATATTTATTTGGTTTTGTTTAGCTGTTTTGAATAGTATTACTAATAACATTAATAAAATTAATAATATTATTATTATTTCTGATTATACTCAATTCATATGATCAATAAAAGTTTTAAAAATCAATCTACTCAACCATATATTCAAAAATATAACCACTATTATTCACACTTATTCACATAATTACCTTTAAATTTTCCTCAAAGTTTACTTAATTTATACTAAATCTAATTGAATTTGAAATCAATTAAAACATTACCAAAAACCTACCTGAAAAACACAATAAACAAATACATAAAGAAAAAAAAACAAGTAAAAACCAAAAATATAAATTCCTAATATGTATTTGGTTTGGATCTGTTGCAAATGTGCTGAGCAAAGAGTTCAATTTGATGATCTAGTCAATGTTATTTGCTATGAATGTGGTCATAAATTCTGTAAAGAGGATTGTGAGATTATAACAATTAATTATTAAATATTATCTTTTTTTTTCATTTAAAATTGTTCAAATTATTTGAATTATTTCTTTTAATTTCTCATTTATTCATTCATTTATTCATTCATTTATCTGAAAATATTACTTTTCATTTATCATAAAATATCATTAATCATCATAAATTTTCATTTTATTTATTAGTTAAATAATCATCAAACTCTCTTATTCTTGAAATAATCATTCTTTTTTTATTATTGGTTTTTGTTTAAAAAGAAAATAATTCTTTTTGCATTCTTATATAAAATTGTGTATTATATAATACGTTGCTTTTATAGTCAAATATTATTAAAATAAAAAATATCGCGCAAATAACAAACAAAAAATTCTTTTGAAATTGTTGATTAATCTTGTTTGGTCTGGTTTAAATTTTTTTTGCATACATTTTATAAAATTTTACTTATTGTTTCTTCATTTAAATTCAAGTTTTCATCATAAAAAAGTTCTTATATATAGATTTAAATAATTCTAAAACAATTCTAAATTTTTGTTCTCTATCCATGTTTTAAGCATGTATTTTACAGATATACTTTAAAGATGCCTTTTAAGAATACTCCTTAAGAATATATTCTATTTAGTAATTTATTTATTGGCTTAATATTCTATTCTATTATTTAAAGATTGGATATCTAATATCGTTTTTTTTATTTTACCTGTTAATTTTACTTGTTTTCTTTTTCATTCTATTTTACCAGCGAAGTTAATAGCTTTTGGTATTGCTCTCTCCAATTGGTTTTATTGGTAATCTTCCAATCAGGTAAAAGCTGTAAATAATAATAATTATTAATATTCCCTTTCATTCCAAAACACATAGGTGATAAATAATAAAATATACAAACACTAGAAACAAGCACAAATAAATAAACAAGATTTTCTTTAACTTCGAAATTTTTTATTATTCTTTTAATATTAATAATAGGAATACTATTTCCTTTTGTTTTATTGTTTTTACTGATTATTACATTGTTTCCATTTCCATTTCCATTTCCATTTTCAAATCTATGCTCCATTTTATTGATTTTATTATTAATTTTATCAATTTCATTATCTATTTCATTATCAACTTCAACTTCAATTCTATTTAGATTCTGATTATTATATTGCTTATTTTGGTTGTAGTTCCCTTTTTCTTTCTCTGTTTTTTGCTCTTTCCCTTTAAACTTTTCATCAGACGAGCAAGTTATAGAATTCATAAAATTTTTGGAATTTCTCTTTCTGAAAACAAATTCAAGATTAAATCCTGTAATGAATATAGCAAAATATAGTGAGGGCATATAGTGATGAATATAAGTAACTCTACCCATGATAATAAATGGCAAATAATTTACAATATAACATAAGAATGGTATTAAGCCTCCAATTAAAAATTTATAAAAAAGTTTTAGATTAAATTTAATTTCTTGTCTTTGCCATTTTAAGACTTGGTTTATACAAATTATTATAAAGATGATAATATTTAAAGAGCTTATCCAGACATTAAAGACATTACCTAATAGATAATATCTATAATCATTTCTTGACCAACTACACATTCTAATTCCAGATTTTAAGATTGGCCATTCCCACCATTTTGACGCTATGTTGTCTTCTTTATCTTCATCTGGAACAAGTGCATTGTTTGATGATGACATGGCAAAGTTGATTAAAAGAAAGTCTCTCCAAAACAAAGGTTTAGGTGGTTTATAATCATTGTCGATTTTCAATAATTCATTTGAGTGATCTTCTATATTCCACCAAGTTGATTTATCATTTGCAAAGAATGATTTTTTACAAACAACTTCACCTTGTTGAAACCCCCATATTGGGTAAGAATAGCCAGTTGTCGCTAAATAACACCCAAGGACTTTGTGTTTCAATCTAAAATTTGTTGAGATTGGATGAATATAGATGTCTTTATTATTATTATCATTGTTATTATTAATTGAAATATCAGGAGAATATGAAGGTTTAGGAGACAATTGTTCAACTATTTCTATATACCAATCATCTTTTTGATCACCAATTTTTTGATTACCATAGCAACTGACTTCATAATTGTTTTTAGAAACATGGGATTGAATTTTGTGAGAATGTAAATTTGTATTTAATCTTTCATGAGATAATCGTATTAAATCACCGTTTTTAATTAGATTTAAATGGTTTAAATTTGAATAGGAGTTATTATTAATAAGAATTGATTGAGAGATATTAATTGAGTTTAAAAAAGTGGAAGAATTTATATCGAAATTACCCAAGTTGCCAAAGTTTGAAGATCTGGGATATTGGACGATCCAATCGTTATTATCATCTTTGTAACCATAAGTTGTTACTTGATTTTGTTGTGAGCCTAAAGGGTATTTTTGGATATGAGAATGTAAAAGATTTGGGGACAAACCTTGCGATCTTATTGTTACTTTGGAGCCATAAGTTAGAAATCTAGAAGAATTTTGGATATCAGAATTTTTCAAGTTAATTTGAAATAAAGTTGACATTGAAGAATGGCCAGTACCAGTTTTGTTTAAGATTAAGAAATGAATTTTGAAGAAAAACGTATAAATTAAAAAGGGAAAAACTATTAGTAATAGGATTCTAAGCAACCAGATTTTCAAGTATAAAATTTTGTTATATTTACTATATTTATTGTACTTGATGATTTTTTTAGATTTCATTGATTTAGTTGGTTGTGTTGATTTTATTGATTTTGTTGATTTTGTTGATTTTGTTGATTTTGTTGATTTTGTTGATTTGATTAGATTAATTGAGTCAACTGGATTAGTTGATTTAAATATAAAGAAATATTTCTGATATAAATCCATGATTATGTATAGGCCAATAATTAAAGTTATAAATAAACCTACCCATTTAACACTACAAGCCAAACCAATTGATAAACCAGTTAGGAAGAGCCATTTTATTGAGTAATTATTGAGTTTAATTTTAAGATTATTATGAAGGTTAACTAGACAATAAAAAGAAGTTGAAATGAAGAATAGTAAAGTTGAGTCTAATAAGATGAACTTTGATAAAGATATAAACATGTTTTCAAAAATGATCATTGAAGATATTAGAATGGTTGTTCTTTTTTTGAAATTTAGAGAAATCGAAGTGTAATAGGCCACTAAGGGAATTAGGATACCAAAGATTGAATTCAAGATGCGAATCTTTTTGTAGTTGAAATTTGGTGGATAAGTGGCCGAGCTGTCAAAGGAGAAGGAATCAGTTGAATCAAAGTTATCGTAACCATTGAAGTTGGATACATATTCAGTGAAAGCAATAAATAGTTTTCCAAAAGGTGGATGAACATCGGAATAGAATTCACGTTTAATATAGTAGCTACCAAATTTGGCAAAATGAGCTTCATCCCAAACGACTTTATCGGACTTGTCCAAGTTGTGAAGACGAAGATAGGCAGATAGAGCAAGAATGGATATGGGAAGCAGCAATTTTGTAAAAAAAAAGTTAAAGAAGGATAAAAAGATGATTCCGGTATTTCTTATGGCATTATTATTATTATTGTTGTTGTTATTGGGATAATTATTAGAATGAGTACTATTGATATGATTTTTGGATAAGTTGATCAAGGGAGTATTTTGAGGTAGATGAACTGATTCTGTGAAAGGCAGATGGTCAATTGGCAAAGGATCAGAAATATGATCCATTTCAAAGTGTATTCGAAGTGTATTTGGAATATATTTGGAATATATTTGGAATATATTTGAGATGGTGTTGATGAGAAGAGACTTCGAAGAGGATTTGAAGTGAAAAAACAGAAAAGTAAAGAAAATAAAGACGGAAAGATGCAGCAAACGGAAAGATCCGGGAAACAGAATCAGGATGGAAAGATAGAGAAAACCTAGAAAGAGGATAAATGCGTAAGTGGTTTAATGGTAAAATTCAACGTTGCCATCGTTGGGCTCCCGGTTCGATTCCGGGCTTACGCAGAAGTAATATCTTTTGTTTTTGCTGAATTTTTTTGTGTTGTAGTTATTTGGACACATTTTAAGAGTTGTTGAGGTTGGAAACGTGCTTGATGCAATAACCAGACTTAATTGTGATCTAATTATGAAAGATACAAAATAAAAATCTTATTCTTTTATTAATATTCCGTGACCGCGAGCCAGCCGTGTGGGACTCGTAGACCTATATAGTAGGTATAAGCTGTTGTTTGCCTTAATTCTAAGCGAGGTGTAGGGAAACCTGAACTTACAGGAAAAAACCTACCCAAATCAGATAGAGAAAAAGTTTAGGATCTTAAGAGTTAAGGTCCCATGCCTTTTCTAGAAAACTAACCAACATTTTGAATTGTTTTCTTGTACCTAAAAGTTGCTTAAGTTGGGTAGGCCTTTCTGAACCAAGTTCCTGAGACCATATTCCTGCAAATGTTCTTGCTTCCTTATTGTGCTGGTATTCAATGAAATAATGATATATTGTAGGAGATGGGCTGTTACACACAAAAAGGTTTTTTAAATAACCAGCAGTCCACTGGAAATCTGACCCAAATCCATGTCCACATTGCAATTGAATAAAATCTTATTCAAATATAAACCTTAATAATTATTCCAAAAACCAACTAGGTATTGGGCTGGTTTTGTGGTCTAGTCGGTTATGGCATCTGCTTAACACGCAGAACGTCCCCAGTTCGATCCTGGGCAAAATCAGTTTTTTACATTTTTGACGTTATTTCAATTACAATTGGTTTTTTCTCGCATGCTCTAAAAAGGACGCTTCTCACTGAAAAACCCATTCCAGAACTGATGGAGAAAATCAATAAACTTTGGGTTGGTAAATATTAACGTTGAAGCTTAACTAAGGCACTTATATAAGCGAAATGCATTCGTATTGGACAGTCGTAAAAGAAGAATGGAATTTGAAAGAGAATAATACGCTCTTGATCAAGAGAAGATTTTTTGTTTAGTGAACGCAAAGCACAAACAAAGGTTTAATTGACTATTAAGTACCTGCGCCGAATTAGCATTAGTGGGCTGCAATTAATCAAAGTAGAGACAACACCATAAATGCATGGAAATATATATATATCTAAAAATTCAAAGAAATGGAATGTAAGACAATTACAATTCGCTCTCTATTTAATCGAATTTTCAAACTAGCTGCTAGCTTTTGAATTTAACGACGCTCGTAAATTGACTGATTTTTTGTTATTGATTTGGTTTTGTGTAAGTAAAATTAGTTATGGAGAATGATGCCTGTTGTTGATGGGAAAATAACAGAGTCGGGAAAGAAGTAATGATACGGAAAATGTGATGGAATAAAATAAAACTTTGGTGAATAATAGAATAAAAGCCAAAAAAAAAGCAATAATAAAACGGTATGAAAACAGTAAACAGTATAAAAAGGACAGACCAAAAAGCTAAAATATTAAAGAAAAAAAAAGCAGTAAAGTTCCGATATAGTGTAATGGCTATCATGGCACGCTTTCACCGTGCAGACCCGGGTTCGATTCCCGGTATCGGAAAATTATTTAATTTTTATTTTTACAATAAAATTACAATTTTAAGTTCAGCTTAGAATCTGCAGCTGAGAAGCAGCTTTGAAAACAAAAACTAGCGCAAATCCAAACGTTTGGAAGTGGCCGTGTGGTCTAGTGGTATGATTCTCGCTTTGGATGCGGGAGGCCCTGGGTTCAATTCCCAGCCTGGTCCTTTTTTTTGATCTACAGCTATTTATAGTTTTTGTGAACAGCAGATGTGCCGAACACAGAGGGGATCCGGCAGCTTCAACTGGTCCTATTGCGTGTGCCAAGCAAACGCGCTCCCGCTGGCGTAGGGATGAGGCCAGTCCACACCTCGTTTTCGACGAGTGTCACCCGTGCCGCTGGGTGCACTGTGCCCTGAGCTGGGCCTTTATCATCTTTCAGAAGAGGAAGCAGCTGAAGAAGCTGAAGAAGCAGCACCAGTACCAGCACCAAAATGAACTCCTTTTACCGCACCCGTTTGGCCAACGGCTCCAACTGCTCTGTCGACTCCTCCTCCTCTACAGAATCAGATTTGTCTATCAACTACACCTCACGACCCAATATCTTTAGTTCCAATAGCTCTCTAAATCCAAACCATTCTTCTGATTCTTTGAATAATCTCTTGGATGATCCTATCAACCAACCTCAAACTCTTTCTCCCTACCAGCTGTTGGTTCAAAGTTCCTCTCAAAACTACTACAACCAAAACAGAAGTTTGGTTCCAGCGATCAATTTGGATAACAATAACGATTCCTATTACTCCAGCATCAACAATACCACCACCAGCAATGGAATTCCTACTGTAAATCAAAATGCCAACTTGCCTGCTAGTCTTGATAAAAATACACCTTTTAACAACTCTTACTACCTGAACACTGATTCTCGTCAGAATAACAACCACAATGTCCACGATTTAACTTTAAATTTGGATTCACACTCGCCTTATTATAACTCTGACAGGTTCCTACCCCCTGCCTCTTCTTATTCTAACCACTCTTCTGTCTCATCTCCAGTTTCAAACGATTCTAATGGCTCGGCCAATAGCCATACTACTAATTATAATAATACCAATAATAATAACTTATCACCTTCATCCACCTTTTCTAATATGCTTTTTAATCAGCCGTTTCACTCAAATACTCTCAATTCCATACAATCTACAATCATAGATAAATCTTGGGATTTGATTAATAATTACAATAACAACTACAATAACAACTACAACAATAACAATGATGAATTGGACAGAAGTTTAAATTTCAAAGCTTTCAAGTTTTCCTCTTTTAATATTCGGAGAAAAAAATCAAATCTTAATATTAATAACAACAATAATAACAACAATAATCAGAAATTATCTCCCTCACATTCAAATTATAACCAATATTATAATAACTACAATGATAACTTTCTCGGCCCCAAAAAACACCACATCTTCAACCATAGTACAAACTCACAGACTAACTTAAACAATCCAATGCTAACTCCACAAACCACAAACAACTCTATATTTCCTTCCAAATCTGATTCCTCGCTCCCTTCAACTCCAAACTTATCAGAAGAAAATAACATCCTAATATCTCCTGTCCTAAATTCAGACTTTTATTCAAAGAAAAACTTCTACATTCAAACCTACGAAAGAATGAAACTAAACTACTTTAACTACTGGAACATCAACAAAAACGACCCAACCGTCATCAACGACAACACTCAGAAAAATATCAATAAACAAGTCATCATCTTCAATTTGCTCAAAAATCAACTAAACTACGTCATCAACTTGTTCTCTTTTATAGAATTGGGTGAACATTTCATATACGAACAAAGGAAAAACCCTTCTTTCACAAAAGATATGGTTTATCCTTACAATTTCAACAAGTTCTATAAACACTTTTTCCAGTCCTTTTTCCCCATCTTGAGTCTATTTCAGACTGAAATTATTGACCCTCTACTATCATCTGTCCTCAAATCTCCCAACATTGTTGACCAAGATTATTTAGCCGTTTTCCAACGTTTTAGCAAAATCGCCTTGCCCTACTGGCTAGAATTTCTCAAAAACTATTCCATCGTCGAAGTCTTTATCACAACCATCAAAAAACTAAACGAGCTATGCAAAAACGAAATATTTCTAAAAAAATTCAATTGTTGGAAAAACGATATCATTCTTCAAAAGAAATTTATGAAAAAAAATCAATTCGACACCATTTCCACCCAATATTTTTCAATTCTAATTCAAAATTTATCCTTCTTTAAAGATTTATCAAAATTCTACGACAAAAGAATCGACACATTCTTCTTTCACACAAAAGAAATGCTAACTTATCTCGTCGATGCTCTAGATAGAAACGCCGGCATTTATAAGGCTTCAAATGTCATAAATAGAATCAAATGGTACCCAAACAATAACCTAAATAACAAATATTGCAACTTGAATCTAAATCCAGAAGAAATCTCTCTACTAAATGATTTCCCCATTTTCTACGATTCAAATAACAACACCATTGCCGATAATAAATTAGTTTCAGGATTCAATATTGATAAAATCATCTATTTCCACTTATTCTCAAATTCTTTAATTATATCAAGATTTGACGTCAAAACATTTAGGTTCATACTAATTCACGAACCCATTCCGATGGAATTTTTAAATATTAAGAATATTACAAACAGCTCTAATCCTCTAAAAAATGACGTCAACTCAATCGATAATGATAATGATAAATTATTGATTGATTTTAATGCTGTATACAAAATACTATTTGAAAATAGCATTTTAAATATAAGATTTTACTACATGGTTAGAAATTACATGTCCTTGCTCTTTGTTCCTTTTGAGTCAAACAAAATAAAATACATAAATTATAAAATTCAAAAAGAACCATTTAGATTGAAATTTCTTGGTATAAACTCAAAAATTGATTTTCATTATAAAGCACATAATACTAGCAATCATAGTTTGAATCATGGCCATAAAATTGATAGAATAAACTCAGCAACTAAATCACAAAATAATGATAATAATGATATAACAATAAAGGATAAAATTGAACCAAGACACGAATGCTTAAATTATCAAAACCACTCGCTAAATTTAATAAAGGAATCTATTGACGAATATTATGAAGAATGTCATAATCAAAACAAACTAAATAAAAATTACCAAGAATATACATTGGATAAAGAGATTGAGGAAAAACTTTATTATCAAACTAGCATTGATAAAGATATCAACCCACACAATAACCTTGAACAAGATAGCTCTGATAGCTTAAACATTAATGGGGAGGTTTTAAGTTATTGCAAAGTTATTTTGTCTAATCAAGAAATCGTTAGATTTGTGGGAACCTCAGATGGATTATTTTTTAATAAAAGTAACTATTTCAGTACCAATAAAAATGAATGGATACTATTAGTCAAATTACAGAACATTGAACAAATTGAATATAATGAAAAGTACAATGTGGTTATATTTTTAAGTTTGGGAGAATTGTATTTTTTCTCCCTCGAGTTTTTAATTATAAGTCAATTTATTTCAGAGGATGAAAAAGAAGATATCATAACGAGATTTAACGAAGGAAATTCCAATTATTTGAAAAAGATTTATATTAAATTGATTAATAATAATAGAAAACAATTTTTGATTAATTTTTTTAGAGCCGTATTGATTAATGGAAATCTATACTTTTTTTTAGTTAGTCAAAATTTCAAAAGCGAAATTAGTGACATCAAAATATTGATTCAATTTAATGATGAGATTCAATTTTTGCCGATTGAACTAAAGAGTTTATATAACGACCAAGAGTCCATCAGAGTTAAGGGAATTATTACTGATATAAATAGGCTAAAGGGATTTGAAATATTGATTGTCAAAAGTTTGATTGTTGTTAATGAAAAAGACAATAGGTTGAAGGAAAAAGTTTATATTGATGTTATGGATATCAATAGTAACAATACTGGAGAGTCGAATAATTTGAAGTTTCCAATTGAGGACAGTAATATTATTAATAGTAAATTGATCAAGTTAATCAATTTCGGTGGGGATAGATTTTTGTTGAACTATGATAGAAAAAGTTTAATATATGATAAGTATGGGAAGGTTGTGAATGAGAGAATATCGTTTAGTAATAATAATAATAATAATAGAAAGATATTTAAAAATTATGAAAATTATTTAATTGTATTGTATAAGGAAAAGATTCACAAGAGTAAGGATAAGAAACACCAGAAAAGTTCAATGAACAATGAGAAAGATATTTTAGAGATTTATGAATTTTTAGATAATAGGATTGGTAAGAAACCGCCAGTTCAAATAATTTATGGAAAAAATATACAGCTTATTGAGGGCAACTCTAGTGTAATGTTTTTGGTTGATCATCCAGAAAAGAATTGTAGGGTAGCGTTTGAGTTAGAATATAGATCCAAATAGTGGTGGATAAATTGCTGGTAGAAATCAAGAAGGTTATAGAACAGATTCAAAATTGAAAAGACTCTGGACAAGACTTTGAGCAACTTTTTGTATTTAAATAAAAATAAACAACTATCATTGATTAATTTTGAGTAGAGTTTGTTTATTTGAGAAACTGTAAAGCATAACCAATTTTAATGTTGATCGGGAAGTCATCAAAAGTAAATTAGATTGAATTTATAAGATGAAACACTTGTGTTGGATTTGCAAGACCAAAATTTAAATCCTAGCTTTTGAAATCTTCAAGTCGCTCTATATAATGATTAGATAGAGTTAAAGATTCCGAACAAAAAGCTCTAAACTTTGAATTCATTTCTTTGATAAAACTTAGTTTTTTAAGAATGTTAAATTTTGAATCAAATCTACATAGTTGAAAATGTTTTTTAGCTTTATTGCATTATAAAGATAACCAATATTTTTTATAAGAGGCACTTAATTGAGTTATGATTTGAGATTATTCATAACAAAACAAATTTTAAAGCTAAGCAAAAAATTGAAATTCAAAACACAGAATGCTGAAAACTCATAATTATGACAATCTTCCTCATCTTCATTTCCACCATCTTCATTTCCACCATCTTCTATATCTTGATAATCGCCTAATTAGGAAACGAACAAAAAATCACAGTTATACGCTGCAGCAGATGGCTGTATTTTAATGCATATTATGTAACTCGCTGATTGATACCGTATTGCTGGATATTGGTAGCAAAAAGCTGATTATTTCGTTTCTGTCTGCAATCTCATGATCATACCACGAGGTCAGTTTTTGTTTCCATTACTGTGGTGTCCACTGGTCAATTTCTTTAGGTTTTGATCGCAGTCAGTTTTATAGAAGTGAGCACTGACTCGTTTTTATCAAACAAGCACGTGCTACACTGATGCTTCATCTTACAAAAATGGCTGCTCATAGTCTCAGCCTGAAACTGAAATTACTTATTACTTACCAATGCTTATCATCTCTCACTGTTTTAGATGTGGGTCAGAAAAAAAAACTGAGGTCAATGCCTTTTTGGAATTTGATTTTGCCAATTCTGTTTATATCTCTCATCAAGTTTTTGGAAAAGACTAACATAGTTGTAGACAATCATCTTGTATTTCCTCTTTGTTATTAAATTATAAATCCTAATCTTACATTGGAGGTTATTTATTTTTTTGATCATTTTGAATTCGCAATTTATATGTTGAAAGGGTAGAAGTTCAAATTCAAGACAATATTTTTCAAGCAGAAACGACACCACAGTTATCTCGGCGTTGATATAAAGTATAAATAAAATTTTCTGTTGGGTTCTTCTGAATTCCTTTAAAGTTTTTCCTACCCATATGAAAAAACTGTTGGGCCGGAAATTACTTTGGAGATCATAATTAGTAAACTTGTAATTTAATAGTGATTGCATCTGATTGATTTTATTAAATGTATACGCTCTATCGATTTTAAAGGTTATATTCTTCATTTTGTCCCAAAATAGTTGACATCTTCTTCTTAAATCATGTTTTATATTTTGCTTTTCAAGTTCTATTTCTATATCTTTAACATATAAAAAAATTTTAGTGTTAGTGGGATCAAAAGGTTCTAATGTCAAGTAATTAAATTCTAATGTTTCGATAATCTTTTTTTGAGTCAATGTATCTTTCCATTCGTCAAACTTCAGTAGTGCATTTGGAACATACGGCTTAAGCCCTTTTGTAAATTCAAAAAATTGCGATACCTTGCAGAAATCAGAAAGAAAATTGAGCCAATTTTCTTCGGTTTTAGAAGCCCAGACTCTAAATACATTTATCCATTTATCTCCACTGATTTCTTCTCCAACAACAAATAATTTAACTAAAGGTATTACCAAATCCGTTTTATATTCTTCCACTATAATTCCAAATGGTACAAAAAAATGTTTATGGAAATCTTCTTGAGAGTAAGGTTTAACAATATCGTGGTCTTGTTGAAGAAAATCCTCTCCAGCAGATAATACCGATATACAATCACTAACATAATCAACTTGCTTTTTAATCAACTCAAATATAAGTTTTTTTATGGTTGTATCATTACCGTTAAACTCATCAAAGTTTGATTCAAATATTTTTTTCAATTCTACAGACTTGCGTCTGCCGTTTCCATTTAAAATTCTAAATAAATCGATCTTTTTAGTATTATAGATTTTCAGAAATTGTTTTTTCAAGATGGAACTGTTTTGTGTAATTAAATTATTTCTGTCCGACCCAGCTTTAATTAATAGAAGAAGTACTTTTGATATTTCATCATTATTTGAAAAATGTCTTTCAGAGATAGTTAACTTTTTTAAATTTTTCAATAATAGTAATTCATCTATAAACATTGAATGATTAAGCTTGTTATGCGATAAATCCAAGTCTTTTATATTATAAAGTGCCGATATGCCCCTTAAATTTTCAAGTGAATTAAAAGAGCAAATAAATGATTCGAGATTTCTCAATGAGGTTAAATTTTTCAATTTTGAGATCCTATTGTATGATAGGTTTAAAAATTGAAGGTTTGTAACATTTGCTAGTTCTTCTATGTCAGATAATCGATTTTGACTCATATCGAATTTTTTTAATAATTCTTGATTTGATAAATTCTCAATTTTCTCAATTCTATTTTGCGACAAAATTAAAAATCCCAAATTGTATAAAGAAAAGAGATTTTCAAGCCTTGAAATCAAGTTGTTGCTCAAATTAAGATATTTCAAGTTAAGTAATAAGGGAAATTTAGGAATAACGGTAAGGCAATTATCAGATAGATTGAGTGATTTCAAATAGGGCAATCTGTCAAAATTATAATTAATCAGCGGTAAATTTGTGTTTTTAATTTTATATGATATTGAGCGTAATGAGTTTAAATAATTATTGCAATGTTGAAAAAAAGAGAGAAAATTACCTCTAAATTTTTCAGCTGTAGTAAATTCTTGATTCAAATAACTCATTAGTTGAGGTTGTTTTTGAATTTCAAGATCAATTTCGTAGAATTGGTATCTTAATCTAAACTGGTTGGAGCTTTTGTTTAAGTAGAAATGAAAATAATCGCCGTTGAATAAATCTATAATTTTGAACCGATTTAAATTTTCAAATTTTATTTTGAATAGATTCAAGTATTCAAGAGATTCAAAAAGAGTGACAACAGAAATCATTTTGAATTGTTTTAAATACCGATCAATATAGCTACCAAATAAACCTATTGAATTTAAATTTAAGCACAAAGTTCTCAGTTTACGATTCTTGGGGATGATAATCTTTCCTGCAAATCCATGAGTATTTTGAGTGATATTCATTTGAATGCGTAGATACAATATCTTTTTGGCTTCGCCCTCCCATGCATCGTGTGCTAATGATATTAACCAGACTTATTTTAGAGAAAGATATTTTAAGATATTTCTAATAAAAATTGAGTTATCAGGGCCTGTAGCGATTTGCAAAAGAAAAATCTGAGTAGGATTCATTATGATTATTCATCAAAAATGATTAGGTAGAAAAAAATAAAATCCTTAATTTTATTTATTCATTTTATAAGTTATTGCCATTGCCTATTTTATCCAAAAAATAGTTCAAAAATCATCAGAAAATGGATCCAATTGGCATTATTAGTACTGGACTCTAGTCTGTGTAAGAAAAATGAAACAGACCAGACCAACCAATGCAGAACAACTGGCAGATTGGGGACAATGCATTTGATTTTTCTTCCCACACTTTGCTCTGCCGCATTTGGTGAATTGGTGGGTTTGAGATAGTCAAAGCTATATGAATAACAAGCAACTGAGCAGCAAAACCCATATCTTTGTTCATACTTTTGAGGTGAAAGCATTTGTCGACAAGCCCAAAGAAGCCTCACCCGAAAGGAGCAGTTCGACTCCCATTTGTGGCTGGCAAGCTAGTCACACATATATGCAAAGATATGTACACTCCGCTGTTTTGGATAAATAAAAAGAGACCAAAAGTGCGGTGCTTCTTTGTGCTATTTTTTTGCCTCTGCCGGGACTCGAACACAGCACTCACGTGCCTGCTATCATAATAGTAATCGCAGCTTAAAATGGACATGGGCTTGTAGTTGTTGATGAAGAGCTATTAGCTGCCTATCGCCTCTGGTATTGCTGAGATATTGTTGGAACTCCTCCAGACCTAGTGAAGAACTCTCTGTTGATATCTCTGATCAGCAATGGCCAACCAAGGCAGTCGTGGCTACGACTATGGCTATGACTATGATGACTACGACAACGATAACAATCCTTTTTACTCCAGCACCTCCAAGAGCAACAATAGCCATATCAACAAAAACAAACCCAAAAATAAGATTAGCATATTGGACGATGACTTCTATATTCCTGCAAAGAAACCCTCTTTAATTGACGATCCAGACCTAACTGCTTCCCAACTAATCTTCAATGACGACCAAGACACCCATTTGAATCACAATTCCTATAGCATCAATCCAAGTTCTCTCAAATTTAGCAACTTCTTATCAACAAGCACTCCCAATTTATCTAACGAAAGTGATCCATCAAACCCTAATGCTGCTGATGATGATTACAGGTTCCAGAATAATATTGTTGATCCTTATAATAATGTTTATTTCAGCAATTATTTGTCTTCCTCGAATATAGCTGACAATAATAACGACAGCAACGATAGCCGTAATCACAGCAATGATACTAACGGTAGTAATGATACAAATGATCCTAATGATGACACCTTTTCAATAGATCCAAATGCTACCATAAATAAAAAGAACGTTAGTGCTTATATTAAATCTTTAAATAATAATAGTAATAATAACAACAATCATACTGACCATTATGCTGATCACGAAAAAAATAGCAACACTGAAAATAATAATGAAACTGATAATGAAATTGAAAACGAAAACGGCTTAAATAACGATTCAATATCAAATTATAATTATGATTCAGACTACAACATTGATAATATCAATAACATTAATAACACAAGTTTAAATAACAAAGAACAAATTTCAATTCAAAACTCCATTTTTTTTAATAATAATTATAATTCAGAAACTTCGTCAATTTTCACCCAAAACGAAAACATTGACGATGATATAATCTTTAATAACAATAATAACAAAAACAATTCAAATCCCCAAAACAATATCAATCCACATACTAATAATCTCAACAATAAAATTAATTCTTCCAATAATGCTAACTTGAATCTTTTTTTAAATAATAATAACGTCAATAATCCCAATCTCAATAGCTCAAGTACAAACCTCAATAACAGTAAATCTATTTCTGCATCAACTATACAATATCCCACCCCTTTTTCTGATCTAATTATTAATAATAATAACAACAATGATAATATTAGCAGGTCCAACACCAACTCCAATACAATCACTTCTTGCATACACAACAACCTTGACCATTATAGTGATGTTGAAGTGGATTTTCCTTCAGATGTGTTATCGGTTCATAATAATCCTTTAGAATTTTATTCCCAATTATCATTGCCCACTCCTCAAGAAATTATTGAAAAAAATTCAGTGTCTAATCTATATATCAAAATTAAAGATGCTTTGCAAATCACTGATTATAAAAATAAAAAAATCATTGTTTATATCATAAATTTAAATAATTTACTAGAAACCAAAAGGAGGTACTCGGATTTTGATTCTTTAAGAAAAATATTAATAAAATTTTTTCCAACTCTTTTAATTTCTCCAATTCCTGGGAAACATTCTTTAAAAAACTATTTTAAAAATCCCTTGAACGTTCAAAATTCCGATTTAAAAATAATTGAAAAAAGAAAAAGACTATTAAGCAATTTTTTAAATAATTTATTAAAATTTAAACAAATTAGAAATTTCGAAATTTTTTATAAATTCTTGGACCCAACCGTTGTTAATTTCCAAGATTTGTTAAAAATTCCTCCCATATCTTTGCTTCCAAACAACTCTTTATTGGCTCCTCCTGTCAACCCTATTAAACCAAGCCCCTTCCATTCTCTATTGCCAAACCCCAACGTTTCTTCATTAAATAACTATGATTCATTGATATATGGCTATAAAGAAATCCTAGCAACTCAAAAACGAATCTCGTTTCTTCAAAATAGTAATCTTACTAACAACATTAACAATAACACTCTTACTAAAAATTTTTCTACAACTTCATCTCAAAGCTCGTTTGAAATATTATCATCAAAATCAAAGAGAGAAATTTCTATAAATTCTATTGATCCATTATCCTTCGATAATTTTTTAACGTTCAAACGATTTGAAGTGTTTTGCAAAAAAATTATAAAAATTGTTAATCCATTAAATTCAATTATAGAAAAAAAGTTCCTTAAAAATATTAACGATTTGATTATTAATTTGTCAGAGCTAGGAGCTCATTATAATGTTTTTTCGTTGGAATGGACTTCAACAATGAATTTTGATTGCGAATTTGATATTCCAAAGGATAGCAATCCAATTAGTGGCAATCAAAATGAACAAAATGATATTGGGTATTTAAATTCCAATAATTTTAGTTCAAGTTTATACTCAGCGGATACATTGGATGATAATCCATTTTTAGACATTAATAAGCAACTGAATTTTGATATTAACAATAATTTTAAAAAAAATTCTGAAACTAGTTCAAATAATATTAATGAAGACCCATTAATTAAGAAATTTCACTCATTATCTTCGGGGATTGAGAAAATTGGACAAGCCATTGACAATGAATATATCAATCTTGAGGCCTTGAAATATTCCTTTATAGTGAAATTTCAAGAGCCGTTATTGGAATTGAATAAGAACATCAAAAATTTTTTAAAAGAAGTTTTGATTTTTAAAAAATTAAAAGATTTGCAATATCTAATAATATTTAAAAAATTGATGAAATTTATTAAAAAGATTAATGATCTAAGGTTTTTGGATGAAAAAATGAATCAATTAGACGAAGTTTTAAAACAAAATTCAAAAGAAAGCAATACTTTCAGAGAAGCTTATAAGAGACGTGAACAAAGTAAATTGAAATTAAAACAGAAAGAAGAACAAGAGGCGATAATGAATTCACCAACGAAAAATAGTAGTAGTAATCTTAATGATAATAATGAAAACGATAATAATAATAATAATAATAATAATAATAATAATACTGCGAATAATTCTGCTAGTGAAAGTATATTTGAAGGATCTGAAACCATTGGGACTATAAATAGTAGCATATTCAATAATTTTACTGGGAATTTTGGTAACAGTGGTTTTAATGCTGATATTAGTGGTGTTAATAATAATAGTAATAATGCGTTGAGTGATACAAATTCTAATTCCAATTCCAATGGAGATTCATCAACTAACTCGAAGTTGAATTCATCGACGTTATTGACCAATTGGAAAACGTTATTTATTGGAAAAAAGTTAGTTACTCAAAACCCTGAACAAATGACGTTTAATGAAAGAAAAATAGCTATTAACAAATTGGAGAAGGATATTGAGAAGTTTATTGAATTGTTGAATATTTCCAAGAGGGATATTACTATTATAGATCAATCGATTAATGAAAACTATATTAAATTGATTTCTAATACAAAGTATGAAATCAATAAGATATTGTTAGAATTTAGCAAATTGTTAATAGTTTGGTTTAAAGAGAATTTACGGGTTTGGGTGACAGCTAGAAGACATATTCAGAATAATGTTTATTATCTAAAAATGAATTACCGACACGATAAGAGAATCCCAAAGTATGTCCGACACCCATATGATGAAAGTTCTGATGAAGATAGTGAAGAAGAAAAAAATAACAGTAATGCTCAAGATAATATTGGTGGCAGTAATAATGAAGAAAATTACAATGAAGGCGATACTATTGGAAAAGGAAAACAAAAACTAAAGAACGAGGAGGAAGCACCTGGTAATTTGAACAAAAATAGTATAAAATTAGAGAAAAAAGAGAAGAAATTGGATCAAGAGATTGAAAAACACAATGAGCTTTTGACCAATAAAACATCCCAAGATAAAAAGGCTGGAGATAAGAATGATGAAGAAAATGGCGAAGAAGATGATGATGAAGAGGACGACGATGATGATGACGATAATATTCTTGTTCATAACAGAAACCATCTATACAACAGTGACAGTGAGAGCGACGATTCCTCTTGATTATATCTCCGGCTTGAGCATGATCATAGCTAACAACTTTATACATTTTGTTAATCAGCATCGAGGCTTTCCAAGACTGTTATATTTCCACATTTTTATATTTCCATATTTTTATATTTTCATATTTTTACACTTACATTATTCCATTTTCTACTTTTTCGTTCCATAATTCATTTTAATTCTTTTGAGTATTTATTAATTTTCATTCTATTTGATATCTGTTTTCAACCAAGTAAATAATTGGACTAATACACATTTCGCATTGTCCATCAGCTAGTAGTCGAGTTCCCAATGCTGCTGGCTCTGCTGGCTCTGCTGGCTCTGCTGGGCCTGTGGGACCTTCTTCCTGTGCGTCTTGTTGGGGGCCTCAGCATCGCTGATGTCGAGCACAATCTCATCGTCGTTGAGCTGGAAGTGTCTGGCGTACAACAGCCTGTATTGCCCAAAGGCGCTGGCAAAGAACCCTCTGTCCATCGTCATGTTGTGTCTCGTCTACCTCTGCAACGTCGCTTCTTCTGCTCGGTTTGCCTCTTTCTTCGCTTCTCGTGCTTCTGCAACCGGCTGTTTCAAAGCTTTGACGGCCCCTTTACGCTGGAGAAATTCCTCCCATTCTGCTCCGGCGACTAAAGAGACCCAGCCAAAGAGCGATATAACCAACGAGCAAAAGCAGAGCTGGTCTGTGTTTGATAAATATCTGCTACTATCTGGCCTGCTGCCCCCATCCTCCAATTCTTCCTCTTCATCCTCACCTCTGCCCTCCTGGATCTAAGCAAAATGGACATTTTCCAGCAAGAGCGTCGTACCTACAAGTATGTTCACCAGCGTTTCTATTTGTTTGCCCAGTTGTATATTAGCTTTTTTTGCCATGTTATTTGCTCCATTCCTTAATTACTTGATCCCCTTCTGGTGCTCTTTGCTAATTCATATACTAACTACTCCCGGTTTTCAGAGTCTATAACCAAGATTTTACAATTGACAAGCGATTCCAGCTATCCAAAGAATTGGGCCATGGTGCCTATGGAATCGTTTGTCAAGCAAAATACATAGAGCTCCCTAATGGGGGCTCTGTTGCCATTAAAAAAGTCACAAACATCTTCACCAAAAAAATTCTCTGCAAAAGAGCCTTACGAGAGCTAAAACTACTAAAGCACTTCACTGGCCATAAAAACATCACCTGTCTCTATGATCTAGACATCGTCAACCCTACCAAATTCAACGAAATCTATCTTTATGAAGAACTAATGGAGTGTGATTTGCACCAAATCATCAGATCAAAACAACGCCTAACTGATGACCACTACCAATCATTCATCTACCAAATTTTAAACGGCTTGAAATATATCCATTCTGCTGATGTCCTACACAGAGATTTAAAACCTTCAAACCTATTAGTCAACGCCGACTGCGAACTAAAAATTTGCGATTTTGGTTTAGCCAGAGGTTACTCTGAAGACCCCTCCAAAAATAGAGGTTTTTTGACTGAATATGTTGCCACAAGATGGTACAGAGCTCCTGAAATCATGCTAAGTTTTCAAAGCTATTCAAAGGCAATCGATCTTTGGTCTGTTGGTTGCATATTAGCTGAGTTATTAGGTGGCAAACCAATCTTCAAAGGTAAAGACTATGTTGACCAATTAAACCAAATCTTAAGAATCATTGGAACTCCCAATGAGGAAACCTTGGTCAGAATCGGCTCCAGAAGAGCCCAAGATTATGTTCGTTCTCTACCTTATATGCCCAAAGTAGAATACTTAAAGCTATTCCAAGGTCTAAGTGGTAACCCCAATCTATCCATAAACCCTCTAGCTTTGGATTTACTAGAAAAAATGCTAACTCTAGATCCAACCCAACGAATTGACGTCAACCAAGCTTTACATCACGCTTACTTGAAAGTCTGGCACGATCCAAATGAGGAGATTTCTTGCGAAACAAAATTCGATTTTGGTTTTGAAGAAATTAATGATTTAGACGAAATGAGAAGCTTGATTGTTGAAGAAGTTAGAAGTTTCAGAGAAAGTGTCAGAATACCACAAACTCCAGTCAATTCGGATCCAAAATCACAAATCCAACCCCAATCTCAACCCCAATCTCAAGATGAAATTCCAGATATCACTCATCAGCAACAATTAGAACAATATCAACAACAGCAACAGCAACAACAGCAACAGCAACAATATCAGGCTCAAGCTCAAGCTCAAGCACAAGCTCAAGCTCAAGCACAAGCTCAAGCACAAGCACAAGCACAAGCACAAGCACACGCGCATGCTCAAGCTCAAATTGAAGCTCAAATGCAAAAACAATACCAATATCAACAATATCAACAACAATATCAAGCTCAAATTGCTCAAGCACAAGCTGTCCAAGCTGCACAAGGTCAAAATCAAGCTCAAAACCAAGGTCTAATTGCTCAGGTTGGTCAATTGGATTTTAGAACACCAGCGGTTAATGAAGAGGATTTACCACCAAAACCACAAGAAAACATTTATATTCAACAAAATTATCAAAATAATAATCATAATAATAGTAACACTAATGCTAATAACAACAATGCTGGCAACGCTGGTTATAATAATGATAACAATACAAATAACAATCACAATGTTAATAGTTTTGATAACTTGGAAAAAGAATTAGAGTTTGGTTTAGATAGATACTGTTAGGTTTGAAATTTAATTACTTTTTATTTTCATTTTTTATACGATTATTATAAATCACAAATCATAAATCATAAATCATAAATCATAAATTATAAATCATTATAAATTATAAATTATAAATCCCAAATCATAAATCATTATCAATTAATGTAAATGCTATATATATTAATTGATAAAAGTCGATATTATTTACAACTTTTGTTTATTATTTATTATTTATTGATCAATTATTTACTTTCTATTACTGTTTTTTGTATTGTTTTGTGTGTTTTCTTTTTATTGAAGATAAAAAAACTTTTTTAACTGTTTTTTTTCATTTATTTTAATTTTATTCAACTTTACTTAATTTTAATTAATTTTACTTAACTTTACTTGATTTTTATTGATTTTTATTGATTTTTTTAATGTCGATTTTTTTTGTTTACTTGATCCATTTGTAGTCATTAATAAACCGCCCCAGAATTGTCAATTTCCTTGAAAAACAGAAAAATAGTAAAATATTTATATTACTTTGACACTGAAGCAATAATAAGAAATTGTTTCTTTTTTATTCAATCTCTTATAAGCACACCTAGAGAGTTTACCACTCATCCGTACCACGGTTGAAAAATAGTTGAATGATGCACCAAATGCATTGCACAGTCGAACTTATATTAAAAATAAAACCATATTTTGCAGAAAAACATCAAAATAAAATAAGGTTTCAACAGCTTTCCAACGATTTCAACGCTTTTTCAACAATCTCAACAATCTGTTGTTCTGGGGTCACAGGACCATTGCTGAGTGCTACATTAAAACACTAAAACAACAACTTCTAGTTGGAATCCATAATATAGGAATCGACCATAGTCAATTGTCTGGCATCACCATTCTGAAGAACATTCAAAATCGCCAAAAAGATAGCTTAATAGTATTGCGATTTCTGTGGATCGAACACAGGACCTTCAAATCTTCAGTCTGACGCTCTCCCAACTGAGCTAAACCCGCCAAACTTTAATTACTTATATAATAAGTTATCTCCGCTCTTACTGATCACATGCCCGTTTGAAGAAATGCAACACCGGATAAACCTGCACCAGCATCTTCTGCACACTTGCTTATAAGCTTTTTTTGCGCATACAATCCTCACCGATGGCTCTGTTGCTTCCCTGTTACTGCTAAAATCGTGTATCAGTCACAAAAAAGAATCAGCTCGAAAGGGAACCTCTGTTTTACAAGAGAATATCTATAAGAAATGAATAAAACTGAATAAAATTATTCAAATAAATAAAGCCCACTAAAGATCAAGAAGGAAATCAAGAACTAAATGCTCTCTGAGATACTTTTTTATTTTTTCCTTGTCATATTCTGTTTCACTTCCACTTTTTAATCTCTCTGAATTATAGCAGCTTGAAAAATCCTTTAGCAATTGTTTTAACCTCAAGTCTTCTGTGCTTTCAGCTTTAACTAGTTTATACTTGATGGATCCATTATAAATGAATTTACTAATTTCTCTATCTAAATTATAATATGAAGAAACCATTATTGATTCAACTATGTGGTAACAGTATGAAACCAGCCCCATATTTACATCCGCAATATTCTTTCGATCTAGTGTTTCTGCTTCTTTAATGTACTTATTGTAGATATCAATTGAATCATTGAAATTATTAATCGATTTATAGAAAATCAAACATTTGACAAGTCTTATATTAAATCTTTCATCCCCATCATTATTGATATCCTTGCCATTAATATATTTATAAATGAAATTATTGATTAAATTCTCTTTATCCTTAGTAGATTCAAATAAGTACGAATAAACTAAACTTTTAAAATAACTCAAGTTGTTGTTTTTAACTTCAATTTCATCAATAAATTCTAACTTTGAATATTTTTCATATCGATATAAATACTTGTCGGTTTTTCTCTGATTGAAAAACCCATAATAAATCAACAATTTCTCTCGAATACTCTTAGAACCATCACTGTCTTCTATATCAAATTTATTCAAATCAATAACCTCTTGTAATCGATAAAATTCCTCCTCTAAGTAATTATTCTTATCATGAATTTTTTCAATGCTAATTTTTGGTGTTTTTTGCCTTCTTCTAATTTCAATAAAAAATTCTAACAACTTTTTACAATCACTAGTATCAAGATTCTGTTCAATTTTTAATCGATTTTTTTTATTTAATAAAAATTGAATAGTTTTGACTTGAAATTCATCATTATAAGTTTTAGTGCCCAATTTTTCATTAAAAACAATTTTAATAATTTCTTTTGCTTTTTTTTCCCCATCATAAAAATCAAATAAAAGATTTATTTCATTTTTTTTAAGACATTGATTAATTAAATACTCCTTAAAAATTTCTTCAACTTCTTCTGTATTAATTAAAAAATTCTCTGAAAATAGTTCATTATTATCTCTAAAAATCCTTAAAACCTTACTGAAGTTATCTTCTCCAAATTCTTTTTCATTTTCAATTAGTTTTTTAATCAATAAATTTAAAAAGAATTGAATATCCTTTTCCAATTTTTTATCCTTCAATAAACTTGGTTCGATTTTACAAATATCCCCATAAAATTCCCAGCAATAATAATCTCTTTCATTCCGATAATTTAATTTTAAAAATTTATTTATTAGCTGCATTTTTTCAATTTTGTTAAAAGTATTAGGAAGCTCTTGATGATTTTTAATAAGAATCTTGAAACAATTGAATAAAACATTTAATGTCGTTTCATTTCTCTTTAACTTTTTATCCCTAAATATATTCAATACCAATGAATTGTATAATGCTTTTTTTTCAGATTTCAATAGTTCATTACTAACAATAATCTTAAAATACAAGTCTTCAAAGTGTTCCTCGTTCTTTATCTGTGGTATTTGTTTGTTGAAAAATACAAAACTATTTGTATTCCACAAATATTTTGATAAAGAAAAGCTTCTTTTGTTTATTATATTCCTATTATATCTCCCATAAAGCCCAAGTAAACAATATCTTTTCATTTTAGTACTTTGATATCAAACTTGATGAATTAAAAACTGGAGAATTTCGTAAGAACTATAAATTTTTGTAACTTCAAATTTCCCTCCACGACTTTTTCATACTTTTTATTTTTTATTTTTTTTTTATTTTTTTTATTTCTATTCATTTTAATTATTTTTTTCTCTAGTATTTATTAATTTATTAATTTATTAATTTATAATATATTTTTCTTGCTGAATAATCCTTTTTATTATTTAGTTCTGAAAGCTTTTGCTATTTTGAGAATTTTTTTTGAGGCTTTACTTTTTCTTGAATTTTAAAACAACTTGAAAATAACAAAACTAGTAATAGGTATTTGAGGATACAATACAAAAAAAAGTTGAGTAATATCAAAAAAAACAGTTCTTATTTTTAATATAATCATAATTGGTCTTTAATAGTAGCAGCAAAATGAGCCAAAATGACACAGTGAGCAAAATTACCAACGAAGATGAATCGGACAAAAATAATAGTCAGGAGAATGAAAACAAACACAATTTAAACCATTCAGGTTCTCCAAAAGATTCAAGTGATTCAAGTGATTCAAGCAATGAAAGTTTTTGGATTTTAAGCTCGACTGATGAAGATAATGAAAATATTAATAACAATATTAATAACAATAATGAAAATGAAGAGAAAAATAAAGGTGTAAATATAGAGATTAAAGAAAGAACTTTTGCAGAAATCGATAAAACTGCGAATCAAAACCTTTCATTAATTGACAATAATTCTCGCACTGTTTCTAATGAAAAATTTCAGGTAATTAGTGCTGAAGATATCAATAAAACTATTACTAAAAGGCCGAGAGGAAGACCAAGAGGAATAAAAAAAAAGCAAAATAAAGTTAATAAAAGTGGTAAGAAACGAGGAAGACCCAAAAAGAATTTAAATCTAGTGGTTGATTCAGAAAAGAATTCCAATTGTATCGATGAAAATAAAGTAAATAGCCAAACTTCAGAAGCGAATAAAAATTTTGCTGGATATGATACAACCACTATGACAGAGGAAAGTATATATATCAGTGAATCAAATGAAAGCTCAAATTCTAGTTTTAATTCTAGCGATATTGAGTTGATTTCAGCTAAAAAAATTTCTCCAATTGTTGAAACTGTGACTGAAGCAAGAGGACGACCAAGAAAAAATATAATCTTTTTTTACAATGACTCAAATGAAAACACAAACAAGGATTCCAAAAAGAAAAAAAGAGGAAGACCAAAAAAAACCAAACCAGGTTTATTGGATAATAATGATAAGAGTAAAAATGATATTGAAGATAGAGACAAATTTATTTTGGAACTCAGTCTTAGTGATATCACACCTGGAGATGATGATTCATCTGATAATCATAAAACTAAATATTTCAAAGATTTACTGGTTCCAATTGTCAAAAGAGGCAAAGGAAGACCCAAAAAACAAAGAGATGTTACGCCAAATAACTTAGAAAGAAGAACAAGGCATATTTTTGCGGACAAAACAGAAACCATTATCAATGGCAATGTCAATAGTAATGGTAATGTTAATGATGATTATATAAGTGATGAAATTAAATTGGTTAGGCCGAGGGGAAGACCTAGAAAACATTTCAATGGTTCAAACAAAGATACTCTCAAAAAACCACATAAAGTGAATGGAAAACTAGGAATTTTAAAAATGATTTCAAAGGAAATTACAGGCACAAGAAGAAGAGGAAGACCAAGAAAGATACTATCGAATACAATATTAAACAGCGTTGATGTCAGCAGGATTCCAACCAAAAGAGGTAGGGGCAGACCAAGAAAATTGGTTGGTCAAGAGAAAATAACATTTACTATAAATCCTATTGGAAATGGCATGTACTCTAAAGAAGAAATAATAAATTCCTTGAACAAACTAGATGATCATTTTGCGTCATCGAGGGTCAGAGGAATAATTAAGCCTTCTGAGTACGATTCTGGATCAGATTCAGATTTTGAAGAGATTACTTTTAAGACAACCAAAAAGGATTGAAGGGCGTTGAATGGTGTTGACTATAGTATTCTGAATGTAATTTTATGAATTTTTTTTAAATTTGAACTATTTTATCTGATAAACAGTGGTTTTCATTTTTTTTATTCCTATGTTTTGATCGATCTTGGTCAATTTTATTCAATATTGCTATTGTATTTAAAACCGACCAAAAAAATAAAAAAAACCTTTCAGTTAAGATTTTTTTAAACATCTCTGACTGTTCTAAGTTTTGTTTATAAAAGCAAGATTGATTAACGGTTTTAGTTAAAATTCCTTTTAGAAAAATACTTTTAATACATTTTAACTGAAATATAAGAAGGTAATTAGAAGAGAGCTTAAATTGATATAAGTAAAGATGGAAAAGAAATATAATATCATTAATAACTAAAAGAGAAAACTAAACAATATTAAAAAATAAAAAGCAAACTGTGGTGATAAAAAAAAAATCGATATTTTTGAAGAATCAATTTTTATGATAATTTTCTAATTAACTATCCAATAAAAAAGCTAGCCAGAAACAAAAAAAAACAATAATTCATAAAATTTCATTTTATGAGTTGAAAAGATAATTTCTTAAGCCCATTTACCCAAACAGGACATAAGAGCAGCACCAGCGATAAATAAGATATATGCACCGATTAATCTTTTCAAACCATCTCTCTTGCCTGGAGCACTGTCATCAAATTCGTTGGAGTATAAGAATTCCTGAGCCATCAATTCGACCAATGAAGAGTATAACAAAACACCAGCAGAGATACTGTCACAGAAACCAGTAACAATTAAAGCAGTTCTGGAACCTGGAACATAAGATTTTCTAACACCAAGACCGATGGCAGCAGCAATTGGAGTGGTTAAACCATAGGCTAGTGCTAATAAGTATGGAGTGAGTTTTTTACTTTCGGGCCATTTAGTCCAGGCGATTCTGGCACCTAAACCTAAACCTTCAAAGAATTGATGGAAAACAATGACAACATAAAGAGTAACAAATTCATCACCAGAGGTTGTTAAAGAAAGACCGACAAAGACTGAATGGAAAATAATACCAAATTCTAAAACAAAGATGGTAACTAATTGACCCGAATAAAGAGTTTTTGCATCAACAGCAGAAACACCAACTTCACCACCATGGTTGTGACCCATTTTGGCCAATTGTTTTTCAAGAGAAGTTTTTGAGTCAGTTTTTTGAATAGCATCGTCTTTATAATCAGCAGCTTCTTGATCATTAATAGCAGTGGCCATGGCTTGGTTGTGGGCTTTGAGGAAGTAGTAAATCAAAATTTCAACCAAGAAAATGATACAAAGGGCAATTAAGGTAACAGCTAAACCCATTGGATATTCATTCCAAACACCACCTAAACATGGATCAGAAAGACAGGCAATACCTGGATCTAAAAGATGGATAAAAGTGGTTGCAAGAATAACTCCTGAACCAAAATATTTACAGTAGAAGAAACACCAATCGGGCATTTTGAACCAAGAAGCCTTTGAATTAGCAGACATAACTGGGAAAATAGCACCAAACAATGAGGTGACTAAAAGAACAGGAACCGTTGAAATTCTAGCTCCCCAGTATTCACCATTATAGTCATTAGAGGTAGCACATTCATCACCTTGACCACCAAAGAAGACATCACTAAATGAAGACATTCTGATGAGATTTTATAGATTATTCAGCAATTAACAATATTATAAGATGTAATTTTGTTGAACAAGAGTCAGATTGATTTTTGATAATTTAGAAATCAAAACAGATAAAAAGGAAGATATTTTGCAAAATTTATATTAATTTTCTTTGAGTTATTTTAATTGGGACCTTTTATTCAGCTAATAATTTTTATTTCTTCACTGATTTTATAGATAATTCTGTTGATTTGGCTAATTATTCCATTTAACTCCAGTTAGTACTAATTATTTTGATTTTAATTACGATTTAAATTCGGGTTTTATTTAATAACAAAAGAATATTATTCATTTTGCAAACGATTTATTTAATGTTGAACATTTAAATTCGAATGTTGAATGCTAAATGCTAATAGCCAGAAGAAGAGAGGAAAAAAACCTGTGGATATTCAGTAAAACACCAAATGTTAAATCCGGCATAATATATAGAGCGAAAAGTTAGATTCCAAATTATCAGCTGTGCGTTTTTGTGCATCAAGATGAATAAACTAAGAGGTAATGTAGGGCTTTGCACAGAGATATTTACTGAATATGCACAGGTTATACACTAACGCCTATGGATAGAAGAGTTAGTAGGTCAAGGCAACGACAAGAATGTCAAGAGTGGGAGAAGAGGAAACAATAACTATCAGTGACTGAGAGTGAAGGAAATAAGACGCAGGGACAATATGAGAGAAGAAGGCCACCTAAGAACATATTTCAATAGCTGGAGGGTATACTTGATAGAGGATGATAAATTCAGATCTGGTAAGGAATTGGAGAAAAGTGAAGAGGGTCAGTAAGGGCCCAAGGGTCCTATCCTATCAGATGGCTTAAATGCAGTTGACTATGGCGATGGTTTATGTGTTAAATGGCGGTTTTGTTTTTGTTTGATTCTACTATGACTCCTAAAAGAATAGTCAATTCCTTAATGGGTTTGGGAAAATATAAACAAGTAACTGAAATAAATGTTCTTGAATACAAATCTGTAAATACCATAGTAAAGCAGAAACAAAGAAAAGAAAGAGGAAAGGAAAAAAAAAAATAAAAAACGTAGGTAACTTCAGAAATTAAAAAATAAAAGATTTAAAGTGGAAGTGGAAGTATTAAGTAGAACAGCTATCGTTTTATTAAGGTGATATTTGTTATAAATGAAAACAATCTACTCTAAAACCAAGTCTGATAAAATAACAACATAAAGTCTATAAAGAAACCAATTAGATCAAAGCAAATCAAGTAAGATAGATAGTGAATTAGTTAATTAAAAAAAAACCTTCCAAAACCTTTTCTAAAGAAACAATAAAAAAAAAGTATTGAAAAACAAATTATAGAAAACAATAAGCCTATAAGTATGATTATAAAATTAAATGTCTCATAATGATAAAGAAAAGAAAAGACAAATATTTGTCTAACGTCTCAGAATTATGCCCATTTTCCCAAACATGCCATAAGAGCAGTACCAGCGATGAATAAACCGTAGGCTGCTAATAATTTTTTCAACCCATCTTTTTTGTTTGGAGAGTTGTCAAATTCAGTTGTATATAAGAATTCCTGAGCCATCAATTCGACCAATGAAGAGTATAACAAAATACCAGCAGAGATACTATCGCACATACCAGTGACAATTAAAGATGTTCTAGAACCTGGAACATAGGAAGTTCTAACACCAAGACCGATGGCAGCAGCAATTGGAGTGGTTAAACCATAGGCTATAGCCAATAGGTATGGAGTGAGTTTTTTACTTTCGGGCCATTTCATACAGGCGATTCTGGCACCTAAACCTAAACCTTCAAAGAATTGATGGAAAACAATGACAACATAAAGAGTAACAAATTCATCACCAGAGGTTGTTAAAGAAAGACCGACAAAGACTGAATGGAAAATAATACCAAATTCTAAAACAAAAATAGCAACCAACTGTCCTGAATAAAGAGTGTTTTCGCTAACAGGTGAAACGCCCAACTTTTCATGACTATGATCATGATTATGGCCCAATTTAGCTAGTTTTTTATTAAGCGAGGTTTGTGATTGCACTACCTGAATGGCATCGTTATAAACACCAATGGCTTCCTGACCAGATTGGGCGTTAAGAATAGCTTGGTTGTGGGTTTTAAGAAAGTTATAAATCAAAATCTCGACTAAGAAAATGATACAAAGAGCAATCAAGCAAATACCTAACCCCCATGGATATTCATTCCAGATACCACCTAAACATGGATCAGAAAGACAGGTAATACCTGGATCTAGAAGATGAATAATAGTAGTGGCAAGAATAATACCAGAACCAAAGTATTTGCAGGCAAAAAAACACCAATCGGGCATTTTAATCCAAGAAGTCTTTAAATTAGCAGACATAACTGGGAAAACAGCACCGAACATTGAAGTGACTAAAAGAACAGGAACCGTTGAAATTCTAGCTCCCCAGTATTCACCATTATAGTTATTAGAGGTAGCACATTCAATAGGTTGAACATCCAGAAAAATATCACCGGATGACATTTTTATTAAATCTTTATTAGCTTCTTATTAAATTTTTACTAGCTTTTTATCAGCTTTTTTGATATATTGGTTCTTTTAATTTAGTAAATATACTGAGGACTGTTTGGACAGAGAGCAGTTGTTTTAGGATTTATTTGAAATAGTGGAAAAAGGTAGAAAAAATATGATATTTAAATGTAGTTTTTTTATCTCATAACTGATTGGTATTGTTTGAGTAATTTGCTCGCAAACCATTTAAAGGATGTGAAGTGATTGAGGATTTTATTCAATTGTGAGAAAAAAACAATAGCCCAAGGTTACGGAAACAAACCAAAAAATCGGAACCAATCGCACCTGCTTTCAGTGGGATGCTTCAGCTGAGATGTTAGAGAGAAAAAGTGTGCGAATAGAAGAATCCCCAAGAAACATAGAGTTCACTGTCTTTTATTCTGAGTGATAATGCGGCTCAGCCAGTCCTATTGAAGCAAAGAGAGGCTATTTTTAAGGATTGACGATAAGATTCAAGACAGAAGGTGCTTTTTGGACATGGCGACAAGGACACAGCTACAATTGGGCAGTGGGAGAAGTGCCTGTGTGGGAATGCGCTCAGGCCTGGAGTTTTCAACAGCTTCAACAGCACTGGGGGTGTTTTCTGGCTGGTACTGGCCGGGAGACCAAGCTTCATAGAGCCCCACTGCTCTTCGCTCTGTTTTGTTCAGAAGATAAAGGCTGGAAACAAGAGTTTTCTCACTACATCAGAAGCTCACGTCAAAGTTTATGATGTAGCGTTGGGATCTTGTCGTTTCAACGGTACAGACCTGGATTAAGACTAGCCGATTGGAGAATCGACAACGTCGGATTGCAACTACATTTTTAACGAATTTTGGTAGGCTCTGTCAAGTGAGTGCCAGCTATTTTTACTATTACTTATTCAGATACCCACCAACCATAGATCTATAGTAGACTATCCTCTTAGCTTTGTAGGATTAGAGCTTTGAGTTTAAACGAAAAGCCTGTTCGGAAAAGGTTCTGTCTTCTCGCCTCATCCCTTTTTGGACAGGCTTGGATGAGCGTTTGAAGCACTGTCTAGTTTGAGTTATGTAAGCACACGATATGTTACGTAATAGTGCTCAAACGAAAGACTGCTAGTTTCGGCTGAGTCCAAATGGTTAAGCTTTTGATTTATTGGCCTATTGAGGTCTTGCATCATTAAATTTGTATAAATATTTGATAATCATCAATATTAAATATAACGCTTTGAAGCAATGGTTTTATTTTATTGAGTTTTTAATCCATTGTTGCAATAGTAATAATACAATGAAAAAATAGTAAAAAACTAAAGCAAAATAGCTCACTTTTGTATAAGTTTAAACTTTTTAATCAAACATCATTTGTTTATTCATTTTTTGAGTTACTAAACTGAAAAAAAATTATAAAATAATATATAAAAATAAAATACTGTAAAGCTTAGTATTTCAAACCAATAACTCCTACCTTGAAATACACTAAACATACACCAGGCTTATTGAAAAAAGTGTGGAAAAAGTATTAAAAATATTGTTTTTCAATTATTACTAAATAATTCTCCAATATTTTCTCAATATTACTTAATAGTTTAGGGTTTTGCTATTTAGTGTAGACTTACTATCTAATATCAGATTTGAAATCATTTTTTAGTATTTTTTTTAATTTTTTATTATTTTAGTCGCCATCTCAATTGAGAAAAAAACTATAAAAAATATAAGACAAAAAATTTTCCTTGCAATATCCAATTTGACGAAAAACAAATGTATATAGATCTACAAAACCAAATTTGGGGTTGGCGTTGATTGGTTCATGATAGAACATTTTGACACATGTAAAGTTTGGGCTTTATTGCGGGAGTAGGCATATTGACTTGAGTCTCGTTATACATACGCGTCAAAATGCGCAAAATAAACTTAAACTTCAATCTAAGGGTCTTATAGCACACGGAGGGGTTTAGATGTTAACGCACAATCGCAGTCTTGAGGTAATTGGGACAAAAAGTCAAGAATTGAATTTATTATCAGATTCAGAATGAAAATACAGTTGTTCTAAATCAAGTTAATGTATTGCATTGATCAATTTTAAGAGTTTGAACATTGGCATTGGAATGACATCAATTGATAATACACAGGATCTAGTAAATATAAAAGATTTAAATCTATCAAAAAATCAAATTAAAAATATTGAAAAATTATCCAAATTAATTTATTTCAAAACTTTAAACTTCTCTTTCAACCCTATAACCAGCACTCAGGCTTTACTAAATTGTATTAATTCCAAAAATTTAAGTCTGTTATAATAAAGAAACTAATAATATATTTTTAGTATTTTTAAACATTTTGAACTTGCCATACAGCCATTTTACTAAAATTAAACGTTTATCAAGTTTAGCTGTTTTGAAACATTTGAATTTGAAGGAAATCAGACTTGCAACATTGAAAATCTAAGAAATATGAGTAACTTAAATCTTTTAAGAGGTTTAAGTACATTTGATAAAAAAAAGGCAATCAGATCGAGAGTTTTGTGTGGCTAGAAAACAGATCAAGAAGCTTAAATGGACTTCAATTGAGTGGCAATATATTAAAAAATTGGGAGATTTGATAATTTAAAGTATTGAAACAGCTTTTTTATTGGAAAGAATGAAATAGAAAGATTTTGTCGCAAAATACTACACGGAAAGAGAATAAGACTTAGAAATAAGGGTTTATGTTGCTTTTACATCAAGAAATATGCTGTTAGAACAATTATCTTTTTGAGTGATGATTTTTAGATCTGTTCATGCTCAAATCACAATAGGAGGGGATATGTACAATACAGCATGGCAAGTATTTACAAGTTTCAAAAAAAGATCACCAATCAGACATTAGCCATTAGCGATCAGCGATTAGTAGTAATCACTATTTTATCGTCATCATCATCCTCATCTGGATTGAACAAGTCATCATCATCATCGTCGTCATCATCTTTTGTCTCATCACTTGATTTGAATTTTTCACTATTGTATTGATTATTTAAAAGATGATCGATATTTCTAATATTTTCTTTATTTTTTTCGGTATTCATCTCTGAGGTCGGATTATCATTTGAGATCATCAATTGTTTTTTCATTCGAATCAATTGCCTTCTTTTTTCTTTATTTTCTTTAATTTCATCATCATATGTCTTGGTAGCAACAGTATAAAAATCGCCCAATTGATTTAAAAATTCTCTGTCTAAATTATATGTTCTGTTAATCATTTCTTTTGATATCCCAGATTTCAAATCTTGTAGAATAGAAGAAATAATTTGCGGGTGAACTACTTTATTAGGTTGTATTTCACGTTTAGTTCTTTTGTTATCATTAGTACTAATAGGTTTGCTAATAGAATTCTTTATAGGATTCTTAATAGGTTTATTAGTAGATGTATTAGTATCATCATTAGTATTATTTTCTTGATCTAAATCAGGGTTTATGTCATATTTCTCATTTAATTTCTTTCGATTTTTCAATAATTGTATTGCATAATTATTTGAATCTAACTTAAACTTTTCGTCATTAATTTCAACAACACCCATTGATAATGCTTTATTATTGAAATCGGGATCGAATCCATCTTTATATTTGAATTTTTCATCAAACTCATTTTTGTTTTTATTTTTCATTAGATAATTTATATCTTTATAATTTGCTTCATTATTTTTATCTAATAGATTATTAATTGCATCATTTTCATCAACTATTTTATTATTATTATTATTATTATTATTATTATTATTATTATTATTATTATTATTATTATTATTATTATTATTATTATTATTATTATTATTATTATTATCAGTAATTGAATTCTGATCTCGTTTTAATTTCTCCTTTAAATGAACATTTGATAATTGGTCAATATTTGATGATCTATTTAAATTAATTGTATTAGAATTTCGACTGATTTTCGAAATATCTTGAGTTAACTTTCTTCCAGAAGACTTTGAAGCAGCAGAACCCATTTCTTATAATTTTAAGACAAATAGTCAAAACTTTTACTGATATAATAGTATAATTATAGTAAAATAATAGTGTGATAATATAATAATATATTGAAATATAGAAATATTGCATATCATAACTTCAAACCTCAAATCTCAAATCTCAAACCTCGTTCTCTTTTTTTTTTAAAAGTTGCTAAGTGCCCACTTTTTCGGGGTTCTTGCACGGTGTTATATCTATATATAAGAGTGAATGCTATCTTTGTAATTCTACCGTAGATGTGAGGAAACCTAGTAAATAGGAAGAAAACTCACATCAAAGACAGGAGTGTGAAATCTAAGAAGATGTATGCTGGTGTCAAATTACCTTATGAATTGCCATGCATGGGAGATGAATATAATGAGTTTACATATGCCCCATTTAGTGCCTAGGTATGTGTGAATAATATTTGGGTCCACTTCGTCAGAGAGAATTGTTGGAATCTCTGATCGGATTCTAGCCTGTGAATTGGTTGGACATTGGAAGATATAATGAATTATCGTCGGATTTGGAAGGGAACATTTGCATTGGTTACTGCTCATATACTCAGCCTTCCACTGGATATCTTCACCAAAGGAAACCTCGTTCTCTTCTCATTACATAATGCATTTTTTTATATATCAATCATGATAATTTAAATATAAGCATAATCTTAAAAGCAGTGGAAGGGGCGTGTGGCGCAGTTGGTAGCGCGTCTGCCTAGCATGCAGAAGGTCTTGGGTTCAACTCCCAACTCGTCCATTTGCTTTTAATCTTTTCAAAGTTAAACTTTTTCTTTTTATTTCTCTACTTTTTCTAATTTTTCAAAGAAACAATGTCACTGGTTATAGGACATCAAAAAATTAATAGGAAAAATTAAAATGAAACAAGATTCATTCGATCAAAAAAAAAAAAGCATATTGGAAGAAATAGCTACTAATTCAGATCAACTCCCTGATGCTTCTCCTAAGGGAACAATTGACGAGTTGTGCATTCCTATTATTCAATTGATCAACACCCATAAGGATTTGGTGACTACAAGTTCTTGTTCTGGTAGAGTCAGTGTGTTTTTAGAAGGTTCAAAAATCAAAAACCTAAAGTTTACTGAAAATAATCATCAAGATAATGACAAACTAATACTGGATATTGAGACCCCTGATAGTAACAACATCAAAATTGGTGGAAAAGGTGAAGGAGGTAAATGGTTATTTGTTACTCATGATAAAGCGGAACTAAAAAACTGGTACAAAGACTTGAACTTTAAATTTCTAAATGATAATAATAATAATAATGAAGAAATAATAAATGATTCTTTAGTGAAAAGATATATTTTATTTAAATTTGAGCCGTTAATCTTACATATCAAGTGCCGAAACTTTGAAGCTGCTTCAAATGTTTATAAGATTGCAATGAGCTGTGGATTCAGGGAATCTGGAATTGGCACCAACAACTTGCTAGGTGTCAGAATATCCATCAAATTGGACATCCCCATTGGCTATCTAAATGAATCCAACAACGAATTGGAGTTGTTTGTTGATGAAAACTACTTGAAAATAGTAACCCAGCTTTCAATAGACCGGTTCAACGAAAACACAAAGAAACTCGACATGCTCTACAGCGCAATCAAGAGCTTCATCACCACAGACACCCAAAACAGCATCAGCGCAACAACACCAGAAACCAAAGAAGCTCGAAGAGAACGCAAAAAACGCGAAGGTCTCCGGAAGAAGCTCGGAAAACCTGCTACCACGGCTGTGGATAACGCACATCAACGCGTATCCACATATAAGGACGCATAGACGCACGTGTGTTTGTTCGGCTCGCGTCGGAAGAATTATCCGGCGGCATCCCACGCACGAAAACCGGCGTGGGCTGCTCTCCTCATGAAGATCATAAAGCTTTTCCTTCTCTTTCTCTACTTCTTTGTTCACCTTTTGCTCTGCTGTCTGCATTTCTGGAGCCAATTCCCAATTACAATCAGCTACACTCAGCAGCAAATGTTCAGTTTAGTATCTGCCAGATCGCCAGCAGTACGTTTGACTTGCTCTTTTGCAAGATCAAGAGGTAAGAAAGATCGCTCTTTTCCATCCACACAATACCCACTTTTCCTTTCCATTTCTAACTCTCTGTGATTCAATCCCCATTGTTTGTTTGTCTCTAGCCTTTCATGTTTCTTGCCTCAATTCTAATCTCTCTCCATTTGCTTTTCCTGCAATGTCCCCAACCATGGACATTGGTGGGTTAGTCGACTGGAAAGTCAAGGAGGGTCAAGCTTATCAATCTGGCCAGGTCTTGTTAGAGGTTGAAACCGACAAAGCTCAAATTGATGTTGAGGCTCAGGATGATGGTATATTGGCCAAAATTTTGGTTCCTGCTGGCACAAAGGATATTCCTGTTGGTAAAACTATAGCTTGGATAGCTGAACCTGATGACGATTTATCAACTTTGAAAATTCCCGAATCTGAACCTGGACCTGAATCTGCCTCTAAAGCTCTGACTAAGTCAAATCAAAAAGCCTCAAGTTCCGCTGATAAATCCGAAAAAATGGATTCAAAATCAACTTCAGAAACCCCAAATCAATCAATTGATTCCAACTCAATTTCAACTTCCAATACTGCAAATTCAAATCAAACTTTTTTCCCATCAGTTTCAAATTTATTGTCCGAAAATAACATTTCTCGTGATGATGCCCTAGCAAAAATTAAAGCATCGGGCCCCAATGGTAGGATCTTGAAAGGTGATGTTTTAGTTTATTTAGGAAAAGCTTCAAAGGATTCCTTAAATAAACTTAATGAATATATTCACAAGCATGATCATCTCGATCTATCAAACATTGTTGCTACTCCAATTAAATTAACATCCGCTGGTTCTGCTTCATCATCAGCTGCTGCACCTGAAAAAGCTATAGATTCCAAAGATTCTCAATCGACTGCTCCAGCTCCAGTCAGTAAACCAAAGCCACAACCGATCATATTATCTCAAACTTATAACTTATCAACACTAATTGAATTACAAAAGCAATCCATTGGTAAAGTTAAACCCTTTACAATCTCCGAATATATCAATGAAGCTTCCAAAAAATCTGAATCATTAGCTTACCAAAAACATGCAATCAATTCCGATTATTACGACGAACTATTCGAAGACTTGGTAACACCTTCAAATATTGAAAGATTTCAAATAAAAAATTTGAAAATTAATTACTCTGCCATTTCAAATTCAAATTCAACCTCAAAACCCTCAATTTTTGATTTATTAACTCAAAATTCAAACTCTTCAAACTATTCAGCTCAACCAACAGTTGAGGTAGAACTTTTACTAAATGATAAAGTTGGTGATGCTAAAGAAAAAGCAAATATTTATTTGCAAAAATTGGGTGAATTTTTACAACCCGAATTATGATATGTAATTGCTTTTTCATATATATAATTCTTTTCATATTTATCTTTTTTTTTATATTTACTATTATCATCCTACTTATATAGGATTTATATGTACTAGCTACTAGGCTATTTATAGTGTTTTTTACTTTATTTTAGATAAATTATTTAAATATTAGACAAAAAATTTATTCTAGTCTCCTGAATTTATCGAGTGATAAATTTATAAAGTACTTGGAAAAAAATGGTGATAAATGGAAAGTGACATAAAAATAGAAAACAAAAACGATAAAATAAGCAAAAAAAAAAACAACAAATTTATTCATTTATTATCATCACCTCAACTTTTAAAATTTATAGAAACCTTGGTCATGTAAATAAAAAATGACTTCTTGAACAGCATCATAGGAATCTTCAACAATTTTAGCACTGAGCGTGTTGATTTCATCATCATCATTAACACCAATTAAAGTAAAATTAGAAATTTCACCTTTAATAGTGTGGTTTTTGAAGCTTAAATAAGCTTCTTTATTAAAATTTTCATCAATTATTAAAATAATTGAACCAGATTTATACAATTCTTTTACAAAATAATCAACTTGATTTAACTTTAATTTTAATTGATTCAAGTCTAAAACGGTAACATGTCTGTTATTTTCAAATTGGTTGAATGTTGATTGTAAAGCATTGGATAAAGCAACAGCATTGAATGCCTCATTTGGCTTTGATGATTTTAGATATAGGATGAAACTTTGTAAAGTCTTTTTGGGGTATCTATTTTGCAAAATTTTAGCAATTTCGGGATAAGTAAACCATTCAGGTATTGGATCACCGTTTTTCAATTTGTTTCTTAAATCGGTACCTGAAATATTCCATGTTTTAGTTGTCTTTAAATCAATTTCGTCGATTGGAGCATAACGATCTTTATCAGGTAAATAAGTGACCATTCTGAAAGGAACAATTGTGATCCCGATTTCATCGACATATTTTTCTAGTAAAACCTGAGCATCATAAGGGCCATAGAAGTCGACACCCTTTGAGTTTTTACCTGGGCCTGCGTGGTCTCTACCAACAATGAAATGAGTAGCACCATAGTTTTTTCTAATAATTGCATGCCATAAAGCTTCTTTATCACCACCCATTCTCATTGCTAAAGGTAATAGAGATAATGAAACAATACCTGGAGGATATTTTTTGACAATTTCATTGTAAACCTTGGCTCTTGTAAAGTGATCAATATCACCGGGCTTAGTTAAACCAACAACTGGGTGAATCAATATTTTACTATTAAGATCTTTACCAGCTCTTAAAGTTAATTGATGATGAGATAAATGCATTGGATTTCTTGTTTGGAAAGCAACAACTTTATTCCAGTGGTTTGATGTGAATTCCAATCTTAATTGAGTTGGGTTCTTTCTAATGTTGGTGTAATCGTAATGAATTGGAAATTGGATACCTTGTAAAGAACCACCAACATAATAATCACCGGCGGTTTCAAATAAGTATTTGATAGCAGGATGTTCAGGATCACCTCTAAATACATTTTGAGCTTCCTTTTGTTTATCAGGTTGATAGACTGATTCAATTGTTAAGATTGCCAATGGTTTCAAATCTCTGAAATCTATTAGAGCAATTCTTTGACCAACTTTTAAGGTATCAACAGTTTCCTTTGAGAGATCCAAAGTTATTGGAATTGGCCATAAGATACCAGATTTTAATCTAGTGGTATCCACGACACTTTCATAATCATCTTGATTCAAGAAACCATCCAAGGGAGAAAAACCACCATTAAGAATCAATTCTAAATCACATAATTGTCTTGCAGTCAAATTGAGATTGACCAAGGATGGAACCTCTTTTAGCAAGTCATCTTTTATAGCAGCATCATGAGCAACTAAATCTTTGAGAACACCACCGTGAGGTTGAAGAACCATTTTGAGGAAGATAATTCAAACGAAAATTGGAACAGATAAAGAAATAACTAATTAGTCAATGAGACTGTTGATATTTTTGGATTTACACAAACAAAAAAAAGAAAGGATATAGGAAAAGAAAGCAAATATATATGTTTTTTTTTTGCAATTGGCAGACATCAATGAAAGTCAAAATGTCTAACCATTTGACGGTCGAGCTAAAAGAAAAGAAAATAGCGTTATAGTAGCAGCAAATTGTCAAATTGGTTGAGAGTGAAGTGATTATGCTGTATCTGCTTCTCATTGGCCAAAGATGGCTGGAGTTGAGCATTTGTGGATGAGCAACTGGGGTGTGTTCGGTGGGGTTCATTTTGGGTCTGGTGGCCTGTGTGTGGCGCTGCACCGCCCGCTCTTTTCAAGCCATCTGAACATAGCTGTGAAGGGTGGCTAGTTGATGCGATGACACGTGAGCTGAGCACACCGCCATTCGAAATTGACAATTGATTGCTCTTTTGGGCGAGCGTGGCGATTCTCACCGTTAGACAGCGTTTGAGTGCGTGAATCAATCTACTGGTTTATTGGCTTATAAACAAGAATCTGCAAAGAAAACAGAGAAACAAAAGAAAAAAGAACAAAGAAAAAAATCGGGAGTGAAAATACTTACATATTAAATGTCCATATCGAGAATTCATTCTGCTGAATACGTATCTTTAGCCAGGATTTAATTGCTGGACAATCATCATAATTCAAAAGCTTAAAAAGCTCTTCCTTTTCATCAAACTAAAACCCAAGATCTGAATACTGTATCAATTTTGTCAATCAAATCTCATCGATAGACCAATCACCAAAACCAAAAAAAAATATAAAAATTAAAATAAAACATAAAAATAAAAACATTGGTACCCGTTTTAATATAAATCATAACCTTAGATATTATAAATGACATTTATGAATGAATGCTTTATCTATTGTAAAATATAAGTAATACACATTTAATTGATGAAACAAATTTGGAATAAGAAACACGATAACGAAAAACACTTTGATATTTGTAGTGACATTAATATTATAGATATAAAAAACAACACCAAGATTTGGAATTAGAATATTCTAGAGATAAATTGCAAAATTAGAAGACAGTGTAAACCTTTAGTTGTAATCAAATAAAATAAACATCAGAGCTTTGATTGATTGGAGCATTTTCTTCACCTTTAATTAAAAAATGGCCTATACCTTCATATGATTGAAAAATCGTGGAACAAAGTAATATTTATATGAATTTTTTTTTGAAGAGTTAAAACCATGTACATTTAGTAATCTGTTCCAATATATTATTTTAGCTCAATTGATATTAAATATTCTTATCATAAACGATTTTTAACTTTCAAAAAGATAATTTTAAATTTTCAAGAATATAAAAACAGAAAAAAACTTTTAAACCCCGGAAAAAAAAACCACCAAAGTAACATTAGCATCATTAATGTGCAAAAAAAAAATAAAAATGAAAAAAAAATTGAATAATAAAAACATAAAAAAATAATTGTGACAATAAGTGAATTATTATTTTGCAATTTTTTTTCTTTTAGTAAGTTTTCTTTTTTCTTTTTGTAAATTTATGTTTAAACTTTGAAACTTGAACTTGATAGATTTAATAAAAATTAACCCAAAAAACATATTGAGAGTACCCGTAGAGTTTTAAAACTAGCTATTGACATTAAAATTGGAATAAAAAAAAAATTGGAATATTGGAAACAATTGACAAATTCCTTTAAATTTAAATAACCTGAATCTTTTTTTTTTATTTTATTTTTAATCTCCATTTTGTTTATAAACAAATTAAAATATCCTGTAAATTGATAAAAATTTTTGTTCTCTATTAATTAATTGAAGAAATTGAAACATAAGACTTTCTTTATCTTTTCCAATTGAAGAATGCAAAATTAAAATTTTAAAAAAAATTAAATTGAAATAAGTTGAAGTGAAATGATAGAATCCTAATTGATAGAGTAAAAAAAAAACAACAACGACATGAAGTATGAAATATTATAAATGAATAAGGAAAGATTTTAAAATCATTATAAAACCATAAAAAAACAATATTAATTGATTAATTATACTATTTGCAATATTTGTATTTGTATTTATAATTAGTTGTATTAAATAACAAGAACCCAATCTATAGGAAATGAAGGAAATCAGATTTGATATTCATATTAATCTTGGATTGATATTGAATTTAATTTTAGTATTGAAATTGATTTTGAGATATTTGAAGATATCAATGATTAATGTACAGGATTTTTTTGTTGAAATACACAGATGAAAAAAAGAGAATGGAAGTGATTAATTTGAAAAACAAAAAGGGACAACAAGAGAAAAGAATGGAAAATGAAAAGGAAAAAAAGATGAACAAGAACAAGCAAAAAAAAAAAATATATGGATGTGAATATTTTTTTAAAAAAACAAACTTTTAAAAAAAATGAAAAGAAATTAAGACAGGATCATGAAATGAACTAAAAGACAGGATGGATAGGTAAAAAAGACATTAAGTAAAGAATTTTAACTTTTTTAATCTGAAAAATCTATCAATTATATGGACATTGTATCAAATCAAATTAAATCAAACTTTTTAAAAACAAAACAAGACAAAACAAGACAATCAATGGAAAAAATATAAAAATAACCAGAGGAAAGAAACCTTATATTTCAATATGCTGTGATAAAATTCATTGAAAATGAAAACCAAAGAGAACAAAAGAAGACAACTATGAGGGAGAATTTTTATACTTTTTTTCACCCTTTACTTAACAAAAAAAGGGACTGAAAATCTACAGTGAGATAAAAGAGTTAGTAGATTGATCACAGATAAAGAGGGAAACATTGAGATTAGCTGATCGTCAAATATAAGTTATAAGCCAGTAGATTGATTGATAAAAGAAGTGTAGATGATATATGAAACAGATTAGGGGAATTTGATCGATTGCATCGATATGGATTAGCTGAAATTAAGCGCCGACAGAAAGAAAAAAGGAGATTGAGTGAGAAACGGTGAGTTAGTAAGAAAACAAGAAAGGAAAGGGAAACAGAATCAAAAAAATCAATACCTTTGAGGTTTTGATGCTGGATGAGAAGAAAAAGAAAGAAAAGAAGAAAGTAAAAGAAAAACAGGGAAATGGAGGTGTTTAAATACCTTTCAGAGCATCAGAGATGGAATTTACCCAAGGTCAGAATATTCACAAACAAGACCCAATGAGATCACAAAACAAGCACAAAACAAACAGCGTAAAAATAGCATCGAGACCACAGACATGGGCCGGCGGTGGTCACGGGGGCTGCTGGTGTTCGGTGCAAAGCACCAGCGGCTCGGAAAGTGGTTTCGTGGTTTCGTGGTTTCGTGATTTAAACAGCTACACAAAGAAAAGGCGTCTATACAAGAATGCTCTTGACAGCAGCAGCAATGGCATTTCCAACCTCAGCGGTGGAGTTGGACCCGCCCAAGTCTCCGGTTCTAATTCCGGCGTCGAGAACCTGTTTGACAGCAGCTTCCACAGCGTTGGCTTCCTTGACCAAGTTCAAGGACAATCTCAACATCATGGCGGCACTGAGAATCATGGCCACTGGATTGACCTTGCCTTTATCCAAGTCTGGAGCAGAACCATGGCAAGGCTCGTACAATCCAAATGCCTCGTTTGTGTCGGGCAACGAAGCTAACGAAGCTGAGGGCAACAACCCCAAGGACCCAGGAATGACTGAGGCCTCATCTGATATAATATCACCAAACATGTTGGAGGTGATAACAATACCATTCAATTTAGTGGGCGACTTGATCAAGATCATTGCAGCAGAGTCGATCAATTGGTGCTCGACTTTCAATGTTGGAAATTCGTTTGCAATTGTCTCGGTGACAGTCTTTCTCCATAATCTTGATGACGCTAAAACGTTGGCCTTATCCAATGAAAATATTGGCAATGGAGGGTTTTGTTGCAATGCCAAAAATGCGGCCATTCTTGTGATTCTTTGAACCTCTGGAACTGAGTATGCCTCTGTATCACTGGCAAAACCAGATCCATCATCTTCCTTTCTTTCACCAAAATAGATCCCGCCAACTAACTCACGCACTATTAAAATATCTGTGTTTTTAGCGATTTCTGGTCTTAATGGAGACAATCCCAATAACGACTCCGAAGCAAAGTTACATGGTCTCAAATTGGCATACAAGTTTAGTTCTTTACGGATTTTCAATAACCCTTGTTCAGGTCTGACTGCACCTGTCCCCCATTTGGGTCCTCCAACAGCACCAAGTAAAACCGCATCTGATTCCTTTGCAGCCTTCAAGGCTTTGTCTGGCAAGGGCACCCCTGTGGCATCGATGGCTGCTCCGCCAATCAAATGATGCTTGAAGTTGAATTTGATTAGTGGATTGGCCTCACTGATGGCATTAAGAACTTTCAACGCTTCGTCAGCAATTTCGGTACCAACATGATCACCAGGCAAAATAACAATATTCTTTTCGACAACAGACATTTTCGATCACTAAAAACAAAGATTGGTTATGGTTATATTGTAGTAACTAAGACTTATATGATTGTGGAAATATATATGTAAAAAAGGATGAAGAAGAAATCCAAGGAATCCAGGAAATCTAAGAAATCTGGAGATTATTGATCACAATTTTGAAAAATTCCCTAAGACTCACCAAAACATTGACGGCTGCGGAACCGGCCCGTTGTCGCTTCAACTCCCGAAATAGATCAGCGTTATTTGGGTCTCTTCTGGGACTCGAACACGCGATTTTTTCTCTCATTTTTCATTAAAAGCGCTTCCACAAAAATGGCGTCAAAAAAATAGAAAAAGCTTGCTCCCACACTCCTGGCGTCTGTTTTGAATTTATTTTTCATCAATTCGTCTAACCTCTGATCTGTAAACAAGTGGTGCAAATGATTATCGTAAATACAAATGTCTTCATACCAATAACTATTATCGTGTTTATCTGGTAGCAATTATAAATACCTATATCAAGTTATTTAAATGTATTCAAACACATTAACCGATGTTTATAATTTTGCCAAATAATCAATCTTCATCACTTACTCTCTGTTTCGGGTAATCACCTTTGCCAACTTCGTTTATAAACCACACTAATATATGAACAAACTTACTCAAATCTCCAAATGTTCCTGCAAAGTTTGTCTGAAAAATCAATATTATTGTCTGGCTATGTTTGTTTTCATCAGTGCTTGTTCCTTTAAAGACCTTCAATTAAAACTAGCAATCCAATCACTTCTACTATTCAAGTATAATCATTGTATATATAAATGAACATGAATATCCATAAATATCCACTATCAAATTCTTTCTTTTTTTTTCATTTTATTTTGTTTATCACACCAATCACTTCTTATTTTGTTTTTATCTTTCATCTCTTCTTAGTATAACAGCTAATTCCTAATTCCTAATTCCTAATAACAATTTAATAATGCAATTATTCGGTTCAAACAAATTTGCACTTTTACCATCTTTATTGGCCTTAGCCTCAAAGGTTCTTGCTGACTCGACAATTTTTGAACTATATGCTGATTCTGACGACTCCCTGATAGATTCCTTACCAATTGGTATTTCTGATGACACTTTAGTTTTGAAAGACGATATAACCCCAATTAAAATCCAAATTGACGACAATGCTCAAGCCTTGGTTCAAAATACAAATGTTTATCTTTCAAATGATGATAGTCAACTAAATATTGCAACCTCAGGTTCTACCTATTTCTATCTTTATAACGGAAAGTTTTATTACAATGATTACAACACCTTTGTTGCTTGTTCAGATTCAGATTCAGATTCTTATACAATTTATGTTAACGATGGCATTCAAAAATGTTCAAACCAGATCTCTCTTTCTTTAATTCCTAAATCAATTTCTGGTTCAACTGTCGACTCATTTGTCCCAGAAGTCTTGACTGCTTCTTCAACTAATAATCAACCTGTGTCCACTATCACAGGCGCTGTTTCCACCATTTATTCCTCTGGTTATGTTGTCTCAACTGTCACAACAACAATCTTAGTTCCAGTCACATCAACCTATACTTCAAAAGGAAAAGATACTTTATTAGTTGTCACCACTTACACCGAAACCATTGAAACAACCTCTTGTATCACTTCAATTGAAACCTCTATGATCATCTCCACTGTTTCCACTGAACTAATCACTCACACTTCTTGTCTTGAAACTGAATGTTTAGTTAACGTTTCTTCAACTTATATTGCTGAAGTCGATGAATCTACCACTGTTCCTGTTTCAAAGACTGATACGGGCTTTGTTTTTACTTTAACTGCTACCGAAACTGAAACTGAAACTGAAACTGCTACTCAAACCGGCTTGATTCCAAGTGGTACCACTACTCCAGCCTCTGATGGAGAAACTAGTTCTGGTTTTATTTTCAATACTGTTACTGGAACACTCCAAACCGTTGTTACATCTGAATCTTCAACCACTGCTAGAAGAACCGGTTCTGCCAGTTATATTGAAATTGATGGAAGTTACATCTTTTACCCAGTTAACCCAACCTCAACCGATTTACAAGCTGCTTCCACTTCTGCTTCTGAAACCCAAACTGGATTTGCTTTAGAGAATTTTTTTGAAAACAGTGGTTCTCATGGTATCCAAAAATTCTCAATAATGTCTGCCTTAATTGGATTTTCTTTAATGTTAATTTAAATTACAAAAGAAATTCTTTAATATTAATATTCAAAATCTAAAAAGGAAATGGAAAATTTTTTTAAAAACCAAAATTAAAAAAAAAAGTTCTTTTTAAAAGAAATCATTTTTTATTTTTCTCAACTTATCTTTATTTTTATTTTTGTTTTTATTTTTATTTTTTCTCATTGATTTCTGTACATTAATCCTTTATTTCTTTAATTGTGTCTATTCTGGTTTAATCTAACAATGGTAATATACGGCTGGTAACGTCAAGGGTACTACATCAAAATTGTCTTAATAAATTTGTATTGATATTTGATTCTATGGTTTGAATATACTCAGTGCATTAATTTCAAATTATTTTAAAGAGCTTTGAACAATTTATTAACCTTCACGATCTGGATCCAATCAATTTTTATGATTTGTTGATCCTCATTACTGATCATACAATTGTTTTTTCATCTCATCTCCATCATCCTTTTTTAGCCTTATATTAGAAAGCTGCTTTTTTTTCCATAATAATATTTCAATTACTTTTGAACTAATATCTTATTCATCTTTTATTCATCTATTTTTCCTAATCATAATCCCCTGTTAAATCATATCAATCCTATTTCAAAGGTCAATCCTATTTCAAAGGTATTTTTGAAAAAAGCTTGTGGTTTAAGCTTTTCTAATATATATAACATAACTCCTACTCTTTAAATTTCTTTTTATCACCACAATTTTTTTATACTCCAATTTCTTCGGCTTACGGCTTGGTCTTTAACTTTAATTATTTTTTTATTTTTATTTTTTACAAATTTTTGTTATTGAGTTAATTTAATTATTTTTTATTTTTATTTATTTTTATTTGAAACTAGTGAAATGCATAACCTATTAATTTTATATTTTATATTATTTTTATTACTTTAAAATTCGTTTTATCAAATAAAAATTTATTTATTACGATAGAAGTTGATATAAATACAATATATACTTAAAAATCCAAATTCAGTTGAAAATCATATTTACAGGAAATTTATATAATTATTAATGCAACTAAAAAAAAGAGTAATTGGAAAAATGAAAAAGGAAATGTTAACAGAACTGGATTTAAATAAGATCGATCAAAATCTTATTAAAAATAAAAAAAATAAAAAAACCTAAAAAACAACTAAGGAATCATAAATCAAAACATGAAATAAAAAAAAAGAAAAATCTATAAGAAAATTTTAGTGTATTTAACTAATTCTTTTGATCTTTCTTATCATCATTTTTTCTTTCATCTGTTTTATCATTTGCTTCGTTTCCATTTTTGTTAACCTCATCTGTATTAGTATTTTCCTTATTATCTTGATTATATTCAGTTTGAGTTGAAATTTTTTTGAAAGCGCTTGCTAAAAAGTTCTCGACCTTTTTCAATTTAGAAGTACTTTCATGTTCAGTTTCAGATGGATGGTTTTCGTTTGAACTATCCAAATTGTCTTTTATAGGTTTATCGGTCTTCCATAAGGGATTTATTCTCTTTGCAGTTTTATCGTTAAACGAATCTGCTAAAGCTTCTAATAAGGCTGTTTGAGCATCATCTAATGGTTTTAAAGTTTTTATGTCCAATTTAATATTTAAATCCCCTCTATATCTTATATTATTCGATCTTGGTAACCCTTTACCAGAAACAGTGAAAACCTGGTTATAACTGGCGCCTGAAGGTATTTTAATTCTAACAGATGGTCCATCTATTGTTGGAACAGTTATAGTTCCACCCAATGCAGCAGTTGTCATAGGAATTGACACAGTATGAACTAAATTTTTGCCTTCTACTTGGAATTTTGGATCAGGTTTAACACGAACTCTGATGATTAAATCACCTTTATGTAATCTTGTATTTGGGCCTTTTGTTGCCAAAGGAGAGTCTCCTTCCCCAGACATTTTAACTCTTGAACCATCCATCATTCCTGGAGGCAAATCCACTTCGATTTTTTTTCTAATTTGTTCGGTACCATGCCCATTACATGAACCACAAGCATTTGAGCTTGCAATTATTTTCCCTAACCCATTACATTTGGGACATGTATAAGCCACTTGATAACCAGAGTTCATGAAATTGACTTTTTGACCAGAACCATTACAAGTTCCACAAGTCGATTTGCCTTTTCCAGGTTTTAAGCCAGAGCCATCACAAGAATGACATGAATCATTTACAGAGTAGTCAAGATTTAATTTTTTACCAAAAATTGCTTCTTTTAAGGTTAAAGTTTGGACAATTTCGATATTTTCACCAACATACTCAGTTACAAAAGACGAGTTTCCTCTGCCGGATCTTGTACTTCCTCCAAATGCTTGACTGAATATATCTTCAAAGTTTATGTTGCCAAATCCGTTGGTACTTCCACTAAAACCAAAAGGACTTCCAGCACCTTCAAAGGGATTTCCTGCACCACCAAAACCTCCTGCAAATGGGTTAGCATTTGGATCAGTGGTTCCATATTGATCAAAAGCTGCTCTTTTGTTTGGATCAGACAATATTTCATAAGCGTCTTGAATATCGTGAAATTTCTTTTCAGCTTCTGGTTCTTTATTAACATCAGGATGAAATTTTTTAGCTAATTTATAATAGGCTTTTTTAATTTCGGAATTCGAGGCTTCTTTATTGACACCTAAAGTTTTATAAGGGCTCGCTTGAGCAAGATTAAATGAAGATGTATGGAAAGATGTTCTGCCATAAGAAAAAGAGTGCAAGAAAGATGAAGATGTTATTGGCACTTTTTTAAGTATTATTGCTGAGGAATTATAGATAGGAAGAGAAGACTTTGAGATATTTTTCAAACTATTCAAAGAAGATCTGTACATTTTTGAAATTAATATAGATTAGTTACTAATTGAAGGACCTTAGGTATCGGACTCAAGTCAAACTATTTTTATCTCCAAGGTTTATTGATAAATCAGTCGTATCGTAGTCTGATATATAATTGAGATACTAAAATTTTCAGAGTTTTTCATCGTAGAAATTATCAATGATAGTCAAGCTTCGTCGGCGCAGAGGGTAACGGATTAGATCTTCCATCAAGTTCTTTTTCGCCAAACAACTAAAATCAACTCATAGCACTTTCGCAGCGATAAATATTAAACGTGTTGTAATGCGTTAAGCTGCATGGCGCGGTAACGTTATCAACCAACATGTGGCGGCAACTGTGTTTGGACGTTTTTAAACGTAAATATTCCGTAATCGCATTCGGTTTGAGCGCTCCGACGTATTGGTCTCGAAATGGCGTCTACGATATCACGGCATATCTTGCGCAACTTATCCTACCTGACTTTTACCTGACTGGTGTTTGGAATTTCATGACTATTGTAAATCCTTTGAAATTTTACTTAAAAGCTTAAGACCCAAAGCTACAAAAGTTAAGGTTTCTTGTGTAGGAAATAGCTTTTTTTTGATTATTACTCTATCTGCAACAATTTCACCAAAACCGTTGGAACTGTGCATATTTGCAGCCGTTTGAAATCTTTTGCTCAGCTTTCTCCCTTCCTTTCAAAAAGCTATTTCCGGCAAGCATGCTTTTGGAGTTTTCATTAAATGAAAATTTAATTTCTGTTTATTGTGGGGTAAATGTTTTAAGTTTTCATTTATTATAATAATTATATCATCGGTCGTATATTTGGTTATCCTAAAACGTTTTTTTTTATTATTGTTTTATATTATCAGGAGAATAAAATCATTTAATTTCAACTATTTCCGTTGTTGAGTCTCTTTTTTTTTGAAAAAAACTAAGTCTTTATCTGTTATCTTCAAGTGCTTGCTAGTGTCTTATTATTGGGAATACAGTTTATCGTAATTAAAATATTATAAATCATTAGGCTTGAAATAAATATAGATATAGTTTGCAGAGTCTATATTTCTAGGGATTTCTATTCTTTTGAGCAGAAACGTCTGAGAAAATTTTAGTTTTTGAAATTCTAAAAGAAACAAAAAAAAAAACAAATTTGGTATTGAGATGAATTTGATCATTATATATACAAAATCATAAAAATTAACACAATTATAGATAAACAAAATAACAGAAAATAACATAAAAAAGAACAGAAAACAATATTGAATATTGAATATTGAATATCAAATATCATATATCATATAGATCATAAAGCAATTTAAATTGCCAATATCTAATACATGCAACACAACTTATGTAGAATTTTGAATTATTTTTCGATGATGGATGATAAATCAACATTTTTGGCAAATTTAGCATATTTTTCAAAATATGCTCTTTCAAGTTCAACTTGTTTAGCTTCAACCTTCTTTCTATCCTTTTGCATTTCTGATTCTAATGGCAATGAGATATCATAATATAATTCAACTTCAATATCTTTAGCTTTTAATTCATCGAGAGATTTAACGTGTCCATTGACAGTAGAAAGATTAATGTTGTCAATTGGAGTGAAATTGACAATACAATCCTCCTTGACAGCAAATACAGAATCATCTTTGGTGTAAGGACACTCAGAATCGTAAATTTGAGTTATCAAGTCATGATATTCGGGATATGAAACCCTCCAGTGAATATGACTTGGTCTGTTTGGATGTCTATCCATAAATTGCAATAAATCACCAGCTGGTCCATCATAAGGAATAGGATAAGAAGTGGGTCTCAAACAGGTATACGAGTAATAACCTTGCTCATCTGCAATAAATGTACCTCTCAAATTGTAATCTGGTTGTTCATCATCTTGTTGTTCATACAATCCATTAGGAGCACAGTGCCAGACTTCAACTTTGGCACCTGGTAACGGCTTACCTTCAGGATCAGTGATTCTACCATGAACAAAAGCTTTTACACCACCGACTTCCTTTTGAATAATAGATTCACCATTTCTGTAAAGTGGGGAATTTGGTCTGTAAAATGGACCGATAATAGCAGATGAAGTTTTTTTAACATGATCCAATTTATGGGTTTGAATATCAACTAAAGTCTCTAGACCCAAGACATCGGATACCAAAATACCTTCATTTCTTCTTTCATCAGACATATGTCCTATTTTATTAATGAAATCAACACCATACAACCATTCATCAACAGTAATATAATTTTCTCTTGTAAAGTCATGGATGTGCTGTATTAAAGAACCAATAACACATCTTGCTCTGGGGGTAGTCTTTGGACCCATAGATGAAATGACAAAGTCAGTAAATTCTTGAGACATGGCTAAGTGAATTGTTTAGAGTTAACTATTGTAAAAAGATATTGAATTAAAACAGAAGATTATTAGTGATTATGATAGTATCAAACAAGTACCAGAAGTTGTATTTGGAAGTAATGATTTTTGTTTCAAACAATTTAATTAAGAGAAGCTAAATTTCTTGTCTTTATATAATTTTCCAGAATCTAATTTTTGAAATAAGCTGGCACAATAAATCACTTGAAAAGACTTTAAAAATAAAAATCGAAAGTTTTTGCAAATTATAATATCATCAGTTTTTTTTATTTTTACTTTATTGTTTTCTTGAATTCCTTCATTTAAAGTTAATAAATTACATTTAATAAATGGGGTACCTGATTCAACCTAAAAACACAATAAGAATGCAAATGATCAACGAGCAATGCGCGGCGGAAATAGCTTTGTAACTATAATTTTGCAAATCATCTAATGATGAGCTTTTGCTTTTGGTGAGCTGACCAAAAAAGTCTATCTGATTGAATAAATAAAATGGAAAACAATTCAGGAAATACCCTTATTTTCATTTCACATACCCCGCCATGTGCTTCATCAGAAAATAACCAAAGCACGACACCATCGGATATAGCTTTGAGTATCAGTTTTTTGTCTTTAACATACCGAAAAAAATAATGACAGCAGAAGCAATTTCCGCACTGTGGTTGAAAGGAGAAAAAGATATATAAAGCATGTTTTGCTGTGTTGTTAGTTGTTATCAATGCAATTTCAAAACTGGCTGCAGTTTAATTGAGTATCAAATCAGAAACAGCACGTTTTTTTTCTTTTCCTCTTATTTATCAACTGGAATTACTTAGAGCTATTCTAACCAACCATATTTCTCAATTAACCAATGAATTATACCCTAGAGTTTTGATTATCCTCTTTACCCTTCTTTTTTTCCAATCACTGTTTTATAAAACCAAAAATCAGTAAATTTCTTTATATCATCTAGATCAGTCATATTTTATGAGATAAATTAACATTTTTTCAAAAGCAGTAATAGTTTATTCAACTATTCTGAGTTTTAAAAGATAATATAAATTCAATACTGTATAGTTTCAAATTCCCCAAAGCTTTTTTTTCTTTTCCTGGAATTTTAAAATTGTTTTCATATGTTTTTAATCATCTAACTGTTTAAAATAACCAATAGTTATAAAATGGAATAACCCAGTCCTTAAAACCAGTTTCTTTAATTGATTTTTGTAATTAATTAGAAACATTAGTGATTTTATTTTGGTAAAATGGATCTACCAAAAAGTAAAATAAAATTTCATCAGCAGAATTATTATAAATAAAATTAAATGATTTAAGAGTTATTTTTTTGAAGTAATAAAAAATCCGTTAAAATATTGATATTTTGAATATGACTAAAATTAAAAAGAAAACTTGAATTTTTGTTTATAATTTTTAGCAATAGAGATTAAGATTTTAAACTTGAGAATACAATGATTTTTAATATTGATAATTTGATTATTTGATATACCTTAGAAACCAATTTTTTAACTTAATTCTATTAAAAGCAATATAGTTAATATCAATCTTTAATTGTTGAATTAAATAAAGTGCAATAAAGCTGTTGCTATTATTATTTCTAAAATAATATTCATTAAAACTCTATAAGATTGAAGAATAAAAGCACTCACTTCAGCTCCAGCCGACGTTGATGGCTGTATTCTGATCCTATTCTCACTCACAATTTAATAGTGGTGGGCAGTGTAAACAAGATTTCCTAGGCTGAATTGAAGAATATCCCATTGGATTAACGTGGTAATAATGGTAATTAACCTTTTATGGTTTGAGTGAGTATATCTTGAAGGCATTCCACATAAATTTAAGAAATTGACTGCAATCAGTGTATCAGAATATTTGCCTATAAGGCTACTCAAAGCTGTAGCAGCAAACGAGCTCAAATAAACAACATACCAAAGAAAGAGGTGTGATGGTGTTCTTCGCTCCAATATAAGTTAAAACTGATTTTTTTTTTAAGAAAATAACTGCTAAGAACACACCTTTTGGGGTTCTTGCACGGTGCTGTTTATTAGTCCGTATATAAACTACAAAAACTGTCGCTGTAATTTTACCATGGATGTGAGAAAACCCTAGAGGGAAGAAAACTCACATCAAGGACGAATGAACTTAAGTGAGAAATAGATGTTATGTATTAAAACTGATTCATAACTTCAATAAACAGCTCTTGATCTGAATTCTTCAATTATTATTAATATTCCGTGACCGCGAGCCAGCCGTGTGGGACTCGTAGACCTATATAGTAGGTATAAGCTGTTGTTTGCCTTAATTCTAAGCGAGGTGTAGGGAAACCTGAACTTACAGGAAAAAACCTACCCAAATCAGATAGAGAAAAAGTTTAGGATCTTAAGAGTTAAGGTCCCATGCCTTTTCTAGAAAACTAACCAACATTTTGAATTGTTTTCTTGTACCTAAAAGTTGCTTAAGTTGGGTAGGCCTTTCTGAACCAAGTTCCTGAGACCATATTCCTGCAAAT